CCTGATTAATTTTGTTAAGCACAAAGAATAAAAGGATTATTATTTGTAGCTTATAAAAAATGTTCGATATTATAAAAACAAGAAAAGACTTATTTGAATAAGATCAGACACAAAAACTAAAGATTTATTGATGAAGACAAGAGTTATTCTATTTATACTAAGTTCTGAATGCCAAAGTAGCAATTTATCTTGTACAACGCTTATCACATCTGGTGAACCTCAGTATTTAGATAGCTGAGATGCACTTCACTTATCATAGCTTGTCCATGTTGTTGCACAACACAGACATATCTACCCATCAAGAATACCTTAATCTTTATAGGCAGTTGTAGCCCTTCTGGCACAACAATGTCTCATATATAGTACAAGCCTGTAGTACATAAAGTATCCATAGCTAGTATCACGGATATAAGCATGTGTCTTATAGCGTGGATCATAAAGTGCATATCTGAAGCAACAAGCTCATATTGCATTAATCTTGGTGCTTATCCAGATATGGCAAACATCCGTAGTCAATGTCGGAATACAAGTATAAGTCTATAGCGCCATTCATGTCCGTGGTGCCAGCTATAGCCTATATCTTATATAGTATGAATTTTATACTACTAGCGTATCCGAAGCTCATATCTTCTTATAGTATAAATCCGTATCGTACATCTAATCCAGTGCACGCATAGTGTATATCTAAATCAGGTAACTGGATGAACTGTCGGAATGCAGATTAGAGTGGATGTATTCCACAAACGCAACCTACCACGCCTTATTTTTAGGTCAAATTTTGCCCAAATTTAGTCGTTTTCAAGCACGAATAACTCATGCCACAAAGCGTTTTCAGCGCTTGGAATAGAACCAAACGACTCCTCTTGGTCACGCTTTACTTGCTGATGCTTTATCTTAATTTTTTTGGGTCATTGCAAATTCATGAAAATCACCGTTTTTTCATGTGTATTAGCCGGAGAAAATTCTTGAAAATCAAACGATCGCGTTTTTCATCCCAAAAATGAAGACTTTTCATATGATACATATAAGATCAAATTGATTGTAAAGACAGGGTGCAGCACTGAAAGCTCTTTCTATAATATTTTCCTATGTTGTTGCATACAAGCATGCATCTTAGGCTACATTCACTTTCTCCTCAAGCCACCTTTTACAGTGTAGCAGCATAGATGATGTTTATCGTATCACATCACATCTATGTTTACAAGTCCAGTCAATTGTGTGTGCACAGGTGCCTCAGGAACTACAATACATTCAATCTCCCTAATGTCAAGATATCGAGATCCACCTACACTACATGAAACATATCGACTTAGGTGGCCTCTCAACAAGCTATACCAACAATCCATAAGGCCCCAGTGGCCTGCTATTTATATACCATCTCAACGTAGTAGTCATTGACCAGGGATCTACCATATTTAAGCAAGCTAGATGCCCTGTAATAAAGAAGCTCTTTGCTTTCGTTTTAGATACAGTTGACAACTGATTATTATCATCGACTTATTATTACGAATTCATCATATGTGAAATTTCGACATTTTGACAAAAAACATGTCTTCATATTTTTGCAAATAGCCCATTATTTTTGGTCATAAATCTAAATGTAACCAGCATCATTTGATACGCCTTCATTGACTTCTTATAGATGCATTAGAAAGTAAAGTATAACAACGACAGTTTTTATAGCCAAATTTAGCAAAAACGTTTAAAGAATGTGAGATCAAGTCAAATTTGACACGTAAATACCCACTGCACAATTTTAAATTAAAGTGCAGCCGTTATGACGGCTGCCACGGCAGAAGACTGAGGCCAAATCTACTGGCCGTGACGTCGAATAGGCCGCTCTCTCATTTTCCCGTGCCCCCTTTTTTTTACCTTTTTTTGTAAAATGCGTTTAGTGTCAAACCATGGCAGTTTTGAAGCTCTTTTGATTGAAAATGGCACTCTAGCTTCTAATAACGCTGCCCTGTACTGTTAGAAAGATTTGATACTGCTTCTTTGAAGTGGAATATAGTAGGTACCATTCGATAACGAGCACTGGAAGGCGTAGAATTAACACAAACTGAATTTGTTCACTAGGTTTTGATAATTTCTTGCCTGTTTGGCGTGGGTGCCGCTGTCATTACTTCTCTGCTATCTCGGCTGCCTGCTTCTTTGGTTTATCACGTCTGGTAACTACTTCTTTGGTCTCTGTCTCTGGCGGTTGCTTCGTTAGTCTCTGTCTGGTATCTGGTGTCGCTCGTTCTTCGGTTTTTCTATGGTGTTGGTGTCGTTGCTACTGGTGTTGTTGCTACTGGTGTTACTGCTGCTAGTTTGGTCTTTCTTGGCCTGTTGTCTCTGTTGTATGCTTGTTCTTTTGTCTATCTCTGGTGATTGCCTATCCTTTGGTCTATCTGTGGTTGTGGTAAGTGGTAAGTAACTTTTTTTCTTGTGGTCGCAATGATATACAGCTTCTCTGGACGTTTGTATTATTGCTTCCTTTCTCGTGGTAATGCATTCGTAACGTTTGCTTTGTTGCGCTTTTTTTTTTCTTTTGTTGGCTGTGATATGATCAGCTCAACGGATGCTTGCAATGTTGTTGCTTCTTATGTATGAACAACAAGCATAATATGCTGCTATATATCTGCATTGCCGTTGTAATATTACTTTGTTATATGGTCGTGGATTGTTGTTTGTGTTGCCTCTGTCGCTTCACATGAAACAACATTAGTAGTCATTATGTTGTATTGCACACTTATAATACTGCTGTTGCTCATGTAATTGTGCGTGTTTGTGTTGCTTTACATCCGACTATTTCCCTGCACGTTGCTCATGTATGCATTTTTGTTGCAATAACAAGGAGCTGTTCTGAACATCCTTGATGATGTATTTGTTTTTATGCTTTTCTTTTGGCTCACTTTTTTGTGTGAGTGTTCCTTTTTTGCTTACAAACTACTATACCCCTATAGTACATTAGTATGTTCTGTTCTTCCTTTTCTTTCTTTTATTATGTTCTTTGAAGCATACCTTTTTTACGTTGTGGTGGATGTGCCTATCGCTGAAGCTCAACAAGACTCTATCCGAGGCTAGGAGGTAGATAGGCTGCCTCCACTTGGTTATCACTACTTACTTTAGTGATGATTGAGGGTCTCAACGCCAGAATCTAAAAGCTAGGTGGTGTAAGTAAGGCATGCTCTAGCACCTGAGGGAAATTTGATGATAGTTACAGCTATATACTATATATAGCGGAGCTTAAAATTTTGCCTCACATCAAAACAGGGGGAAACCCTCGCAATTTTTTTTAGGTCAGCGGAGTTTTCAAGCGATTTGATTGGCTAAAGCTTGGGAGTAGTGAAATTAGATAGATGTATGTTTAGAATAACGAAATATAGACAAAGGAAATAAAATTAGAACTGAATATATTTATATGTTATTCCAAGATTGAATGAGGATTAAAATTGTTGTAAATTTGCAAGTTATTTATAGTTATTTGGCAGTGTCGCCGCAGCAATAGGATCTTAGTCTTGTATGCGGGATAATTATAGAAGCCTTAAACCAGCTAACAAAGATGTGCTGCAAGAAAGCTCACGGACCACCGGCCAGGAACGAACAACAAGAATGATCCAGGACAGAATGCAATTCTTAGCTTAGTAGGTTATACGCAAGAACATTTGTCAAAAGTAAAACCTGCTTTTAGGGACGATAGGTCATAGGCGCTACCACACTTCAGGAACCAGGATACAGATTAGCCATTTGATCGCACGCCCTAGACAATGTACACAAGCAATAGCATTAAATAACGGTACTAGGGCCTCTGCGATACTACTGTTCCATTGTCCCAGCAGAATATTTTTTATCCATAATCATAGTGATAGTATTTAGGGATAGAGTCGAAGAAGAGGCTACACTGGCTAGCTCTGATAGATGATAATACTACAATAAAGTTTCTATCGTTGTCTGTTGTTTGCTGCTATCATTCCTCCGAAGAAACACTTTATTGCCTCTGTCTGACAGTCTTGCTATGGTCTTTTTGATTGGCCCACCACTAAAAGTAGTGTTGTAGTAATCAATCAGGTTATGGTGAGGTTGAAATGCGGAGTGAGGCATCCTTAGACGCTACACTCCAGATGTAAATTACGAGATTGCCAAGCTAAGCAGATTGGCAGCTTTCCATATTACACATTAGTCATTACCAGCGATGCCAAAAACTCATTATTTTCGCTTTTTTAGATCATGGAATACTGCAAATGCAAATTTTCTCAAAATACATAACTTAGATTTGTTTGCTGCTTGCGACATGAAGAAGGACTAAACAGCCAGATTTATTTATATAATGACAGAACGAATAATTGAGAAAGACCAGATCCTGTTACTAACTGGAAGTTACCGCCAACCACTCAGCATTTGGCATCATTGTCATGGGATTAAAGGCACAGTAGCGTATGAGTCAAGTGAAGAGGGCCCAGCATGTGAACCTATATTAAAGTACTAGAATCTAATTCCACACTCGTCGTTTCTCAATGAACACAATGATTATCCACAAATAATTTGCCAGGCCCAATTATTATTCATTATACCCCAACAGTACACATATCAAAATAATGAAATCTTTGTTCCAAGATGAAAAAGCTTGGATATCAGAACTATAGTGTTGACCGTTTCAAAGAGTATAACGTTACCAGGAGCATCACGAATGTTTCATGAATTTTCATTTCCTACCAGGCGGACATGCATTGCTTTTTTCTTCGCCATTAGGAGAGCAAGATGGCGTAAACGTTGTCCAAATCATTGTTTTATAAGAAATGAATATGCGAAACTTTTTCAGAAGACAATTACATTCTAAAAATGTGCCTGATATTGCCAACATGGCACAGGTCTCCTTTTTGAGTGCGACTTCTTCTCAATGCAGGGACTTTGCATCACCTTCCCGAAACGTCGAACAAAAGAACCAAAATTATATAAAATCTCAGAGATCAGATCATACCGAATGCCAGATTATACATTATAGAAAAACGACCATTGTTATGGTGAAGAATCATTACGAGATAATTGGTCTAAAAAACCCTGAAAGCAGCCCTTTAATTTTGATGGTTCATGGCGCTGGCGGTGATTTGCATCACTATAAAACTGTCACTTCAACACTTGTTGAGCAAGGTTATCGTGTCTTATTGATCGACGTACGCTATCATGGTTTGTCTCAGCCCAAAGAGGATGATACAAAAGACCCAGGAAAGACTTCCTGGACATTTGACGATGTTTTACAAGATGTTGACACTATGCTGACAGACATCAAGGAAAAGCATTACCAAGGTGTTGATCAAATTCAACTATTCATAGCAGGCCTTTCTATGGGAGGTATGATTGCATTACTATATGCTGAAAAGGAGAGCAAGCGCAAGAGAGAGGATGGCATTCATCTGGCTGGCATTATTCCAATCGCATCGGGCATCCCTCATCTAGAAATTCCTCGATTGGGTTGGGATTTGTACGCTGAAAGAAGAGCTACTTTAGAAGACCTGACATGGACAAGGTCAGCTATTATTCAATCATCGATTACTCCTTACGGTCAAGATCAAACGAGACGAGCTATGGAGCTTATATCAAATCATGCATTGTATGAATGCCTGGTTGCTATAGCGACCATGCTTCCCAATCCTTCAAACCCTCCTGTTTCTTATACCGTGAGATCAAAGTTACCGACGTTGTTGTTGATCCCGGAGCAAGATGTTCTAACCAAACCTGAAATGGAATTATTGTATCAGCTATGTGTGGAGCAAGGTGTTAATGCTGAACGTGCTTATATTCAGAATGCTGGACATATGGTTATCTTAGATCAAGGAGAGCAAGTGGGTAAGCACATTTCAGCATTTTGTAAACGCATCATCCATGAATAAATATATAGCCCTTTTATTTAATTTTGTTTTTTCATGCCCTCTTCTTCCTCTAATCTCTTTTGTGATTGTGATAATAAAAATGTACCAGCCAAGATGAAACTGGCGCCAATCCACCATCTTAGTGCTAACGGCTCATCGAATACGAGATATCCCAAGATAGCCTACATGTAAAAAAGTATTCAGCTATCATTGATGCACAAGCGTGTCTGTTAGCTTACGGATGCACTGAAATTCACAGCTCCGTTTACAATGGAAACCTGCACAGACGAAGTTGCAGCGTTGAGAGCCTTTGTGAATGTAGTCCACATGACAGAATTGCAGCCAAATATCAGAGCAAAACAAACGCCCCTCGTTATCAACAGAGATGTCTAATAAAGACATACATTAGCATCTTGATGTAGAGGCACAACATTTCTTGTATTTTACATGTTCAGGAACAGCATTGAAGTGTCCCGAGATGTACGAGTGGAATACAGCAGTTTTTTCATCAGAGAAAAGCTTTGCAAACACTGAAGATAGAGCAGCAAAGAGCCCCGAGACGATTGCAAACGGAATAAAGGATGATGTTGATTTTGCCATGGAGAAACAGTGTCTGTATGCGTGCTTGATACATGAACCTTTCCACCCTTTCAATGTGACCGTATAAAAGCTGGACATGATGAAAAAATTTGGAATGATGGCTCTCAGATACGCGTATTTTCTCTTTCATCAATCACTTTGAGAACGACAACATGAATACCTTCGGCTCAACAGGTAAATGGATGCTTTCTGTAGACAAAAAACGCAAGTAATTGACACTTTGTTAACTAGCTAATACACAATCGTCTGCTGGCACATTGTTTGGAGCCACACCTGCAGCGCCTGCTACAGGTAGTCTATTTGGCTCAAGCAATACTAGCAGTTCTGCAGGCACATTATTTGGATCGAACACTGCCAACTCTTCAGCAGCAGGTACACTGTTTGGTGGTGCAGCATCTGCTGCTCCTGCTACGTCTACTGCCGGTAAAGCTTGCTTGGTGCCAACCCAATGACATCCATTCACAATGATATCTATAGGATTTGGAGGAGGATTTGGATCTACACCAGCAGTTAGCACAACGTCAGCCTTTGGAACGTCTGCAGCACCATCGTTATTCGGAACACCCGCTACATCTACAGCAGCACCTTCCACTGGATTTGGCGGTTTTGGAGCAACCACTACATCTACAGCAGCACCTTCCACTGGATTTGGCGGCTTTGGAGCAGCTGCTACATCTTCTGCAGCACCTACTACTGGGTTCGGTGGGTTTGGAGCACCAGCTACCTCCACAGCAGCACCCACTAGTGGATTTGGTGGATTTGGAACCTTGACCTCACAGCCAGCAGCAGCCCCTTCAGCATTTGGTGGGTTTGGAGCCACTGCAGCAACTTCACAGCCTGCTACTAGCACAGCAGGAGGCTTTGGTGGATTTGGAGCAACGACCGCAAACACATTTGGTGCAAACACTACAGGAGGATTTGGAGGATTTGGAGCCAAACCACAGCAAACAGGATTTGGCGCGCCACAACAGCAGCAGCAACAGCAAGTAGGAGCTCCTCCACCAGTGCAAGAGAAAGTCTGGCAAGAGCTTGCGTTGATCAGAGCACATTTCGACCCTAATTCACCCTTGTGTCATTTCAGAGTAATTCAAGCCCTTCTGTATACATGCTGGAACAAAGAAAACTGACACAATTCATAGCATTACTTTTACAACATGGTTCCTCCTAACGAAGTGCACTTGTACGTTCGCCCTCAAAATCAAGACGAGCAACTATGGAACGAAGCTCAACGCAAAAACCCAGATCCCACAACGCTGGTCCCTGTATTGGCAGTTGGATTTGATGATATCCTGAAGCGTATGGAAATTCAATCGAAACAGCTGGAATTACATCAAGAGAAATTGAGAGAGACTGCAGAGAGATTGGCACATGTGCAGCGTCGACATGAATTGGGCACACTGGTCAAATTAGATGAACATAAACGTCGCCATACAGAATTCACCCAGCGATTATTACGAGTAAGTCAACCTGCTTGTCTAGTGAAAACATGTGGTTTCTAATTCGTTATGCTAGCTTCTTCGATACAGCCAAGTTTTACGCTACAAAAATTTCCCACTCTCTGCTGATGAGGAAAAGTCAATGCGACAATTGGATGAGTTGAGCAAATACCCCAATAGACCAGAAGAAATGAATCAGAGATTGATGGCAATTAGAAACCAACTAGAGGCAATCAAAGCACGCCAAATGGGACATGCCAACCAAGGCAATGGATCTGAAGTCTGGCGCACTGTGAATGAAGAGGATTTGAATGCCATTGCCAAGGTTTTGGAAGACGAGCAAAAGGGCATCAAACATGTAGAAACCATCTTGAGGTCAGACACAAAGGAATTAGACTTGATTGAATCCGCTTTAAACGAACGTCGTAAATCGTACATGACAAGACACTAATAATGAAAATAAAGTATACTATTGTACATGAAAAAAGAAACGATACATGGCCAAATACAGCAATCCATCGTCGCTGTTTCGTGAGACAGATATACATTGCACAATAGTAAGATCTACAAAATAAACAGCAACCCGGGCTTTCTGTAATTGATTGTGTTCATCTCTCTCTCTCTCTCTCTCTCTATAACATCACCTTAACTATGCCATTGCGTCTGCCCCTGTTGCCTCAAGAGACCAATTTATATACAGTCATGACAACTTGCAGGCGATAGCTCTGATTTACATTACAATGAATAAATAAATGAGGCGATGAAATGACACTGTATTACAATTCAGCTAATTTACCACATATAATAAGGCAGTGTAACTTGTTTAACACGAGCTCGATTATTGACTTTGGTGTGGTTGTATAATCAAATGCCATTTGATGTGGGATTGTACAAAACACTGTTTTAAGGAGACATGTTTGTTGCAATTCGAATAAAAATAAAGAAATAAAAGGCACTCAGAGATTCAACGAGAGGGAGATTTTCCAAATCTTGTACTACACGCTGTATAGTATTTAAGACAACTTGCCTCTCCCCTGCTCTTTCCTTCTTCTTTTCTTTACATTTTTACAAAATCTCAATTCAATTCATACAATGAAATCCCTGTCCATCATTTCCAGCATTGCACTTTTGATCAGTGCTGTCGTAGCTCAAGAAGGTGCTACTGTGCCCACCACAGGAGCTGCTGGTGCCTCTACCTATTCTTGTGATCCCAACACCTGTAAGATTGCCAACAACTGCCTCTGTGCATCTCAATCCCCTCCTGGTGGTCTCTCACCTGCAGATACACCTCAAGTAATGTAGACAAACACAGCCCATTGACAACAAGCTCACTCATCCATTTGCAGTTTGTTACAGTTACTTTTGATGATTCAGTTCAAGAAACACTGGCCAAGACCGCCTTGTCCATGGTCAATGTTACGTAGGTTTATTTTTAATCACACATAATTTGCTATTTATAATTTTAACTTGATGTCTAAACAACAGAAATCCCAATGGCTGTCCTGGTCACGGTACCTGGTAATTTAACTGCTATTTTTGGATCTATTACCAAAATTACTAAATGCAATCGTCTGTGTAGGTTTGTCTCGATGGAATACACTGATTTCTCATTGGTTCAACAATGGTACGCTGCTGGAAACGAGGTTGCAGAGTAAGTGTTATGCACATACAGGATCATGTTCAGACACGTTGACATTTGGGATCAATAGTCATACCTTCTCTCATGTCGGTACTCCCTCCGCCGAAGAAATCAGCAGCACCAAATCCATGTTGAATGCTTATGGCGGTATTCCCAACCAAAAGCTTCAAGGATTCCGCGCACCCTTCTTGAATTACACCAAGGACACTTTGAACATCCTTAGCCAACAAGGTTTCTTATACGATTCTAGCTCCAGTGCTGTCACCGACGACGCCTACTGGCCTTACACTCTGGACAATGGCATGGCAAATGATTGTTGGACCGGTATTTGTGCTGCTGGCCAAGTCAAATTGCCTGGTCTTTGGGAAATCCCCATGTATTCAGTCCTTGACAATGCCAGTGTACCTCAATTGATGGATGTCTATCTCGCTGGTTCTCCCGCTGATGTTCAACAATGTAAGCTTTTTCATTTCAGTCGAACGTTTCACAAATGCACATTTTAACCATCGTCATTTAAAGGGAGTCAAGCTGCTTTCGACAAGCATTACAACGGCAACCGTCAGCCATTTGGTATCTACGTGCATCCCAGTAAGTATAAATAGTAAATCATACACCAAAGAGTCAAATGTTCACCCAGCTCCTCGACATCAGCCCATTTAACCACATATGCCGGTCTTCCCGATCCCAAGGACATGTACAATGGTGTGATAGAATTCATCCAATCCATTGCTCAAAAGCCCAATGTCTGGTTTGTCACCAACCAACAGTTATTGCAATACATGAAGAACCCCGTCAAAGCCTCTGAACTCGGTGCTCAAGACTACATGCAATGTAAGCAACCTGTTATTCCCAAGGAAATCTGTAACGGTCTCGACGATGATCACAATGGTTCAATTGACGATGGCTTAGTCAACAGGTAATAAATGCCCAATTTATTTATGCAGAAACACAGGCCTAACCTCATTTATTTCACCCATATGATAGTTGCAATTTCGGTACCACTAGCATGAAGACTTGTTTCAACTGTCCTGCCACCACTCCTACATTGAGCAATCCCACCCCAGCCTCATCTGTTCAAAATGGTACTGCTGGCTACCGTTATCCTATTCCTGACAACTGCGAGTAAGTATTTTGTTTCTTTACAAAAGAGGAAGATGGAAATGTATTTATAAAAATGCTTATTTTTAGTACTACATGGTGGGATCCTATTGGAAACACCTGTCTCTGTACCACTGCTGATTGTCAATTGAAGAGCATTGCTGTCTCAAAACCTAATACCACCACTCCTGCTGGCGGATCAAATGGTACTTCAGCCAACAATGGCAGCTCCTCCAACGCCCATACTAGCGGCGCTGCTATGAACACTGTTGGCCCTATCACTGCCTCTGCCCTGGTTGCTGGTTTGATGGTTGCTGCCGGCCAATTGCTCTAGAAAAAAACCACATCCTTTAATTATTACTTTTTTGTTCTTTTACCTCATTAATGCCATAAAAATAAATTGCTAATTTTACACGTATATAATGATAATTTATTGAATGTATATGATATTCGCATGATTTTTTCTAGTTATAGAACTGATATGGAGGTAGAGATGGAGGAGAGAAGATTAAAAAAAAAGAATAGCATACTAGCAAATGGCCTGTTACAAAGAATTAGCCACTTTTTGTTTGATTTCTAAAATTGTATTCAAAAATTCGGTATCGCTACAATAACAACAGCAACAGCCTCGAGTTAGTATATCCAGTTCCATAGTGCTGCTCAATATAAATTGTATCACTTACTTTCTGTTTTCTGAATTCGCTGATGACAAGTTGAAGATGCCGGCCATCATCTGTTCTGCCACTGCTTGAGTGACAGTAGGCGGAAAATCACGCAATAGACGCAAGCATTCGACAATCTCATCCAGCATGACATTTCTGGATGCACTGCAAATACAGAGTCGTAACAACCCAACTACGGTGCGCTCAACGACCAAGACACTTTGCTTGTCTGCAAATTCCAGGATACCAAAAATGTACTCAGTAGCGTAAGGCCACAATTCCTCGATTCTATCTGCATTGCGCACAGTAATAGTGATCATGAGCTCCAAGAATAAAACAGTGGCAGGGTCATAGGCAATCGTGATAGTTGCCTTCTTCATGTTTTCTGTGTCGTATCCTACTGAGCGAATGGCTGTCAACAGGCTTTTGAGAGTGTCTGTCTGAAGTGTGCTGATGTCTGTAAACAACTCTTCCAATTTGCATACTGCTATACAATCCACAGCACACATGGTGCTCTCCACTTCTTCATCTGTCGGATCACGGCAATACGTTTCATCGCTAGAGTAGGGTGAAAGCAGATAGGATGACAGTGTTGACAGTAAGGAGCCGTCGCGACGATTGGCTTGCTTTACAGGTTTGGGGCTCTTGGGCTTTAATGGGATGCTGGTGGTGCCTGATAGAAAATCCTCTACTTGCAGCATGGAGCTTGGTAGCAGTGAATTGAGGAACAGGTTTCGAATGATTTGCAGTATCTTTGGCCATCCCTTTCTAAGTGAATCGCCATGTCGAGTGACAATAGTGAACATGACAACAGCAGCTAGTTGACCCTTGTAATTGCGTCCAAAGCGAACAGCCAGTTTGCTAACCACGTACTTTTGACCTGCAATATCCACAATAGGATCAGGCACAGAGGTATTGCCATTGGCATTTTCCAGTAGACCGGTCATGGTGGCCAAGTTGACGATAATGCTGTCAAATACATCGTACAGCTCGAAATGAGCTGCTAGGCTGGCACATTGACGGAATCCAGTGATGGCCTTTTCCAACGTATCATCATCTTGTGCTGTGTTGAATACATAGGAAATAGCTGCAACTACGGGTTTCCAAGACAGCTCAAACACGGCTTTATCATAGGTGGAGGTGTGGCATTGGATGAATTGTCCGCACATGGTTGATCTGTGTTGCAGCTGCTTCCACGCATAGTTGAAGCCTAACAGACCTTCGTGCTCTTCAGGCATCAGAATTTCGTTTTGCTGGATGGCTTCATAGATGGATACAAGGTACTCTCTGGGGAAATCCTTCTTGTCATTGACACCACTGACGTTGCGAATGTATTGGTCTACCGACATACGAGATTGACGTCTGATCTGAGGACTGTGCTGATCTACATTCAGCATGATGACAGAGTAAGCTAGAATTTCGGCAGCCTCGATATTAGCAATCTCCTTAGGCCCAGAAGCAAAGTATGTGGCTGCAAATGCCTCTGTCACTCGCATGATTTGCTGTGATTCACCAGGCAAACGGAATGTCTCCAAAATCATACGCATGGCTTCATCCATACGCTTGCCTGAGAAGTTGAATTGCTCCATGTAGGCTCTCAATGTCTTTACGTTTTCAGGTCGACCTAAATACTCTCCCAATGCCTTCTTGTCCAACTGCTGAGTGGATCGCAGAAAATGGGACAGACTGGTGTTGATATCCCCGCTCTCATCCGCTTTAATGACGCTGTTTTCGACCAGGAATTTGATGCCCTTCTTGGGCGATTCATTGAACAGCCTGGACCCCTTGAGAATGAGCCTCTTTCTCGTCTTGCGTTCCAGCAAATCTTGAACAGAATCAAGCTCCTAGTAGCAAGTTAGTATATAATGATGAGTCTCTGCTAGTTAAATCAATGCCAAAGAATGCATCTTACACATACAACATAGTCATCGTCGTCCGTGTCATCCTGCTGTTTGCGATACATAAGCATCAGCCAGTGTGTCCCATTTGTTTAGCACTGCACAACATACCTGGTTCTCTACACGGTCCATCATTTGCGAGATGAATGTCAATAATGTATCCAGGCACAAGACATGCGAGCTCATCAGAGAGTAGGTTTGATGATCAGGGAAGGAATTCTACATGGCGCATGTGAGTCTAAACAGATTCAACCATGCAACTGCATGACTAACCTTGCTCAAAAACTGGATGAGCTCCTCAAACAAGTCGCCACACGTCAAATCACAATCATAGTTGTACCACAGATCAATCATAAAAGTAGGCTTGCGAGCAAACTGAACCAAGCTCTCGAGCAAGAGTTCACGCACTTCGCCAGTGATGACCATATGCTCTGAAGAGGAAGAGTACCCTTTGCTGTTTCTTGGATAATCAGTCGACTTGCCCAGAAACATGTTGGGTGAAGCGCTTCTCACATCGGTTGCTGCAGTGCTCTCTGAATCCACGCCATTTCTTATAGACACAAAGCTTATGTTGCCCTCGTCATCCACATCGACTGACACACCACGACTGCCCGCTCCTGAAGAAGGCGATAGACGCTCAATCAAAAAGAAGATAAAAAGCTCCTGCTGCAATTTCAAATAAGGTCGCAACGTGTCAAACACAGTGGTAATGATACGCAGCGAGTAGGCTAGTAAAGGTGTTGAATCTGTCTTTGCTAATTGGAAGACAAACTTGCAGAAATCGTCTGTGATCAAGGATCGAAGTGATTCAAAGCGGCCAATGCTTCTTCCTCCTACTTCAAAAGCGACATTGAGAATGCTGAGAGCCATTAAACGCATAGAGTCTGTGTGTTTGTGTTCGTGAGGGTTGAGCAATGATATCAGGACTCGAAGCAGTTCACGAATAGCGGGCAGTCCATAGGCTCGCAAGGTGGTGGGTTCCACTACTAGTAAGTTCGATTTAGTTGAGGCAGTGTACTCGACTACTGCATCATGTTATATTACCAGCTGTCACTTGGGGTATCTCTTCTGACTTTTGTGATTCCACAAGCACATCCTTCTCTGCTTGTTCTTGTTCAGTGTCTTGAGCTGTATCTTCTGTCTCAGTATGTGCTGCCGCATCCACTGCGTCTGTCGGTGTACTTTCAGCCTCTATCGTATTCTCTGCTGTGGATTGTGGAGTGGGTGATGGCGAGGGTTTTGGTGTACTCATATGAGGATCAGCTGGTTCTTCAGTGCCATCATTAGGGGACTCAACAAATTGCCATTCGTCCTCTAGATGCTTCAATCTATGTGTGTAAAGCCAATGAGCCAGCCATCCATGCAAAACCTACACAGTGTAAGAGCCTCACCTCTCAAATATCGCAATCACCATGTTTATCATGACATGTTCAGCAGATCTTCTCAGCATTTCTAATGTAGCATATAACATTACGACCTTGTATACACGCTTGTACACTCTACACTTACCACTCAATCTCATTTGACAGCACATACTGAGTCCCGTTTCCATCATCTCACACACGGCTTCATCACTCAGCACTTGCCCACACTCACTTGTGATGGCCATCTGCAATACTTGTAACATGCGAAGTAATACAAGCTCATCAGAAGCAGCATCAGACGCCTCGAATTTACAATGCGTTGCAGCAGAAGAAAGGGCATTCATGGCAGCAGACACTCTGGGATTGTGGACACCCACAATACCGTAGTGCAGCAGTTTTTCCACACTGCCTAATGCTGTGCCTGCAATGGGCCCTGTTGTGCTTCCAGAACGAATCACCTCCAGAAATGGAGTCAGCAAATTAACTGCATCGATATCTCGAACATCTAGGGGTATTTGTTGAGCAATGACGAATCTGTGCTGCTACAAGTGTGCTGATTGAATTTACCAGTTACAGTTTCCATGTAGGTTCTTAGGTTGGTAAATCCTTGCATCAAAGGGTTTTCCTACACTTTGAATCAGTACTCATGTCTACGCTTGATGATAACCACACATACCTCTCTGGTATTCGAGTCTTTTGTATTCATTTGAGCGCTACGTAATCCCATGCTGTTTCCCAAACTACCCATTCTTAATCCATTGACGCCCATACCAGACCAGCGTGCATTTTTACGCATGGCACTTGTAACGGCTATCATTAAAATACAATGTTAGTTTGCTGTTTGCTGTAGTTGTAGTTGTAGTTGTAGTTGTAGTTGTGCTTTGCTTACCAATGATTTCAGCATTGATAAGCTGTGGCCAGGATAACTCTGACTTGATTTTGGTGTCGCTAGTGTTGCTGATAGAGTTTTGTATTTTGCTATCATCTGCTGGTAAGGTGATGGCAGACCTGGAAGTGTCTGCAGTCATCGAAAATGGTTGTGATGAGTATGTTGAGACCATTCTTTATATGACGAAAACAATAAACGAGCTTCTGCTATAAATGGTTTATGTTGCTCTAAATGAATTGATTTCCAAAATGAAAGGCTGAACAAAATAGATAAAAAAAAAAAGAGGAAAAAAGAGGAGGAATTCGACTTTTATGTAAAAACGAATTTACACACACACACACACTCAGCACATTTTAGTGAGGCACAACGCAGACACAGACAGGATTTAGACATATCAGAATCGCACACATAAAATGTGCCTTGAAAGTCCGTAGTATTATTTCAATAGAGGTATTTATTGAGGATTCACTTGGACATTCATTGGGGCGTCTGTGCTAGCTATGTGAACAGGACCAGGTGCGTCATTCAAAAGATCCTTTGCTTTCTCAATAAAGGTACGATCCGTATACCATGCTTGCTTCAATTCGTCCAACACATCACCAAGGTAGACCCCGCTGGCCACAATCACCCGACCCAATGTCGGTATCATCTGATCCTTACTCTCTACTCTGGGTCGAATCTCCACCTTGACCTTCTCATGCTCGAAATCAGTCGCTACAAAGGACTTGAGATAGTCAAATGTGGATTGCTCCGGATCACTGTAAGCCAGTAAATCAATCACAATCTCTGTATGTGTGCGGAATGTTACAGGCCGACCTGTTGCAAATAGCGAGTTCTCCAGCTTTATATTGCCGTGGTGCGACATCCAGTCCATTATATCTGGTCGTGTGCCATAAAATACCCATCGATTGGTGTTTTCTGTACTGGAAACTGTGATTGTCTGGCCCAAAAGTGGAGGAGGAACAACTCGAGCGCCACTACCATCCACATCTAAGAGTGCAATCATTGAGTTGGCGCTTTCCTATATCGCTGGTGTATGCTAAACCTTACCAATTTCGTATCCAAATATAATAGCCATTGTTTGCAAGTGACTAGAAAGAGAAGAGAAAAAGGGAAAAATCCAGTCTGATTTCTCTGGTTTGCATAGGAATATTTTGTCTGGTAAGGATACACAAAGTTTGAAACCTTAAACTCACTCATAATAATGCTTGATCCCACATCAGCCCATCTGCTACTGATGGCACAATTGAACAGATACTTCCAAGTGGTCTCAACAAGCCATAAGATGCTGGCTCAACCGTGAATTGCGGTTTGCTATCTCTTTTAGTATCTATACGAGTGTGTTTATCGAGCTCTCGACCTTTGTACATCTCATTGCCACACTGAAAGGTTCAAGCTGATCCTCAGCTATTATAAGAGAACCCTCCCTAACTGTAGATCAGCCTTTCTTGCGATGCTCCACGTTTGCATTGATGAAAACAATGTAGCGCATCGAAATTTGGATATATTTGGGCCGTGTTTTTTCGTGATAGAAGCCGTTTTATGCTTTCAGAATAGCATCAAACAGTTGCCCTCGTCTAACTTTTGTTTCCTGACACCCTTGCTCAACTTTTTGAGGACCAAAAAAAAAGCATGACCAAAAAATTGACCAAAAAGCATGAGGTACCCCTCATGGTTTTCATCGAAAATCAAACGATCGCGTTTTTCACCTTGAAAATGAAGACTTTTACTATGGTATAATCAAGTCAAAATAATTGTCTCGATCTAAAGCAACCCCTGGAACATTGTTTATCAGATCTTCAGATGCAAATTCTCGACATTTTTGTCTAAAATCTCATTTCATATTTACACGAATACCTCGATAAGTTTGTTCAAAACGTATACTTTAGTTGGCACCATTGGATGCGCCCTAAAAATAGCTTCTAGAAACTATTAGGAGGTATGGGGTGATCATCACAGTTTACATAGTCGAATCTTAAAAAAGAGTTCAAACAAGTCGAATTTCTTCCATTTTGAGAAAAAATTAAATTAAGCGGAGAATAAATTAATTTTGGCAGCTGGTGGCAGAAATGATGCTTCCATGCCTAGTGCAATGGTAATTGATGCTGCTGAAAACTCATAAGAGGAGAGTTGCGAATGATATAGTGCTATCGTTTAGTCTGAGAGCTGTTTTTGTTATGCAGCTTTATCCCTGGTAGAGCCAATCAACTAGGCTTACCACCGCAACATTTATAAGCTCAAGTTCAGATCAAATAATTGCGACCATTTAAACTCTGTATATTTAAGAACTCTTGCAGCCAAATGTACATTGTACGCTTGTATCATTTACTGATAGAAATACGATGCATTAAGATCAAATTTGTAGGTCAGTATCCTAAAAATTAGCTATAAATTGACCTGTCGAGATGCCAATGAATCAGTTCCTCAATGAATAGATCTTAAATCCAAGGAATCAAGGATTGATTGGTACCTTGTTGAGTCTGTAGCGGTTGCGGACATTCAGTAACTCAGCAAGAGTCGGATCATGATTTACATTGTTTCTCATTGTCTACGTTAGGACATTAGGTTCGACACAGAAGTGAATCATATAATCGGTTATGATGGTCTCTGATAGTGAAGGATAATGATGGCTACAGATCGTGTCATCATGGCTGATTGAACGAATCGGATCCTTCAATTGACTGATATTAGATAAACATGATACGATGTATTGACTCAGTTGAAACAACAGGATAGATTGGTGATTCATCAGTAATGATCTCTTATAAATAGGATGTGTTTGAATCAATTAATAAATCTTTAGTTTTCGTATCTGGTTACTTTTTATAGTCTTCCTTTTTTGAAGTCTATCTTAATTTGTTAATACTGTATCTTTGGATACAACAGGTACCTGAATCCTGTTTACAGGTATATAGCAATCGTGCGAAATACAAATTCGTAAATAAACAGAGCGATGAGCGTGCTGAGAAAACCTTCTCGTTTGATAACCATGATGTGATATCTATATAATTTAGACTTCACGTCATTTAGTAACATGTAGAGTAGCACAAACATCAAATTTGGAGAGGTATTTTTATTTTTCTTGAATAGATTCTTCCTAACCTCTTTTCTTACTCTTCTTGATTATTTTAAAATGGGTGTTAAGATTTTGTTTTTATATGTTTTACGGTTACTTATACTATTAATGAGCCTGGGTACCTTGGGCTGCCATGTTGGTAATATAGAAACATGAAAATCATTATACTTGCTGCAATGTTTATACTCACTCCTCAAAATACATAGCTCAGCTTATCTTATTGAATCAAGTATCAGGTACTGGAGCATGGTGGCCAGATTTTGTTCCAGTAAGTGAATGGCATCTCTACATTTGGTGCAGCTACTCAAATCTCGGTATAGTATATTCTGTATTATGTGGGCCCCATTGTGTCCATTCTGTCTGCCACAATCCTACTAGTAGTCGGCTGTGTGTTCTCAAAATCGTTATGGAGTGATCGTATTACCAGCTGTATCAATTTGTTGTTATTTATAGCCATCATTGTATACAATTCACTTACATCTGGCACTATTCCTTGGACAGGATCAGTCAGTAACTCAAACACCTCTACAATGAAGGGCTATGTGACATACTGCTCCAATTACAGTGATAGTCTCATGTCAAACAGATGCTGTAAGTAGAATCCCCACACCTTCTTGTTTATTAGTTAATTAAAGACATCTGCAACAAGGGTTGACCAATGGTACCTGGCTTGGTATGGTGGTTGTAGGATTTCTCTGGTTGCTGTTGGGTCTGTACGCACTCATTTTGAAGAATTCAGACGTCTATGCAGAGGATTACGACACTTACGACTTTAAAGACGACGTACCAATGGCTAAAATGGCCACAGACTCTACTGCTGTTGGCAGATCAAGTGGTATTCCCGAACCACCAAAGCATACGCCCATGATGAGTCCCTACATGCTACCCCATCGTGATTTCGCTAATCAGAGCCAGGAGACTTACTACTACTCTACGCAAGGAACGCCAGCCTATGATTACACCAACAGCGACATCTACATGAATTCCATGCCAGTAGAAGATCATCATCTCTATAAAGCGACTAGCCCATTACAGCAGCAGTATCAAAGTCCCGCCAACGGTTTCGAGAGACAAAGAAAGGTATCCAAAACCTACCTCGAAGAGGAAGACCAGGAATCAGCGCCACTCTCAGCATCTGCACATTCTGGAGAGCAGCCACCTCACGCTTATGATGAACACCGTCTCTAATCATGTAAATACATCTGTATAGCAAACTTTTGTTGTTGTTTTGATAACCCCAATAAAGTAAATAATTATGTAATGAATTGACAGCATTTTTATTTTCAACAACATCCTGATTTTTCAGCGGCGGTAGGGTATTCGTTTTGGTAGATATCGGTGGTCATTGTCTTGTATAAATCATGACCATTTAGCTTTTTGACAAGTGATTGTGTAATTTCGAAAAAGACATCGTCAATGCCTTGATTCTCCTTTGCAGATACTTCATGTATACCGTTGACTATTAGCGTCAACCTATCACAATAGTCGAGCACTTTTGAGAAAGGTACCTTACGATCAGACTCCAGATCAATCTTATTACCGACGACATGAATGATGAGATCTTCTGACATGTTCTTATTGAGCTCTGCGCAGAGATGAATCAGAATTTATTTAGGAGAGCGATAGCGAGCATGTATATTACCTTCCATCCAAGATGTCATTTCCGTAAAGCTCTCCTCAGATGTGATATCGTACACCAGTATAGCTGCAGATGCACCACGGTAATACATGGGTGCCATTGCCCTGAATCTCTCTTTTTATTTTTATTTTTTATTTTTTGTACAATGTTGGTTATCTATGATTCAAAATCATCTCCAATGTATTTTATTTACCTTGTCCGCCCGTGTCCCAGATCTGAAGCTTGACGACGGTTTCATCTACTATCCTATAGCACACACACATCGCCCTTAGCATTTCATACATAGCGCAGCAATGGCACATCACTTACAGTTTCTTGGTCAAGAAGGAGGCTCCAATTGTTGATGTTCCATTCGGTGAAAATGTGTTTTTGATGTATCGAAGAGCCACAGAGGTTTTCCCGACAGCTGTGATGAACATAAAATAATCAAGAAAGAACTAAGTAACTACATTATTTGAATTATACGATGATGTTTGTGTGAAATGGGTTAGTGTTTGGCCCAACCTTACAACAAAATCATCTCTCTCTTTCTCTCCTTTTTTTTTTTTTTTTCTCTCCAGACATACTTTTTTTTTTTTTTTCTTTTTTTTTTTTCTAAATCATGAAAAATACGAGAAAAAAGGCTAATACGAACCTGAGCTCCCTAGAATAACAACTTTTGCTTCCAAAGTGTTCATTGTTTGGGTTTGTGATCAACAAGTAAAGAATGAAATGGAGGAAAAAAAGAAAGAAAAAGAAGAAAAAGAAAATATATTTGACCAAATTGTGATTTAGTCGTTTTTATTTTTTGCCGTGCCACCATACATAAACAAAGTGGCTGTAAACAGCACTTCATTATTGCACACACACACACACATACACACACACACACACACAAAAACCAAGTCATTTTGAGTAAACTGATGAATGTTTTGATTTGAATGCGAAACATTATTGCTTTAATTTATTATTTATTATCCTGCTGGGAAAGTTGAGTGTATTAATTGAGATGATCAACTCCCGCTCATGTATGAGTGTTGAAGCAGACCATATAAGGTTGGAGTGAGCAGACATCCACAAGCCAAAAGCCCATGATAAGCTAGAGCGTCGTAATCAGTTGCTCTGGTTTTTATGTGAGGCCTATTGTACAGGTGCCAATGATCGGATCAACTTACTTGGTGGTGGTGTCAACATGTTACCATTCCACGTAACATCAATGACGCTATAGCTATCATTCATTATACCCGATTTAACCTAAACCTTGAATCATCACAAATCAAGCCCTTAATCTATCACGGGTGATTTCCGCAGCGCATAGATGTGATGCCTATCAGTAACGGATACACATTTAGGGCGTATTGTATCATGCAAAAATGGAATTGTGATCCTTGTAGCACTGACTTGATCATGGACATGGATGGCGTGTTTTCCTCGCCGAGTAACAAGATCAATATGACCTTGACGAAGAATAACCCGTGGCTACACTCGTCGTTAGAATCATATTTTTGGGGCCATTCATACAAAGACTATAAAAATACATTGAATTCTACCGTGTTTCATCTTTAGTACAATCAATGTTGAAAATAGCCACTGTAGACTCACAATCCAATCTGATAAAGCAATCAATGCATCGAAGAATCATAGTCTGTTTGGACGGTACATGGGAGACACCACAAGGTTTGAATGTTTACATGCATGTAAATGATTATATACATGTGCTCAGTTGTTTCATGATACAGAAAAGACAAATGTTTATAGATTTTACAACAATATCAGCATTGATAATGCAACCGATGGCTGGGAATACATTACTGGATACTATCCTGGCTTGGGCACTAATGGAAACTTTCCTTTGCTAGGTGGCATCTTTGGCTATGGTATCAGTGAGCAGATAATCAATGCCTATGAGTTTATATGCAAGAACTACAAAGCTTTGCATGATGAGCTTTGGCTGGTAGGCTTTAGTAGAGGAGGTATATGTATAACTGCCGTGTGCAGGAAACAGTTTTAATACTTTAAATCCAATAGCATATGCTGCAAGAAGCTTGTCAGGTATGATCTACAATGTAGGCTTATTACCAAAGGACAGTCTGTCAAAGTCCAAGCAAGCATACGATCTGTATCGAGATAGATGCGATGCCAGCAGACCTATGAATGAACTTGCCCTCAAATTTAGACAGGACAATCAATGCAGAATGCCAATGATCCACTTTTTGGGCTGCTTTGACACAGTTGGTGCTCTTGGTGTGCCCAAACTGCCTTGGTATTTAGGTGGGTCTATCTGTAAGTATTACCATGTAATAAGGTGATCATGGCATGAAACTAATCCGACATGCATATAGTCTACAGTGTGTTCCTCGGTCTGCATGGCTTCCATGACACCAAACTGACACCTATTGTAAGAAACGCTTATCATGCCATTTCCATCCATGATCAACGTGCTTGGTTCAGCCCCACTCTGATGCACTTTTCAGAGGTCGCCCCTGATCATCATCAATCATTGGAACAAACCTGGTTTCCTGGTATGCATGGTGATGTGGGCGGTCAAGAAGTAGGCGCTTACAATAACTTGCTCTCATGCCATTCTTTGCATTGGATGATGGATAGAGCCAGAAAGAATGGGCTCAAGTTTAAAAACAATAAAGCAACTTGCAGCTCTGCAGATCATCACTTTATCTACGAGGATAGCTATAAAGGCTCAATCATCTATAAGCTCATGCCTCGACAAGATAGAGTAATTGAAAAGGACCAAGTGGCACATCACTATACACTATCGCAATTGTATGAAAATGGCGAGTTCTTGAATTATATGACTCAAGAGCAGTTAAATATGTATAAATCAAAGACATTAGAAGAGTTTTATAAGAAATACAATGAGCAATAATAAACAGCCTTGTCCATTCTTATAATACATAGCGCAATGGTGCCACCTATTCCAATGAGGCACTAAGGTCTCTGATCTTTGCTGCATCTAAGACTTGAAGATTTCTGCACTTTTCCAGCAAGATGCCATCTTCATCAAAGGAGTATCTCATGGCGAGTCCCTGAAATGTGAGCACACGTTTGATCACAGTAGCAATGACACGATGCTTTCTGAAATTGACCAGCGGCTGATCCAGACACGGTGGCAGATTTCTTGTATTGTTGACGCTGTAAATTCGCTGACTCTCCAAATTGGGTTTCAGGAACCGAGGCTTTTCCGAGTTGAATACCAAATCAGAGAGATAAATACCCAGGAAGGGAATACATCCACCAAATGGAATCTTGATGCGGGTGGTTTTCTTGAACTTTTGTCTGTTGGCGGTAGTGCCTGGCATCTCGACTTGCACTTCAGCAGGTGAATTGCCGTACTCTTCAGCGACTTCGGTCATGCTGTCACGAATGTTCTTCCAATTCTTCATAGGCGAGGTGAATTCTGTGAGTTGACTGAGCAGTTTCTGGCACTTTGTGCTCACTTTGGACCATGTCTTCTCAAGACGAGCTACGGCAGGCGATTGCAAACCCAAAAGAATTTGCACCAGCGTTGCATAGTTGGAGTACATTTTACATTTCTACATGCAAGCATGTGAGTTATATTACTCAAGTACAAGAAACTGGATGCTTACCTTGGCCAGTCGAATGAACTTTTCAATCAGCTTGACTCTTTCATTCATGTTTCTTGTCCTCACAATTTCAGACGAAACCCACTGACAGACTATGTTGAATCGTTGAATCACCTGCTCAATGCCCTGTTCTTCGGTGCGTCTTTGCTCTGTTTGCCGAGTATAATTGATCTTTTCGTCGTCATATCCCTCGTCATAGCTATGCGATGGCTCATCTTGGATGGGTGTTGTGTTGATGTTGCCGCTAGAATCCATCTTGGTCCATTTGCAGTGAATGAGCTCTTCCCATCCTACCTTTATCAGCACATCTCTCTCTATAAAGCATAGTTGACTTGCAAGCATACTGGTTCTGTATGACATGATGAAGCAGCGACCATTGAATCTTGATGGCATGTTCACTTGCTCGGGCATGGAGCGAGGAATAGACGAGGGCGGTGGGTTTAAGGTGTCTCTGGTTGTGTTCTTCTCCAGACTTGTGCTAGATTCTGGTGGGAAGCCCAATTCAATCATCTTTGATCTAGGCACATGTGAAGTAGCAGCTTCGGATATAAAAGACATTCTGGCACGGCTGGAGCTGGCTTGTGCTTCTGTTCGGATGGATCTCTCAGAGGGCACAAAACTGGCTGTACTGGCATCATCCTCATCCTCACTGCCGGATGAATCATGTGGGCTGTTTCCATCTCCCACAGCAGAGCTAATTAAGCTGCGTGCCTGCAAATGTCCTAGATAAACAGGGCCACTCTTTATCTCTTTGGGCGACTTTTGATCGTTGGTGTGAATGCCGAGATGGTTGATCATGGCTTGTTGATCCATGTCGATGCTGGCTCCACGCTTGCGCCTCAGCTCAAAACTACGTCTACGCTCTTCATCAGCAATCAATATGACACTTAGCCTCTTGCAGTTGGATGTGCCTTGACTGTTGCCCGAGCATTTGACACAACCACATTCAACTTCATCTAGCGAATCGTCGTTTTCATCTATACTGCTGTGTCGAAGACGCTGAGCAATCAGGCTCACCCATTGGCTGCTTTGCGGTTGCTGATGCTCTTGCTGCTGCTCTTGCTGCTGAGGTGTAGGTATCTCTTGCATTTTTTGCTCTTCTGTTGCACCTACTTTAGAGGGTGAGCTACCGGCTGTGGTCTCTTTTGCATGCTTGTCTTCGTCGTGGTGATTCGTGGGTCTGAATACTTTGGACAACACTGTTGACAGTCTGCGCTTAGGCTGTTCTCCATTCTTGGCTTCCTGATCGTTGGCTTTGACTGCCACTTGAGTTGCTTCGTATGGGATGGATGCGAATGCTTCAATGGCGGCTTCATTAGCCAGCTCCTCTGTATTTGATTTTTTCTTGAGCCCACTCTTCTTCTTTTTGATGACTCTCTTCTTTGGCATGCCACGCTGGTCAAGCATTTCTGGTGTTAAGGGAGGCAGTTCGGGCACTTCAGGAACCTGATCATCACTGTGCGCGCCAGTCAGGTAAGGCGATGTTGCAGCAGACGAGGGAGCAGAATGCCAAGGAGATGTAGCATCATGGAAGCTTCTCTCACTCTTGCGACGCTCAATGCTTTTACGAGACAGCTTTCTCGAGAGACCAGTGGGCGACTTGCTTTGCAATTCATCACCACTCAATTCTCTTAGCAATTCGTCTGGTAAAGCGTGATCAGCATGGAGTGGGGGGTGATCATCGTCTGCCTTGCACCAGCGTTCTGATGGCACACGACGCACCGTCTTTGAGTTGGCGATACTGTGAGCCGCAGGTTTTGCAGTAGATGCTACCTCTTTGCTCATTTTTATAAATTCGGACGGTATCTTGGGTCGAACAGGATGTATGGAAGTGGGCGATTCGGTTAGGACCTCACAAATATCATCTTGTTGCTGCAGTTGAGTTGTGTCGATGGCGTTGTGAGGTTCTGCTGACTGATCCAGCGCCATTTTGCTTGCTGAATTAAAGTACTCTAATGTCTCTTGCTGCTCCCTAATCCATTCTCGGTCATGTTCATCATCTTCAGCATAATACTCTTGACCCAAGTGCAAAGGGTGGTCTTCGTCTTCTGAATCGTCGGATTCCAGAGGGGCAGTTTCGCCTGCGCTGAGTTCGCTTTCCAAAGAATCATCGGAAGCAACGCTAGCCACAGAGCTTGCCTCAGCAGCCTTTGTTTCATGTCCTACCTCTGCTTCCACAGGTTGATGCACGCTTTTATCGTATCGATGGTGCACAGAAGATCGAATAGTCTGACTGTCATCTACCACCATCACGTCTGAACTGTCCTGCGTAGGCTGCTGTGTGATAAATGGCAGTTTGCTGAAGTTGTGAGACGAATCGACCCCTGAATCGATGAAGCTGCCTTTCATGTTGAGACTACCGACAACGACAACGGGCGCATACCGAGCATCTTGCACTGCCATGTTGCCATTGTGATGGCTACTCATGTCCACACCGAGCGCCGTCTTGCGTCGGATAACATTCTGCGACAATTTGGCTCTGACAATCTCTCCCATCTGTTCTTGCTCTGCTGTAGGCGGTGGAGGCGCAATGACTTTGACACGAGAAGCGCCTGAAGATCGGTTGTAGTACAGCTTCTTTAGTCGTCGCACAACACGCTTCAGTATTTTCACAATGCGTTGATCGCGTGGAGATGTTTGGACTAGTGGATGTCGTGGGAGTCTGTTGAGGAATTCAGTCAGAATAATACGGAGTGGCCTATTGCCGATAAAGTCGTGCACAAAGTAGTTGTTGAGCCAATGTCTCAATACAACAAAGGTTCTAGCGTCTCGTTATTAGCATACGATATGTAGGTAACAGGCTAAAGATGCGTACCTGATTCTGACTATGCGTCTTGATTCCTCGTCATTCTCCAATGCCCAGTAGAATCTGGACACGAGCAATTGACACAGATCCGTTGAATCCAGAAAGTCCCTGTAGGTCAGAAAGAAATCTGTCATAAAAGTATAGTCTACCGTATACAAAATCAGTCGATGAGGCTCGCTCAATCATGTGCAGCTTCTTACCTAGTGTAATGGTCAGCTTTTCTACCAGCTTGTGAATTGTGGCAGCCTCGATGACCTTGGGTATATCCATCATGCTCTTCTTTTCTGCCTCCATTGCTTCCTTGATCTTGTTATTCTTGGTTAACCCGAATGCCTTTTTAAGTAAAAGCGAGCCATGAGTGGTAGTAGCAGTAGTACGCTGATCATTGGCCGAAGCAGAGTGCTTTAAAGTAGGTCTTGCTAGTTTAAGGCTTTCCGACCAATGTTGTGCTGATAGACGAACCGACGCAAAGTTGGGTCTGCTGCCATTGTTGTTTTTGAGGGTTTGTATCGATTTACTGCGAACAAGCGTAGATGTAGTATTGGATGAGAATCCCTTCAATTCAGGTCGTGTGTGTTGGTTGTTATAGAGAGTGGCATAAGAAGAGGGTCTCTCAGGAGTTGTAGTGGTAGCCATCGATGATGAGAGTACAATTGGATCGGGCCCCCATATAATAAAGCGTTCATCTTCATCTGATACAATCAGATCGAATATCTCTGGCATGCCGATAATCACAGCCACTCGCGTATTTGCCTTCAATGACTCGTCGTCCTCGTCTACATTGCTGGCTTGCTGTTTGTTGTTGGATTGAGATGGTAGCGTATAGGCACTTTGCACAGACGACATGGAGCCAGAACGCAGGATAGGTGTGGAGTGGATCAAAATGGAGGAAGGGTTTGCTGGAAACATCAATTCGACGCCATTTTCATCCTCGATCAGTATGTCGTTGAATTTGCTGACAGTGGGGATATGAGGTAGGGAAAAGCTCTTTGTGGGTGTTGGGATGGGAGCAGATGCTGATGTTGCACCTAAAAATGCAGGTTTCAAAAGTTCATTGGATCCAACGGGATCAAGCACAGAGTCAACGTAGGACGAGATGAAAAACTTGGATCGATGGTGACCCTGCAGCAGGACATCTTCGTCTTCATTGTGTGTTTCTGCTGAGAGCGAGCGACTGACGACAGAAATGCCGTTTACTGACACATAGCCGTATTTACTGTTCTCTGCTGAAGTGCTGGAGGGTGTTGTGGGCCGTAGCAACAGAGGGTTGATCTGCTTCTTGGGCAGCAATCCTTCATGTTGATACTGCTGTCTCTCCCAAAAGATCTTGGATTCAATGTATTCAGGCACGCCAAACACAGTAGCTAAAGCAGCACACTCTCTTCCTCCCTCACCGCTGTTGTTCATCATCAGCTCTACTGGAATCAGTGAGTTGTTTCGCTTTCTTGGTGTAGGTGGTGCATTGGGATCTTCGTCTCGCAGAGGCATGATCTTTACTGATGTGTTTTTATCTAAATGAGAGTTGCTAACCAAGTAAGCGTGAGTGAAGCTTGACACTTGATCAAAAGCTCATATGACAAAATGTACCTGACAACACTCTCAGTGTCATTGTTGACAGGGCTGCTGTGGATTCTGCTCATGGTTTGAGACCATGGAGAAGGGGTATTTTGACGATCAATCATCTATGTATAAATGGGAAAGGAATAATGTCAAAAAGAGAGAAAAAGAGTAATCTAATTAGAAGCCAAAAACATAAAGGACTTCAATCAAGTAATGGGTACACAACAAGTTGTATATATAAATCACATGCTGGATTGACTTTGATGGTATGTAGCGTGTCACTTTTTTGGCATGGAAAATAGCATGATTACCTGCGTGCAAAGCATCATGATGTCTTGATGGCCTCCAATAAGCTGTCCTGCTTTGCTTCTTTGAATAACGGTCGCTGTTCAGCACTTGATAATCAAGGTGATGAGTGTGATGGCATTGCTACTGATGATGGAACAAGCCAAAACGTGGTCTATTGAGTTACACAAGCAACCAAAAAACCTTGTATCTTTTTTTTGCAGTGCAAATAAATTCATTTTACGCCATGCAATTGATCTAATTGACCTCGACAACTTTAAACGCTTCTTTTTTGTCAGGAGAGGAAAGAGAAAAAAAAGGCTTTTTAGGCTAACCGTCTGAATATACAACCTTCGAGCGTGATTAAATGTACATGATTACAAAACACAAACACATGTACCATGGTAATAATTGACTGCAATAATGTATCAAATTGGTCTAGTTGTACAACCTCTGTTCTTTTAGTTTGCGCTCCTTGCAATTATATCAAATGTTGCCATAAAACGCTTCACGAAACGAATCTGCTTAAATGCCACTGCTACCTCATTTGATATTTCTAGCAAGGCAATTAACTCCAGAGCTTTCATTAAGGTACAGCTCCTTACTTCTGCTTATACATATCATCATCTTTGATTTTATATTCATTATATTAAAATTTTTTTTCTATCTCATAGCTGGCATACTCAATGCATTCCACTGCACAAGAAATCATATTATAATAAATGTTCAGTCCCTAGACACTTTTACAACCCTAATATGGAAGCTGATGTGCAAGGCATCATCTGTCAGACCTGGCTCATATATGATTAGTGATTTTACAATCAATCAACAAAAACCACTGTTATTTCTACCTTCTGCTCAATGCTGTCAACGTTTTCTTTGGACGACGATCCAAAGCTTCAGAGATTTCCCTACTTACTGCAGACATGTTATGCAGCCCATGAATCGTCAATGTCCAGACTAACGTTATTAAATATAGAATGCAAGGAAAATAGTATAATGAGCCATAGTATTATGACTTGCCATCTACTTTCCATACGCTTCAAAAGTATCTATTACTGCATTGCCTTCATGATGAAAAGGGCATTGAGTTTGCCTGCCAGCCCCATCAGCCAAAACTGATTCAAACCCAGACTCATATTATGTTCTAGATTGGCCAAATCTTAATGATTTTCGACACGATTGAGCCATTTTAGCAGATTCGACTATATAGAATATGATAATCATCCTATGCTTCTTTAAGCTTTTCTGGAATGCTTTTCAAGGCGCTTCCAATGGTACCAACTAAGATAAATGTTTTAAATAAACTTATTGAGTAATTTACGAAAGTATGAAAAGAGGTTTCTGGCCAGAAAATCGAGATTTTACATATCAAAGTCCCACAAAGATGATTTCAGGGGTTAGGTTGGATCAATAGAAACATTTTGATTCAAGATATACCATAGTAAAAGTCTTCGTTATCAAGATAAAAAACGCGGTCGTTTGATTTTCGATGAAAACCATGAGGGGTACCTCATGGTTTTTGGTTGAATTTTGGCCATGTTTTTTTGGTCCCCAAAAAGTTGAGCAAAGGTGTCAGAAAGTAACTGCCAGAAGAGAGCAACTGTTTGGTGCTATTCTGACAATCTAAAACGGCCTTGAACGTGAGAAAATGCGGTTCAAATACATTCAGATTTTGCTGTATCAGAGACACTAAGGACTAAAAAGGGGAAATACCAGTATGCTGCTTGCCCGTATATGAAGTAGCTACGTGTATATGGATGTAGAGCATTGCATAAAAATCAGATCCAGAGATAATATGAAGGGTTTTCATGTGCAAGTGGAGAGTAAAATGAAAGTAGCAGTATTTTGATAAAATATGCAAGAGCAATCAATAGCACGAGCTGCCGCTGCGCAGATTGTTTTTTCACCGAAGCGAAGCGAAGGTAAAGAACCATCCGAAGCATAAACACTCATATGACTAGTGATTTTATATCAATCAACAATCAGGGTTCTGCTAACATTTTAGCCATGTTAATTTTGCGATATTAGCCAAAGGCCCGCGGTAGCGCGAGCCGTTTGAACGTAGGCTGGTTTCCACCGAAGCGAAGCGTAGGTCAGAAAACCATCCGAAGTGTCGAAAGGCACGTATTACATAATGTCGAGGCGTCTCAGATAGACACCATCTTCGACTGGATTCACCTGAAAGAATGTATTGGAGATTCTTAAAGTGTAAAATTTGCATCTGTTTCAATCAAAATCTTTCCCACATATCACACTTCTAGGAATCTAGTAGCTTCTGGAGGGAAAGTTTTGGACGCCTTTAATTTTGAAAGCTTGAGATTACTTGGTTTCTCTGTAGATACAGGCAAGCAGCAGTACACCACCTGCAAGAATCATTCTTTGTCTAATTTGATTGCGTGCTTTCCGAATTGCTTTTTAAGTTTCTCAATCAATGCTAATTGAAATTCTGTGTGAATTTCTACCTTGGCAGTGAATGCCGAATGGTAGAAGGTTTGTTCACTTTTACTTAAAATTCGAATGATATACAAATGCATCAGCAACTTCGCGTTGCCATCTTCTGAGTTATCTGGTAAAGTTGATACTGCTGACCACGATAGAAGCCCTTTTCTCGTTAGAGGCACCATCAATAACATTATTCGGTAATGACTCCTACCATTGACTCGGGGAGCCAACTCTTCTTGCCATCTTTAACTAAGTAGCAAAGCCTTCCCCTTCTCCTCTAAAGACTGCTGAGCCTATGTCACTAGTACTAGCTAGGTGTTGAAAGGGAGTTTTCATATAGCATTCACCTGTTTCGCATTTGGCGCTAATATACTTCAAAATTTAGATAAATCGAACACTGATAATGCTTTCTGACAGACTGGCTTGGAGACAAAAAAAAAAAAAAAAAAAGAGACGAGCGAGATGCTCTTTGAGCTTGACTTTATATCATAACAATTTTTCATCGCGTTAAAAGGTACTGACAAGTTAATCTACTAGATTCTGTCACTTTTACAGAAAAAGAAAAGCCCTGTATTCGTAACGAAAACGATGCAACTAGTTATATTCTCTCGTAAGAGTTGGTGCCAAATAAAGATGTAATGGTAAAGTTTATATACATAGGTTTAATTAAGAGTGATGCGTAATGATGAGTGAGATGATGGCAGATGAATGTTGTACAGGAGGTTATTAAAATACTTTTCCAGAGTAGACAGCCGTTCGACGTAATCATCAGTGCTTCTCAGGTCCCACATGAAGGTAGTCATCAATACGTTGAAAGAGCGTATTGTCTAAATGTTGAGTCGACAAAGTCTCAGAGGGATGGTGAGTGTTGACATGGTTGCCCGAGTGGAAACTACTGTTGGAGCTACTTTCCAAGGGTCGTTTGCTGTGGTGTAAGCTGTCGTCTTCGGAAGAGTTGTAATAATAATAGTTGTGATGAGAGCTTGATTGTTTAGTGAGATTGTTTAGTTGAAATGATCCTCCCAGTGTATGATTTGAAGGGATTCCAGACCCTGAAGCGTAAACTATATTGGTAGTAGCAGCATTAGTCATACTTGATCCAGAATTAGTTCTCTGATGATAGTCCAAGTAGGAAGACACTTGGGATGAGGCATCGTCAGCGGCAGGGCTGTTGGGACCACTATTAGCGCCCAAGGCACCAAATGTATTGTTTGATCCGTAACTGGATGGCCTATCCTTGCCTTGGTTATTGGCTCTACTAGCAAATGGCAATGTAGGTGGTCGTAACACAGTGCTGTCTAGAACCATAGGTGTAAATGACGTAGATCCAATATCGGTTGTACCCATCGTTGTATTCTGATGTTGTGCCGAGTAGAAAGGTACCACACCATCGGCACTCAAATCAGTAGCTAATGTTTTTGCGGGTAACTTATTATGAATGACCTCGGGGGATCGGCTCTTGACTCTTTGCTGGTTTGGTGGTGGCGGACGTAGAGACGCTCTTTGAGGCTGCTGCTGCTGTGAATTCGTATCTGACATGTCTTGTTTTTCATTATAGATGGAAGGCGTTTCATTTGGGCTATCATAGTCAGCGTAAACAGAGTAGGAACTGCTCATATTTTGTTGATGTTGTAGCTTGGAATTATGGGGTAATTGGCTAGCTGAACAGATGATACTGTACATGGTGCTGATCATGAAAATACCGATAGAGATAGCTAGCAATATAATTTCTGTATTCAGTGTGTAACTCGAGCAAATGTATTCCACATCCAGAGCAGAGCATGCTGCTGTTATATTGGCGGTATATGTATGGTAGGTTATACCAAAGGCAATTGATGTTAGTGCAGCGCAAAGAAAGCACAGTAGACTGGTGAGCCAGAAGAGAGCTCTTCGCTGCAGTGTTTTTTTGATGTTTCCCGGTAATAAGAAGGCTGTAATTCCGAGTGCAATCACCGCCAGCAGTGATGCCATCAGCAACGGAATCAATCGCACATACGAAGTTTTTGTTAACGAAGGCAGTTCCTGATCATAATTACTGCTGCCCAATTGATCTGCAGTCTTCATTACTGCTAATGCATCTATTCAACAAGGCATCAGTATTACGATCATTTGCAGCGTGTAGCACCAACTCACCAATGTCAAAATTCATTCGCACCGGAGAGCATGCGTATGAATTAGTACTGGAAATGCAGTACCTCCACAAGCCAAATGTGATGGTGCTAGTAACATGGCTTTTGTTTGTGAAGAATATTTTGAATAATGAAAAATGGTGGTTGATGGACACGGATGATGTGTAAAATAGACTGTTCGTTTCCAACCAGTTGGCAAATCCCATCAGCAAACAGCCCAACAAAATGATTAGAAAGCACAGTAGCGACTGTATGTTCATTGCGAGGCGGATGGATAGAGAGATAAAAGAGAAGAGAATAAAATTAATTTTAGCATCTCTAATTTATATTACTACAATGTTACTACCACAAAAAAAGGTTACATGTACTATACATGTTTGTCTTACAATAGACGTTTATTATTATAAATGTAACATATCTAATTTTTCTTTGAAGGCATTAATGCCTTGAATTCTTCAAAATCGATAAAACCATCTTGATTTGTATCAGCATCGTGCATCATGTCCTTGATTTCGGCATCTGTCAACTTTTCGCCCAATCCACCCATCACTTCCTTGAGTTCCTCTTCTGAGATTTGTCCATCGCCGTTCTTGTCGAATTTAGCAAAGCAGAGCTTCAAGTCGTCAGTCTCATGTACGCTCATTCTGCGAGAATAATGTGATTTGTCCTTGTTTTTCTTATTTGATTCTTGGGCCTCAGGTTCAGGGTATGTCTTCCATCGTCTGAGACTCTCGGGCTCGCTTGAGATCTCCGTGTCTTGAGTCAATAGATGTGTCATGGCACTCACAAATTCATCAAAATCAATTTCACTGTCATGATTTTTATCCACTTTTTTCAAAAGAACATCCAACTTGTCATCATTTGTCTCGATATTCAAGCTTTTGAGGATGTTAGCAAACTGCTGGAGGTCGATAGCACCGTTGTGGTTGGTGTCGTACAATGCAAAAGCTATGGTTAAATGTTGGTCATCGTTTGTTTGCAATAAAAGCTGGATAGACTTACCTTCTTTGAGACTATTCATCTCTTCTTCTGAAATGGAGCTGGTTCTAGAGGATCTGTTGGATTCCATTTTAACAGTTTTCTTGGGTTTTGGTTTGGAAAAGAAGGAAATAAAAGAAAACTTCATCTAGAGGAGGCTGAACTTGATAGCTTTCGTAAATGTATGACTCTCTCTTTCCTTGGCTGATGCTAAAAAAAAGGTAACTTACACCCAAAAAGCGCTTTCGTTAGCATCATTTTGTTGTTCTCAAGTAATATAATAAGGGATCCAAGCGGAGAGTTTTCGAGTAAACGATGTCTTTTTTCTATTGAAAAACATTTAATCAAGCCACTTTCTGAGTGCTGGGATCGTCGATTTTTATAACCCAATTTGATTGATCATTTCGTTTCAACAGACATGATCTTCATATGGCATGATTAGAACCCATTGGCGTAGGTTACACATCCTTCAACTATTTGTAGCTTACTATCTAAATGCATGGCATATAAGTGGATCCAACCTGAAAGCTTTCTCAAACGTCCAATCAATCCCACATTGAATTGACAAGGTTTCATGGTAGAATCTTATTCGTTCTGTTTAGAAAATCATCAGATCACCAGAGCCATTTCATTTCATATAAAATGCATGAATGAACGATAAAGCCGCTTTCTTCCTCTTTTCTACTACTATTTACTCAAAATGAACGATCAATCTTCTGCTGTTGATATTCCAACTACTAGAACTACTCGCATTCTTGCAACTACTACTCCTGATGGCCATACCATGCTGAGCTCTACTATCACGGATGACCGTGGCCAACCATTACGTCGTAATAGTTTGACATTCACAGAATCTGGCATTTCGCCAACTTACTATACTTCAGGCGGCAATATGGTCCAAACATCTCATAAAGACGATGCTCACAATGTGGGATCTCCCGTGTACGGCGATAATTCTCGCATTTTCTTTTCTCACAACTCTGCTTGCAGCTGTAAGTACTTTGATGTATATGCAGTACTTGTTAGTGTGAGAGTATTTAATCATTGTGTTTATACATAGGTCTTGGCTCTGGCGTAGGATGTGATTGCACAAAAACCTGTTCATGCTAAATATGATTATTATATCATTTGGATTTGAGAAATATGCTATTCTCACCTTTTCCATCATGCTCTTTTATCCTATCATTTTTTTTTTCGTAATAAAAAATAATGCTTATGTATACTTGCACCAGGCTTCATATTGGAAGTGTCACTATCACTAGCATATTTAAGTAAGGTGGCAATTTTGCATTTCGCACTAAAATTCGCGTATGGATGAGTAATTCGTAATATTTTACATGAAAATGCGAGGAAAATTAAAAGCGATCTATCAAGCAGAAGCGAAGCTTCTTTAAACTTAATCTCATGCTAATTTGCTTCTTCAAATCATTGATTGTTTCTATGCGAAAGGCATTATGGCAGCCAAACCCAATTGAATCTCCGACATTTGTTGCTGGAACAAGATTGGTCAGATTCTGTTCAATTTATCTATTTTGCAAAATTCGACTATATAAGTCGTGATGTTGGGGGCGTCTTCCCTTAAGCTTTCATCAAGTTCTTTTCAAAGCGCATCTAATGGTTCAAATAACAACAGATGTTTTGAACAAACTTATTGAGCAATTTTTGAAAATACGAAATGAGGTTTTTGGTCACAATGTCGAATTTTCCAAACAAAATACTCACAAATAAAGCTTCAGAGGCTGCATTGGATCGAGATAAACATTTTGATTTGATATATGTCATAGTAAAAGTCTTCATTTTTAGGGTCAAAAACGCAATATTTTGATTTTTGATAAAAAGCATAAGGGGTACCTCATGCTTTTTGGTCGTTTTTTGGTCATGTTTTTTTGGTCCTCAAAAGGCTGAGCAAAGGTGTTAGGAAGTAAAAGCTAGACGAGGGCAATTGTTTGATGCTATTCTGAGAATATACAACGGCTTCTATCACGAAAAACGCGGCCCAAATACATCTGAATATTGCTGTGGTTTGCATACTTTTGATTAGGAGGAGGTAATGCAAGTATGCTGCCTACCCGTAATCTAATTGTTTCCATTGTTTTAAACGTAGAATATCGTAGAAGAGTCAGATCCAGAGTTACAGGTCAGATAGAAAGCGGTTTAGTGGCAGAAGAAAGTCATAAAGTGAGGTCTCTGTATGTAATGGTATATAGAAAGATTTACTGTTATTGTGTTTGTTTCAATACTGCAAAACAGAACGCATCGCAAAGATGCCATTAGGATCCCCATCTCCTGTGTGTCACTTTGGATCGCTGTACGACAACACCTTGAGTTCACTCTCCAAAATGCTGCAACATATACAGCTATGACGCGAAAGCAGCGCATTGTACAGTTTGTTCAGAAGCAATAGACATCGGCAAGCTTTAACTTGCAAGGCTGAATATGTATGCCTCCTTAATTCATTCATAATGTACTTGAAACCCTAATATTCGGCACAAACTTGAAAGTGCAGACTTGAGATGATTCCAAACACAAAACAGAAAACAAACGATATTGTATGGTATACAAGAAAAAGGAGTGTATTAAAATATAATTACAAATAGACAAATGGCTTTGGTGAATAGATTGATGTTAATGTCCCCTTCTGCTGTTGGCATGTTGGTCATCATCTGAGTCTTCCATGTTATTCAATCCAAGTGAATCCTCCTCATCATTGTCGAATGCACGTTCGCTCATTAATAGGCCCTCATCCTCCTCGTCCTTGTATAGATTCTCGTTGCCATTAGCGCCAGCGCTTCGAGCAATTGAATCCAGCAAATAGACACCTGTAAAGATAATGACGAACCCGCAAATCAGTGATACCACATTGACTGGATTATCTGTATTGAAGCCTTGAAATAAGATAGCTGAAGCCGCAATTGTTGCTGTAGTAAAGCATACAAAGTAGATGGGGTTCACGCTATGTATCATGTCAATCCACATGTACGCTATATTTAGCAAAGCACACTTACACATTGGTAGAGAATTGCTCCAGGGCCTTGTTAAAATAGTTCATTTGCGTAATGATACATACGACAACGACGATGAGAAATGCGTATGTTGAGGGATGAGTGAATTGATTATTTCCAGCAAATGTTAGTTTCAAAGCAACACCAAAAGCCTTGATAGCCATAACAGAAACTGATCCAACCAATGAACAGATAGAGATGTAAATGAATGGGTTTCTTTTGCCATACTTTGGTGCCACCTTGTAAATCATGAACAAACTAACAACCATTACAATAGCGCAGTAGCTCATAAAGCCTGCCAACACCTTGTTAATCACTGACCCCTTTCCTTCCTGCCTTTCCGAAAATCTTACCTGGCCTTAACGCATACAGTAATAATTCATCTATGGAAGTAACTTCCTTATCCTCTGGAGCATGTAGCACAATAATTAACGCACCAACAACCGATAATAAACAACCAATTTTGCCGATTGAGCCCAATTTCTCTTTCAAGAATATCGATGCAAAGATGGCTCTGTATGATGCTGGAATGTTAAATTATGGATGGGATCATTCGAAATGGGGTTGCTTACCCCAAAATAACAGACATGGCGCCCAGTGGTGTCACTAAGATAGCTGGCGCAAATGAATAAGCTGAAAAGTTGAGCACTTCACCTACGGCCACTGCAGAAATACACTTTTTTGTTGGTTGGATCAAATAATTGCGATTAAATGTATACGTACTTGTTCCCATCCCTGCCCACCAGGTCCAATTTGTAAGGTAGTTATGTTTTCCGTCTGCAGCTGATGTACCTTGAAGACAATTTAATTAATCTCCCAATTCGCCATGCTGCATTATTGCATCCAACTCCTGTTCTTACCGTGTCTTTTATTGGCATTTATGAGGCCTTTTTTCGTAATGATGAATGAGAGCCCAATAAAAACACTGGAGCTCATGGCTAGTATTAAACCAATGTATTTATCTTGGATCATGGTGATAGAATGAAAGGAACGAATAGATGTGAATATTTGGTTTATCTAAAGAAGGGACTTGTTGTAAGAAGAACTGAGAAAAAGAGAGAGAAAAGAAATTCCTATTTACACATGTAACTATATACAATAGTCTGTAAAGGGAGATTTTGCACTAAAAATATAACAATAATAATAAAAAGGGGAGAATCCTGATCACTGCAGACTCGAAAGAGAGTTTCAACATTGTGATAAACAAGTAACCAACCATTTATAGGAGTTTGAGTAACGGCTTGGCTTCATAAATCAGATTATTATATCTGTAATTATTGTATAGAATCATTAGTTAATTGATATTTTCTGTCATTTCTCCATAATTGTGCTTGCAATGTTCGTATTCTTTCGAATATATCGCTCGAATATAACATTGATGTCAGTCGTGGCTATGATGAAGAGTGTGGCTCAGTTGCATATGGTTGATAAACAAACTTTTTCGGTTTCGACAAACCACTGCCAGTTTAATTATAGCCGTATTTTTGTACCTAGAATTCAATTGTTTCAGGGTCGTATTCTGGAAAGCATCGCATGTTTACGCAAAATCAAAGAGGCCATAGCCGGATTCTGAATATTCCATAGCAACCAGGAACCAAAACTGGATGGCAACCAGGCACAGGTAGCCATGGCAACGGTCAACCATGAGTGTCTCTAGACTGACAATCATCGTTTATACTACTGGCAATAGAGTTATGCAATGGTGTATATAATTCTCAATTTGTGCATAGTGCAACTACGTGCTAAGGAGGCGACTGTTGTTGTATAGAGATGAATATGATCTCTGCGTCAATAATAGCGTTCGAATCATTATCCCATCAAGACAGACGACGATACATCCCCTTTATTTCTAACAGGACATAAAGCGAGCCCCGCTATAATGATGTCTCCCTGTATAAAATTTCAATTAAACCACTCATTAATTTGTAGGACATCATCAACTATTATGGTAATTACAATGTACCATGTGCACTTCCACCCTGTAACACAATGGACATATTAAGTGTGAAATAAAAGCATGATTAGATTGTGTATGTATATAAGTATGTTTAATCTGATAAAAGCATGAATTGATAGTGATAAAATGTGGTGTGTATGTTAAATATATATACATAATAGTTAATGTTGTTTGTTTGTTTGTTTGTATACAATTGTCATGAAAAAGAGAGCGAACAATTAAGATTGGAGAAGTAATAAATAAGTAGATAGACTGTATAAGGTGGATTCTTTATGGCTTTAGCAAGGGCAGAAATCAGTTGAATGGGGTCCAGAACAATTGTTGCATTGTGAAGCAGATCTTCTGGTTTGATCGCCTTCAGTAGGTGATTGATAGCCTCCAAACAGTGAGAAATGAAGTGTTGGCATCAAATTAGGTCTTGGAAAGTTGCTAAGAATTGAATTCTCGGTTACTACTTCAGGGCCTTTACTGCTATTAGCATTGGAAGCACCAGCATCTTTGTATTGATAATAGCTTGATGATTTAGGAAGAGCACGCTGAGATGTTGATGAGAATGGTTGACGCTTAAGAACAGTAGAGATGGGACCGATACTCTTGCGAATACGGTCAGGCTTGGATTGTGATGAAAAAAGGCTGAAAAATGGGAGAGTGCCAATGATAGTCATGGTTGAAGAATAGAGAGAGGGGTTATGTTAAAGAGAAAAGAAGGACAGATGCTCTCAAAAACGTGGTTTTTATTATATCATCAATTTTTCCCTTTTCATTGATTAGGGAGGGTGCAGCATCCAAACAAATGGTAACAAGCCTCATTCCACTTACTATATTTATTACGGCACCCTTCCCCGCAAATGTAATTGATTTCCGTAGTGTCCCGGATGATTCATAATTAGGGACGAAAATGCGCGCACGCTTAAATGTTGAGAAGCGATTCAAGGTGGAAAGCAAGTGCTGAAAGAAAGTGGAAAAAGTAAATCACAGTAATTTCCTTCTCTTTCATATTTGTCTTCTTTTTATACTAAAGAATCAAAAAAATGAGCTGATTTAAAGACTAAGAATCATGTCATTTAGAAATGTATACAGATTATCGGGAGAGAAGGGAATCATGGCATTGAATGGCCGCATATCAATAATAAATCTTTGATCAGCAACATGTCCCTTTCGATTGCACCTTTTCTCTACTTGAAGAATTTTATCATGCCAAAGAGATTAAAGACAAAACAACCAGCACTTCATCGAGCGTTCCCAGTATCGCTGCTACACACTGGAATTTTTTCCATTTTAAACGAATCATACAGCAACCTTGAATTGCATGTTGTAGTTTGGAAATGTGGAGGGGGTCTAAAATTTGAAAAAGAGCTGATACAGTCAACATCCACTGCTGCTAAACAGACAGTTTATTTCAAATGAGGATATAATATGGCAGTTTAAGTATACAATTCTTGGATATCATCACCAATAAATGGAATAGATTCACCTTGAAGGTCAACACCCTCCAAGAAGTGATAAGGGAATTCAACCAAATGGCCACGAATATTGCTCAATTGATCTCTGATTTCCTCAACGGACATTTCAGGATCATGGACATGACCAATATCGATTTGGCTGGGATCAGGATAGAATGACTTGTATTCCTCCCAATTGGTTACTATTAATAGTGATTAGGAAGCGAAAGAAGGGATATATAGCAACATTAATCTTACCTGTATCGTCAGGGACACAATGGAATACCTCACGGAAAGCTTCAGTGTTCGTCTTTGCAGTAAAGTTCCATCTTTCAAGGGTTTCGTCATCAAGGGGATCCATGACCAAGGTATCTTCTTCACTGGAGGTATCATCAACTTGAGGAACAGGCAAAGGTAACATGTCATTAGTCACTTGATCTGGCTCAGTATGAGGTAAAAGACCCAAATGCTCCTTCCACAAATTACGTCTCAAAGTAGCAGCGAAACGACTCGCTTCATACTATAGTATACAATGTCAGTATTTCAGGATGTATTCAATGCTAAACCAACTTACATATTTGCCATTCATTTGAGATGGGATGGTGTCTTTGTCTTCAACAATCAATGCAATCTCAGAATCACGATCACCACATTGAGAACGATCATTCAAGTTGGAGGAACCCATAATGACAACCTTGTCATCAGCAATCAAAAGCTTGGCGTGAATATAAAGCTCTTCAGTAACATAGTCGCTGGATTCTTCGGCTTCAGCTTCAGCATCACGGGGTTGCTCCTCCTTGGTGTCATTGACCCAAGGCTCACTTTCGATATCGCCATCCAACATGGCATCCTTAGCAATAGAATCAGCAGCGATGCCTTCTTCATAATCGCCATCACCACCATAGCGATTGCCACCATAATTCTCCTCTCCATCTTCATTGAAACGCTCACGGTGACGTTCAACTTCTTCATCGTCAGGAACACGACCATACTCAACTTCTTCTTCCACATTGAATTCACCACGAGTGCCTCTGGCAAAGTCTTGATCACCTGCATGACGCACGATACCAGCAAGTTCACCTTCTTGGCCACCAGCATGATGGAGTTGTTGATCAGTGCTGTTGGAGTAGCCAGCTTGTTGAACCAAAAGCTCTTCAAGCTTGCCACGGTTGATACGGTCATAGCTTCTTAAACTATAGAAGCGAATGTATTGATCAGGATCAATGCCAGTGGCCTTGAGTCTCTCGACAATACTGTCATTACCGCGACAAATGGAAATGTATTGGTAGTGCATAACCAATCTACACATAAATGATATGGCATCAGTATATGTTTTGCAAGTATCTTGATTTGATATGTATCTTACCTTGCGGTAGCAGCATCCTTGGTACTGAGATCAGCAGGGAAAGCAGGCATGAGAGGCATCAGGACAAAGACCTTGAATTTCTCTTGCTCTTCGTGAGCACGAATGATACGCTTCACAATAGCATTGCCGATTTGATTCTTGATGATGTTGTTTTCCTTATTATCTGTTGCACTAACTATTCATCATACAAAAATGCCAAGGTTAGCATGTTTGAGAGACAGTAGCAACAACAGTGTAACTTACTAAAGAATTGATTTTCAATATAAACATAGTGATCAGCACTCAAGATGGTAGCAATATAGGCATTTTGAATGGAATGCTAAGAATATCATCATATAAGTGATCGTCGCCAAAGCTTATATTAGCCCGTAATTACCTCAAGCTCAATACCAGAACTCCATTTGGCACTACTTCTGAGGACTTGGGCTCTCATGGTACCTGTAACACCGTGCGTTCTGTGTCTATGACGTTGTCTCTGGAAGTGGTGTTCTTCAGGATTCTCCTCGATATAGCGTTGTTGTTGGCCCATACCGCCAAGAGGGGGTTGCAAAAATGGAATATTGTCCTTGTTCATGGCCTTATCATGCTTGATAAAGTTCCAACGCTCACAGAAATGACGAGCCACATCGAGGACGGGCGCACCTTTCTAAAACAAGCTCTTAGTTTACTTTGGCATATGCAATTGCGTTACGTTTCACACTTACAACACATAAAGACATGTCGTGCCATGGCATTCTAGGAATAACCGTCTTATCGATCAGACGCATGTCCCATTCTTTGACTAGTTTTGATACAAAAGTTTGAGTATACAGTCATCATCGTGTTGTAATGGTTGCCATAGTTACCATGCTCAAAATCTCTGACACGGGCATCACTGTAGTCTTGGCCTTTTTCGTTTTTAAAATGCATTAGTCTGTGTTCATCCAATTTACATTATTTAGTTGGGTTCTATTAATACCTGGGAACAGCTCACTCTCGGGGTCCCTTCCGCTAAAGTCGGCCAAAGGATGACCATGAGTATCCCAACGACTGTGTAGATGGGCGCCGAATATCGTCCTGTTAGCACCTTTTGTATGCATAATAAACCGTTGTAAACTTACCCAAAGCACAAATCAATACCGCCCAGGAAAGCCAACTCGTTGTCAACAACAACAAACTTTTCGTGGTGAGACCAGAAAAAGGTACCGCCAAGATCATGATCAGGATGTCTCAAAACTAGCAAGACATGTGTAATCAATGCCTGGATCTCTCTCTCTTTCTATTCATAATGTCATGCGTCTTTTCTTACCTATGATGTTCTCACTTAAGGCTTGAAGAGTGTCCTTTGTATGACGACTATCCAGAGTTAATGCCATTTCAACTTCCTATCATTTCCTTTTGTTTAACTAAACCCGATATATCAAACGAAATCATCATTGAGTTACCTTGTATACAACGACATAAATCTTGACGCCCTGATCAGCCTTTCTCTTGAGCAAGGTGTCAAGGCGGTACTCGGGGTATTTGGAAGGAGGGCGACGCATATACTACAGTGCCAGCACGTTAGATCTAATCGAGATTTACAAGGTCAAGTGTTTCATTATTACCAACTCAGGGGTCTAAAGTTTAATTTTGTCTCGAATTAATATATAAAAGTAATTTACCATGAAGAGCAAACAACTTACCAACCACCAATCTTCAATATAGATACACTCCTTGGCGTTTTCAATGGCCTCAGACACAGCCCAGCAGTAGTTTTGACCGTCAATAAAGAACTTGACTTGAGCGTCGTGTCTAACAGCAGCAAATGAATCATAGCGATGCTTCTCGTTAGCCAACTGTTGCTCGATGAAATCATCATCTTGCTCCTCAGGCTTCTTGTCAGAGGATCCGTCAAAGACTTCCTTGATTTGTTCAATAAAGTTTGTAAAAATGGACATGTTTGTTATTTTCACTCAAAAGAGAAAAAGAGCAGAAAAAATAAAGAGATCAAAGGGCGTAAAAATTTATATTGCTTGTTTATTGCACAAAAAAGTCTATTTGATACCTGGTGTAACTGTTGACCAAACTGTATTTCATCTCCGAGTGTATTAAAGGTCTTCTTCGTCCTCCTCCTCTTCACTGTCTTCATCCTCTTGGTCTTCTGACATCTATGTGAGTGAGAAAAAGTCAGTGATACAGGCCACAGACACCCCTATTGAATGCTTACCATATCCTCATCGTCGTCCTCATCGCTTGACATGCCCTCCTCCTCTTCATCCATGCTCAGCAGATCCTCCTCTGCCTCTGCTTCGTCATCTGAATCCAGTTCCACATACACATTCTCTGCTAATTGAGCACGCTGTAATTGTTTGTCGTTGATGTTGGAGTATGATTTGACATTGACTTGGCTTTGAACGATGTCTAAACGGCCTCGTAATGCCAGTAATTTAGGAAAGACACCAAGACGCGTATCCAGAGCTTGATAGAAATTTGAGAGTTTGCCAACCAGATCAGGCACTGTCATTAAATAAGCTGTGTGGATCAACAGGACAGACTTGATCCAGATCAAAAGCGCAGGAGCACGACCAGGCTTCTCTTGGAACTTTTGAATCAACTCGAGCAAGAGTGGGATCAGATACTCTGTGGGCAGTCTTCTCACTGTACTGTTGATTACATCGGGCTTTGTGTGCTGTAAACATGCTTCTAATAGCCCAGCGTCATTGGAGTGTAATGCTTGCACTAACACTGTCTGCAAGGATCCAGCGGATGGTGTATCAATCGTCTTCTTCTTGTTGCTCTTTTTACTCTTTGTGGATGTTGTATCAACGACGTCTAGGCTCTGAAGTTTCTGTTCAATGGAGAGCTCTGCATTTTCATCCACTTCTTTCTCATCTTCGTTGGCTGCCATGGTGGGCCCCTTGATGGCAAAGTCTGTGTTTCCAACAACCGTCACTGTGGATTCATCATAGGCTTTACGGGTGGTTCTGAGGTTGTTGGCTGCGATGGAGGCAGTATCAATCAAGTAGTTGGTGATGGGTTGTCTGGTCAGTGTAATGTCGGGTAAAATAGCGCCTGTCTCTTCGTTTGCATACTTGACCACTTCGAACGAGGGCTTTACACTGGAGCCACGAGCAATCATGATCGATTTACCGCCATTGTCTGTGACGAATTTAGCTGCTAAAATGGGAATAACTACGTCCTCAGATGCTGTGGAAACAATCTTGACGTTGGCATCAGCCTCTTTAGTCATGGATCGCATCATCTTTCTTCTGTTGCCAGTGTTGCTGGTTTGTGCAGATGTGAGTGAAGCGTTCTCCCAGATGCCAACAAGGCCGTCGTCCGTCACTGCCAACACGGATGGCTCTGTGCTGGAGAAATCAATGTGCGATACGTTTGTTTCCAATGTCAATGCAGTGAGGTTATTTGAGTTGGTATTGGTAGACTGAGCATCCCAGACATTGACGTAGCGATCGTCCTCAGCATTGGATACTAGCACATCGTCTTGGTGAGAAAAGGACAGTTCCTTGATGGCGCTGGCATGTCCAGTGAACTTTTTAATGACATTGTGTGTCTCCAAATCCCATAGTGTGATGGTGTGGCCTGCTGTTGCCAGTTTCTTTTCGTCGTGGCTCAATTTGAGTTTGCGTACGTTCTTGGCATCAGCCTTCCATTTACTATCATTCGGGTCAGTATACATCTCTCTCTCTCTACCATAGCTCTCTGGTATGACTTACAATGTCTCTTTGCCTTCCTCAAGATCCCACTCGACAATCAAGTTATCTTCTGCAACTGAATAGCCCTTTGATCCATCCTTGTTCATGACGAAATCGGTGATAGGTGTGGTATGAGAGCCAGTCAGCTTCTTGACAATAGCACCATGCGACAGAGAATACATGGCAATAGATCCAGATTGCATGCCCAGTGCGATGACTCTGGACAAGGATGCGATGCCACTCTTCTTTTTCTTGAATGCTTGTACAGTGTTGGCCTACATTTCAAACCATCAGTATCATCTCCAGTCGCCACATGGCTACATCTGATCCTCACTTGTAAGTCACCAGTGTCCTTCATGTATCCCCAAGTCAAGCATGTAATCTTTTCCTTCTCCTGAGCTGAATAGTCGTTACTGACAGTGCCCGAGCGCACGTTGAAGATGCGAAGTCGATGGCGATCAACGGCGTGTGTGATCAGAGCGAAATGGTCGGCAGTAGTGCTGTTGTCAAAGGCAGAAATAACGATACCAGCATTCTCAGATGCATTGGCAGATGTCTCGACAGTGGAAGTATCAGGATTTCTTTTGTGAGTAACTTTACCCATAATGCAATGCTGAAGGAGTGTTGGAAAAGAGGTGTTGATTTTGACATTCAAGAAAAAATTGCTCTTCTTTTTTTTATCTGTAGTCACGAAGCTACGACTGCTTTGCAAAGGCATTGCAAGTGGCGGGTACAACATTTGCATAGTAGTAGATGATCATTGGAGCTTCTGAGGTATCTTCAGCGAGCAAAGGCATCCTTGCCAGTATCAAAGGAGGACAGACGGAAGACTAGGGATAGAGATATACAGTGTCTACTCATTAAAATAGGCCGCATATATACCATATCTCTGTTCTTTGAATAGCATCTGAACGCAATGTCTCATATCAGTGATGACATAGAGATGGATTTGAGCCCTTTATCTGGATGGATGTCGAGTAGTCGCTAATGCCAACATTCTAACAAGTGAGTCTCATCAAGAAATAGGTTTATCTTTGTCAGTTTCAATGAGTTTTCATTAAACAAACATAATGCTGATAGACATATCACTTGGTTAGCATGCCACATACCACACGTCACCTCACTCCGAATGATAAAAAGAAGATGCATCCCAAAGATAGTCTCTCCCCTTTCTTTCACTTTTGAACCTTCTTCACATTATCTTCTGCAGTGTTTGCCTTGTTAACCTCTCGCCTTATCACTAATGGAATTTATGAAAAAGTAATCTGATAAAGCCTCATTTGATGTTGAACAAATCTTGCTAACTCGTTACTTTTGATAGCATAAAATAACGACTTTGTATTGCGAGATAATATGAGCAGAAGAAAAGGGAGTAATCCAAGAAGAAAAGATACCGATTTTGAACGAAGATTGCTCGTTCCGAGAGATTCAACTACTACCAACAGCAATTCTGCAAGACAGTTATTTGATCCTCGTTCAGATAATCCAATAGCTTTCAACAAGCAACAGCAACCGAAAAGCGAAAGTGAACCTGAGATCACTGAAAGACATGTGCATTCTGGGCAACATTCAGTAGCAATGTCGCCTGCAAACTCCATAAGAAGAGAGGTATCAGACAGTGACTTGGAGGTGCCATCTAGAAGACCACCTCCTCCAGCCGGAAGACGTTTGTGGAGTGCAGACGGACCATCTCTGACACAACCCAATAGCCCTCAGAAACCCGAAAAACCAAACACAAGAAGATCAATTCCAGCTACCAACAAGTCAATAGTCAGTAAGAAACATCAGCCGGATGTCGATTGCAAGAAAGATGCAGCCAATCATTCGAAACAAGGTAGCAAAGATGCATCTATGCCTGAGGAGGATCCAGCAAACGAAGCCAAGAAGAAAAAACTGAAGGCGCTGATCTCGTCGTTGAAATCGATCGAAGCCAAGCTCGAACAAGTCTCCATTACATCTCGCTCTTTACCATGTTTTAATGAAAACAACCAGATTACACAGCAAGTTGTTTCGCATGACCGCCGCAGAGATTTGTCTAGAGGAGACCGAAAAGTGGATGTACAGGAACAATCAGTGATAGTGGAACAGGATATTGTGGATGTTGAGAACATTTGGAAAGAAAAGATCAGTCTGCATCTATCATTAGGCGAGAAATACCTGGAGATTTTAACCTGTGATCTGGAATACGCTGAAAAGAAGGGATTAGAGAGTTTATGCTGGAAGCGTGCCGTATATAGCTTGGTAGATCAATTCAGAAGAGCTTTGCGAAAATCAGCAAGTGACATTGCAGCTCTCAATGCGGCCGCAGCTACGCCAAATTCAGTCGAAGCTTCTAGTAAGGCGCAAAGCGAATTAGAAGCCATGCTATTTGAAGACGACGACGGCAGTGATAGCAATGTTACTGAAATACCTGTGATCCATGAAGGTGGCGGCATGACATTTATCAAGGTGGAGAAGCCCAAGCCTGAAGAAACAAAACTGAATGAGAACAGACTACACCTGAAGCAAGCAAGAATGATGTCGACTTTATTTCTACATTATCTTGAATTAGCTGACGATTTCTACCTGAAATTATCCTTGTTTTTGAAAAGAGTGGACGATGATTCGAATAAGAATATGGACACATATTTGAACCTATGGCGACGTACTCGGAAATACAAATGGTACACATGCATTTCTTTGAGAGGGGATATTGCTAGATATCGTTGGGCATACACACCTGAAAAAGAAGACTTCTCTGAGCTACTAGAGCAAGATGAAGCAGCTCAAGAGCCTATCACAACATGGACTAAAGAAGAAGCATTTAAAGAAGCCTGGAAGTTTTACTCGATTGGAACATGGTTGATGCCTGCCAAGGGAAACTTGTACTTTAACCTCTCCTTGCTACTGCAACAACCACCACACTTTCACACACAAGGCCAGGATTTCCACAAGCTCTACTTTAGTACTCGCAGTTTGATGGTCCGCCGCAATGGCTTTTTGAATGCAAGAGAGAGTATGCTTGCTCTGTTTGAAGGCAATCGTCGTTGGGTGCAGAAAAATATCGAGTCAAGCAAAAATACCAGTGGCTTGAGATCAAAATCAAGACGATCCAAGGGCCCAAGGATGAATATGGAAATTGACAAAAGTATCACCATTCCTGCGTTGTTTGTTCGACTCCATGGCATGCTGTTCACCAAGATTGGCTTGGACGAATTCCCTAGGATCAAGGGTGCTTTCTTTGAAAGTTTGTTTGAAATCAATCATACGCAACCAAAGCAGGACGGGTTTGATCAGCCTATTGTTCTCGACACGCAAGCCTCGAAGCCAGCGTTGCATGACCCCAAGAAGCTTTCGGAATCTCATCTGTTTTGGCTTGAAACTGTGATTGTATGTCTCTCATCTCTTTACACGTACGATTTTGCCAATTCCAAATTTACCAAACTGCTTTCAACCAATTCTGCCAAACGATTCAGTCTTGAAACCAGCAATGAACAAGTGTATCAAACCCTGGCTGAAGAAATTGGTGATAGTGTATTATTCTCGCATGAGGTGGATTTAACGTGCCAAATCGCAGTGGAGTTACTTCGTCGCTATCTGGATCCTCTGTTACCAAGCCCATCAGTACCTCGATTACCTGCATTGCCTCATGTGGTGCTCAATTTCACTGAAAATGAAGAGTTTTTGTTTGGACCTGTGCTCGACAACAATGGAACAAGAATTCACAAGAGTGCATCCGGCAAACACGAGCAAACCAACGATGCCGATACCGATGCTTTTGCCTGGCTTGTCTATATTGAGATACTCCTTCACTGGATGGTATTGAATGGTGTTTGCATAAGATCCAAAGACCAGGTGTCCTTATGGGAAACAATCGTAGGCGATATTGGCTATGATTTCATCTTTCCGCAAGGCAAACGATTGACTGCTGCTAATGAGAATCGCACTTCCAAGGTATCACCTGCATTCTGGCCATTGCTACTCCAATTCTTAAACAAATTGCTATCCGAACTACCAACTGAGGAGAAATACGACATGGTGAACAAACATTTATTGGACGACGAAGAGGAACTTGCAGACAGTCAAACAACAGACAAGACATCCAGAGCTAAATCCTCAGATTTGGAGTATGCATTTACCAAAAAGATATTGGCAATCTTAGGAAATGAACCAGACTTGCCTGAAGAAAGCCTTTTGAGAGGATTGGGATGGGTTGATGAGATTCACGGAAGATTCTTGAAGCTGGAGTCGGATAACAAGTCATTCAAGTCTGAACATTCGGATGCCAACACCATTTCTCGACGCAAGCTAAAAATTTTAGACTATGGCTTCACGTTGGTCAAGGTAAGCAATCTCGTTATACGACTGAGTCACGTTAAGGTGGCTAAACATGATTATTGATAGCACTTGGATGACATCTTGTACTATGACCCTGTGGAGGAGATTTTCACCATCTCCAAGAGTGTAGAAGAGCGAGCTGTGGCACTGGCCAATGAAGCGACAAACCAATCTCAGAAGCTGGAACATAACACGGATGACTTGTATGATGATATTCAAGATGAAGCCTCGCTTATTGGCGCTACGACGATTGCAGAGATGGACGATGATGTATTACTGTCCAGCGAGACTGATTTCGATGAGCAAAACGAAGGCGATGATCTCATGACTCAACTCAAGAAACGTCGAGAGCAACTGCAATCCATCGTTGTTTCTAGCGAAGCTGAAGAAAGATTTGGCTATCGTCGTCTGCCTGCCCGTGTCAAGGAAAGAGAAGCCCGCCTGAACTACTTGAGAGAATGCATTATTCCAGGTAAAACCATCTTGGTGTTTGATACCAACTGTTTCATTGGACATCTCGATTTGGTCAAAAAGTTGTTCAAATGTCAAAAATGGTCTATCATTGTTCCTCTTGTTGGTAAGCATCATATACAGTTGATATCATTTATGTTGGTGTTGATTTTCATTCTATCAATCTAGTCGTCACTGAATTGGACGGTCTTCGAACCAATACGCATCGATTGGGTGTAATGGCTCAACAAGGCATTGAACTTTTGCAAACCACATTAGCCGCAAAACCAAAACAAAGCACATCTCTTCGTATACAAACATCTCACAACAACTTTATGAATGATATATCTATTCGATCTGAGCAATTTGTTTTTGGGGAAAGCGACAAGAATTTGGACGATTTGATCCTCTCTACCTGTTTATGGTGGATAGCACAACAGCAGCAAAATGCCCAAGAAAAGTCTGCTGAGAAGGCTGTGCCTGTTTGTTTAGTCACTGGAGATAGAAACTTGAGCGTAAAGGCTCGTGCTCGTGATGTAGAGGTAGTTCCAGTGTCTGCCATTATTCAGTTAACCCCTAAATAAAGACTTTGCATTATGATATTTCGTATTTCATGTCAGGTATCAAGCGTACAGAACGATTTTCGATCTCGAGACCTTCATTGCCTACACCATCCCAAATTGAGATATTGAAATATTGATCCTAGAGCTTTTAAAGTAGCATGTTCCTTTAGCTAAATGTTGCGATTAAAGCGATGATGTAATCAGATTTTAGATTGATAGAGCTGTTGTTCAGAAGCAGAAGGATATTTGAAATAAGTCGATAATATTGAACTTGTGCTGCGCATTTCAGCAAAAAGGGGGGGTTGCTTTTTCACGCTTTATGCTGATACTAAAGACTTCTTATCAGGGCCATTATATGCTCACTTTGAGGGATTGCTGAACGCATAGAGGGCTTTTCAGTGGCTACATTAGTTGTCAAATAATTAAGCGAGGAAAATGTAAAGGGACCAATATACACTATTTTCACAAATTATTGGCGCACATTTGGAGAAACCATGACTCGAGCTTGTTGGCCGTGTGATCATCCAAGACAATATTCATCAATCCATCTAGCACATCCTTTGATTCTCTAATCAATTTGCTCAGGTCATCCACCAACTTGGCTTCTTGGTAAGCCTTGGCAGCCTCGCCAGCGCCAATATCATACTCCTGCTCATCAGTGTCATACAGAAAACGCATATCAATCTTGAACCCAGCAATGGATGAGCGATACATCTGGCTACATCTGGTTACATCTAAACATATCTGGATACATCTTGATATGTCTGGATACCACAGGACATTTGTGGTTGTACATTCACTGATTTTTAAGGATCAAACTATAGTTGTCAAAATCGCTTCTGACCAATTTTCGAATTTATAGCAGATCAGAGAAACCGAACTTTTCTTTTCAGTTTGTTTCCATGGTCTGCAAAATATAACAACTCTAATGTCATGGCTAATGATTCCTTCCTCGCTCCTGTGGTTCTTACTGAATGGTTACAAACGCAAAAGGCTTCGTGGTTACCTCCATCCTCTCTTTTCTCTTACTTGATGTAAAGCCATTCCAGTTGACATTGGTCGGTTATCGTACTGCTCGTTAGTACCGCATGTCTTTGTTCTCATAGCATTGACGTTTGAGCTATAGTTCTTTGACGCCAACCTGGTTTGTAATGTGATTCCACCTAAGCATCTTTCAGTTGATGTTACTAACTGGCGGTTGCTTTTTTATAAAGCGTAAAGTTTGGTGAATCACAGCCTGTAAGGAAACAAAGCAAATTATCCTTCAAGAAATATTTCGTTCTATGCAGGAAGTACCCTTCTTTATTCATTATTCCATTGCGTTACTGACGTCTTTTGAGTAGGCCACTTGGATCATTGTTCACATTTGTTCTCCTCATGTCGCGCATCAAAGCCAACAGGTCTCCCACATTTGGTAGTGTCAAGAAGATTCTGTAAGTGTTATTTCTGGAATGCAAAATACTACGGCCGAAACCAGGAGCTCATCTGAGCTTTTAGCCAAGCTCAGATGAGCTGAAAGTTTACTGGCTCATTTAGTATGGAGTTAAAATTTATCCAGCTCACGAGCTGGGAGCTCCTTTGAGCTTATGTTGGAGATCATGCGAGCGTTTATTTAGAAGCTTGTTATTTGCCATTATTGTGTGTGTATAAGAGACATTCAATAAAATCAATTTTATTATTAAAAAACAATTGTTCAATAAAGGCCTAATGCCATACTATAAGTGCAAGACAACCACCGCGTTAGTCGCTCAATCGCGCCGCTTGACTTTGACATTGAAGTGGGAAAAGAACCGTCTTGGCATGAGAAGTACAGCAGTAGAACAAGATGCGGTAAGTACGGCCAGTAAGTATGATATGAAAGAGTCAGATCATTGCAAAACCATTCTAAGATGCTTGTAAAAAGCAGCGACCTCGGATAGGTATACATTGTCCAACAAACGCTGTATTACCTGAGACATGAAAGTGTACGTTAGCGTTGAAGGGATCATTTGACAATGTACTTACTTCTACAGCATGCAAAAACCATCCAGATGTCCATGTTTAGCCAGCAATACCTCAGACAACAGCATGGTATTTCCAATATAGAAGAAGGCTTCTGTAATGCGTGAGCAAGCTGCCATCATTTGCCGCGGATGTTCATGTACTCCATCGATATAAGACTTACCTTGGGGAAGATACTGCACAGACATCGTATTGTGGTAGAAAAGACGAAAAAATAAACGAAAATGTCTCTGCAAACGCATACAATTTATGCTCTACAGCAAGCGAGTCATTACGAACCCATGTTTTAATGAAACTATGGCAATCATTCATACTATTATATAGAAGTTAACTTAATAATATGCCCATTTTTTATGGCAAGCCATGTAGGAAGGGTAAATTTTTCCTTAGAGCGTACTAAGCTGCTTTCGCATGGCTTGAAACTTCTACTTAAACTCTTCACTTCAATACAAATTATAAGATGGAGAGTGGGTATTCAAATTCGCTAGTATTTATGTCGTTTACAATCTGTAGATTTTGAATCTGCAACCAATTTTGCTTGGTTCAGCGCCTGAACAACGATAACCAGTTTTCAGTAATCACGCCAGGAGGGGAAGATGTTAAGGACATCTGTAAAATACAGCAAATTTGTAGATTATAAAGCTTTATTAGCTTACCTTTTATGTATTATAAATAAACGATCCAATAATGAACCAATGTACTACATACGTACTGCAAAACCATCTATTATATTGCGCATTGAAATGGTCATTTTCCATCCACAAGGAGACACTTACGACGGATTCGCTTTCAATAACCACATTTTGCGATCCCATCAGGAATAAAAAGACGGCACTCATGGTTTTTAATAATTCTGGAACAGTGGCTGCTCATTTGATCTCATAAACAAGCTTGGGAGCTTTCCAGTATTCTATGCGCTAATTTCAAATCGCTATATCTCGATCAATTTTGCACCTTTTCATTTCAGAATCAAATTTAACTGTTTGTGATGAATGCGTTAGTTTATACCTTCAATTTCATGAGAATATACATACATTCATAAATTACTCAATTAAGTAAAAGCTCGAATGATCTCTTTCACCAGCTCAAATGAGCTGCTTAGGCTCATTTGATCTTGTCAAGGAGCTCATGAACTTCTAATTTCGGCCGTAGTGCAGCACCAACAACGCAGCACCACAGGAGCTTAAATTGATTCGCGCCGCCAAGTTCATGTTTACTCGTTTTGTAGACACATGCACGTCTGCTTTACCGCCTTCCTCGACCAGCAAAAGGGATTACGAACGAACGTTTTGGGTACGTTATATTGTGCCTATCTTTGAAACTTTTTCAAATCAGACGGGTCTCTTACAAATGAATTGGTGTGAAATCCCAACGCTGCTATCAATTGACGAGGATAAGCTTGTCGACGGAATGGGCTACGATCATTGGGGATTCGAAAGAGTGGCATTGGAGGGATCATTTGGATTATCAAATGCATCTAGTGACAAGGTTATTGACGACGCTACCAAGCAGATTAGCACGTTAATCAGCATGATGAAGCGAATCGCAAGCCACCACCTCAATTCTGACGTGCAAAGCTTTATCAATACCAAAGTCTATGGAATCCAGAGCGTCAATTCCACCGTCATCCTGTCTGAAGTTCGCTTCCTAGTCGACGGCAAGTATGAATACAAAGAAATCCGATCTGCTCAGGTGCCTACCATTTATGGCGAAAGAAATCGATGGCCCAAAATTTTCGAGATCCTGTGCTATTTGGAAATGGAGTTACAGAAGCAAAAGCTGGTGTACGAGATTATGGAAAATAAAGAGCAAGGACTGATTACAGTGCTTCCAGCAAACTCGCTCAAGAACAAGCTGCCAACGGACATTGAGTAATTCTCTCTTCTCTCAAATTTAGATATATGTTAATTGCAGATCATCATTTGATAACAAAGCTACAGTAGAGCAGCGACGACAATTCACAAAATAAATTGAACACACTCTAGAATCTGTAGCAATACAGACACTCCAGAGCATAGCATAGCTGCCAGTTAATGAGCTACAATTGACAAGTATTTGGATTGTAGCTCGTTTTAAATCGTTGTAGCTCGTTGTAGCTCGTTGTAGCTCGTTGTAGCTCGTTGTAGCTCGTTGTAGCTCGTTTTGAAAAGCCTCAGACTGTCTACAATGAATCTTCCAGAGTACGTGAGAAGCGCCAATGTACTTTTAAGCATTTTATACGAGCAGCAGGATTACATTATGATCGCTGAGGCCACCTCTTTGTCTACAAGGAAGGAGTGTTGACTCTGCCGTGAACCAGGAAGTTCCAACCATGAATCAGGTGGATGTTGCTGAGACGCAGCGGTTCTCCATAATGCCATGATTCTGGCGCCCATCAGGGAAATTTGGTATAGGAGGGATTGCTTTGTTTTTTATTGCTTTGATGATGAGGTTGCGAAATGATTTGGAGTTGACTCTTTCTTTCTCTTTTGCTACTACATCACTTTTCAAATTTGTACAAATCCATCTGGGAAGAGCAGCTAGTTTTCTACCAGACAGCACATCAGCATGAATTGTGAGCACTATCTTCTAAAGAAGCAAGTTGATCAAAAATATTTATTTCATTTGGATGGCCATGCAGACATCCTGCTTTAAACATTTACCTTCTCTTTCGTGATGGTCTTTAGTCAGACATCACTTCAGTAGAATAAAAATCAAACCAAGAGAAACACTGCGAATGCACAACAAAAACGCCTTTGTGGTAGTTACAGCATAATGAAAAAACCCCCATTTTTTTTTATTATTACTACAATTTTCAAGTTTTATATACTGTAGGGGGAAAAACTGTCCCGTTCGTTTAAAATTTTGTCTTTTTGCACAAGCTTTTGGTCATTTCCTTGTATACAAAGTCGAAATATATATCGTTTGAATGAGAGAAAGTAGTGCTATCTATACATAATTATAACTTTTTCAAAAACTAAAATCCAATGATTTTATTGGTTAAAAAATAAATATAGAAAAATGTACATTTTATTATAGAATCATTAATAGTGAGTTGAGCCACTTTTGCTCTTGATGACAGCCTTGATTCGGGCAGGCATACTATCAATATATTTCTGGCACTCTTTTTCTGTTATTTTGTACCACTGAATGTTAATACGCCGCTCTAATTCTTCTTTTGTAGAGGGCCTAGTAGGATACTTATTAAGACGAAGCTTTAGGAGATGCCAGACATGTTCAATGGGATTAAGATCGGGACTTTGGGGTGGCCAATCCATAATTTCGTCTAGGTTAAACCCATTGTCGGTGAACCATTGTTTAGTAATGCCCGATGTATGCGGTGTTGCTCTGTCTTGTTGAAATCGCACATCAGATGGTGTCTTCCCAAAATGCTCAAGAGTGTCGTTCAGTGATGTCTTCGAAATATCGACATACAAGCCCGAGTTTATTGCGTCTTCAATAATGGTAGTACCATAACCAGGCCCCTCCTCCGCTGTTATGCAACTCCAGAACATGACCCCACCGTCATTTCCCTGCAACTGAGACTTGACTTGATACGACTGCATGATTCGGCCACCATTCGTCCAGTAAAAAGAATTACCATCTGAGCCCCAAAGGTTTATTCTTGTTTCATCCGAAAACACCCAACGACGCCAATCAGCAATAGTAAGATGCCTATGCTTTTTAGCCCACGCCAGTCGAAGCCGCTTGTTTGTCTTGCTAACAAAATTGGTCTTTACTTTTCTACGAGATTTAAGTCCATTTCGTCTCAATGACTTGCGGATGCCATTAATTGACATATCATGGCCCATCGATCTTAAAATTTCTTGTGCTGCTCGGGGATTATCTAAAGCACCTGATCGAAGTCCTCTTGATACTAGGGACATAGTTTTAGCACCAAGTTTTTTCGGTCTTCCGCCAAGAGGTCTAGCTGGGTCAGGGCAATAATATAGTTTTCTGAGCCTTGTAAGAGTAGAGTTGCCCACTCCTGGATACAAATTTTTTATCTTTGAGAGCGAAAGACCACGTTGGAGCAAAGATTGGAGAACGTTGCGCAAATCTTGTGTTAAACGAGCAGGCAAAATGAAAGTTTTGAAAAAAATAAGAAAGCAAAGAAATAAAGAAAAAACATGAAGAAACTAGCTTCTTTTATACTTTTAGAGTGCTCCTAGGATATTAAATATCCTGAGCATACCGCGGGTAGTTCTTTAGATTTCTTCAATACGTCTATTGGAAGTAAAGATATCAACCATTTTATATCATCTAGAATTACCCACCTAACATTTTTGCCAAGTCTCACTTTAGCTGGTTATACTGGGATTAGAATATAGTCCAGCCATAAGGTTTTTATGTTGCTGTAATCCCTATAGGCTGTTCTATCGAACGCAGTATGGGGTAGATTTGTTTTCTGAGTTTTGGCAATATACTGGGTAAAAGTCAAGATTATTTGAACGAACAGGACAGTTTTTCCCCCTACAGTAGCTTATAAAAAATGTTCGATATTATAAAAACAAGAAAAGACTTATTTGAATAAGATCAGACACAAAAACTAAAGATTTATTGATGAAGACAAGAGTTATTCTATTTATACTAAGTTCTGAATGCCAAAGTAGCAATTTATCTTGTACAACGCTTATCACATCTGGTGAACCTCAGTATTTAGATAGCTGAGGTGCACTCCAATTATCATAGCTTGTCCATGTTGTTGCGCAACACAGACATATCTACCCATCAAGAATACCTTAATCTCTATAGACAGTTGTAGCCCTTCTGGCACAACATGTTGCAACAACAGCGAGCTGTTCTGAACATCTTTGATGTTGTATTTGTGGTTATGCTTTTCTTTTGACTCACTTTTTTGTGTGAGTGCTCCTTTTTTGCCTACATACTACTATACTCCTATAGTACTCTAGTATGTTCTTCCTTTTCTTTCTTTTGTTATGCTTCTTTGAAGCATACCTCTTTATTACGTTGAGTGGATGTGCCTATCCATGAAGCTCAACAAAACTTTATCCGAGGCTAGGAGGTAGATAGGCCGCCTCCACTTGGTTATCGCTACTTACTTCAGTGATGATTAAGGGTCTCAATGCCAAAATCTAAAGCTAGGTGGTGTAGTAAGGAATGCTCTAGCACCTGGGGGAAATTTGATGATAGTAACAGTTATATTACTGTATATAGCGGAGCTTAAAATTTTGCCGCACATCAAAACAGGGGGAAACCCTCGCAATTTTTTTTAGGTCAGCGGAGTTTTCAAGCGATTTGATTGGCTGAGGGCTCGAAGCAGCAAAGGTCTACAACTAGTTGATTTCGTATTGATCTAGCATTTAATATGATATTATCTTTGTAATAAAAGGGTGTCCAAATACACACAATACAAGTCCTTCTTTATTCAAATGTATTAGATAAGATGCAGTTGCTTGACCTCGTATCCATTACATAGTTTGATCTGAGGGATGTTTTAATATTTATTATATTATTGGAAAGTCATATACCACACTAATTCAGCACAGCAGCGGCAATTATCAGAAACACCACATCTTCGACACTAGCGCAGTAGTTCCTGATCATTTAATCACATTCTTCATTTCTGAATGGAGCAAAGATTTGCTGAATTTAGTGTATCTATTCCTTGAATAAAACGCTTGCTGCTCTTATAAAGCAAGTAGTGCTTGTTTCCAAAAAGCGCTTTACTCAAGCATTGCTCATGATTCTATTCGAACCCATCAATCGCTTCAGGTTATTGAATGGAACTTTTATAAATGCAATGATGGCTTCTGCCCAAATTTAATAATACACAAGTGTCCTGGCAGGTTTCGATGCTGATAATGTCCACTTCAAATGGCTCTTCTTCATATTGGCTTCTCAAAAAAAAATAACAGCATTTTGGACACTGATGGGGTTAACCATGTGAAGGTGGGAGAAAATCTAGCCCAAAGAATGAAACAAGGATAAACAATGCATCCTACAGAGGTCAGCCATCCTAAAGAAATACTTCACTTGGGTGCTAGCTACTTCCCCGGTATCTTAACCAATGTTCACTCGGGTATGAAAAAAATGGTGGAGAGCGATACCCCAAGTATACTAAGTGAAGTATATTAGACAAGATTCCCAACAAAAAATACCGAAAATAAATGGGATTTCAATCAAGCCATGCTACCATCAACAAATACGCATATATAATAATAGTAATAGCATGATGATAGCAAGGGTAAAACACTCTTGAGTATGACATGACGAATACTAAAGTAATTGTAACATAAACAAACCTGAGAAAGATACATGGTCAACAATAAAGAGCTATTCTTCACGCAGGAATCACAAACCATAAAATAAATTACCATTCTTGATCAACCAGATCAACAACTGAATAACCTACCAAAAATATACAAAAAGAGGGGATCACTGACAGCTACCAGATAATAGTTATAAACCAACTAATACGAATAAAGACGCAAAATAAGCATTCTGTTGCACACTATCCTAATCTTGAGTAGAGGAGGATTTTAATAATACTTCATCTGCTTTTTTCACCTCCTTTTTACTGCGCTACGGCAGAATATTGTCGAATCCTCCAAGCGAGAGTCTTTATTAATTAATTGCACAAATAAATGTTTTATGTTCTCCAGCATATTTTGACGTCAAATCTACCACTTGGATGCTTGTCCTGCATTTGCAAAGATAAAGTTCAGATACCCAATGTGCAAGACTGGGACGGGAACATTATATTTCTCCTGATGAATTTATGTCAAGGATATGACATCCTTTGAGCAGCTATTGTTGTATGACGAGATGCCCCTAAAAAATCACTGAATGGATAGCTATCTGGATACAACGTGATCCTGGAGCTTCTTACTGCTAAACTGCCGCAAGATGAATCATATTTGTTTATATTTACTCCAGTTTAAAGTTATTTTATGGGGTACATGTAATAATAATGAAAGTACATCACTTGGAATAAGCAGGAAACTCCTGATTTTGATTTGAAAAAAAAAGAGAACCAATCATGTAACATGTAACATCATGTAACATTTGGTTTCTTTACTTTTTGGCCATTCCATTCAACATGCTAAACGTCGTTTTTCAACCATTCCCAGTTGCATGCAACTCTCTTATAAAGATCTAACTTCACCCGTTTCTCTCTCTGTCTTTCTTCTCTTATTTTACTTTTTTCCTTTCCCCCCCCCCCTCTTTCTCTGATTGCCATGCTAGCCTCAGATTCCCTGACAGACAACAATGACATTGATGTGCATGCTCCCGCACAAACATACTACACCACTGGAATCAATGCCGGCAGCAACATCAACCGATTGCGCACTCTTTCTGTAAGTGCTTTGATTGTAATCGCCCTAACTTGTGCTAACTCGCTTTTTTCAGGGGCGCCATGAAATACCCAAGCATTCCACGAACAGTAATGACATGCCCTTTCAAAGAAAGCGCAGAGCATCGCATGGTAATTTGGCACAATCTAAACGGACAACAAACCGTATTGACGATTCTCTTATAGATGACAAGAACAAGGCACGGAAATTTTTGCTTGATGTCAAGGAGACACAAAGAATCTTGGTTGAGCAAGAGGATACGGATGGCGATTTTCAGATTACCGTCAATGATTTGGGTCCAAAATCGCTTCTCGTGGGCAGCGCTGACTCGGGTGGTTACCGCAAGATTGAGATCCGTGGCACATACATGCTATCCAATCTGTTGCAAGAATTGGCGCTTGCTGAAGACTATGGCCGCAAGCATATTGTACTGGATGAAGCTCGTCTCAATGAGAATCCCGTTGACCGACTGTCTCGCATGATCCGACATAACTTTTGGGATGGACTCACTCGTCGTATTGATGCCGAAGGGCTGGAACGCATCTGTTTAGATCCTAAAAATAGATCTGCCAACCATAGCCCTCGCATCTATATTCCTTTTGACGAGGATGAAGTATTCGACTACTATCAAAATGTTGCCAACACCAAGAAACATCTAGGCCTGGAAGTGGAGAGACTGCCTCAGGACATCACGCCAGAGTACGTCCAGAGCATCAACAGCAAGCCTGGTATTCTGGCGTTGGCTCTCAAGAAGGTAAAGGACCTGGATACTGGTGAAGCTACTTTTAGCGGTGTTCCGTTTGTTGTGCCTGGAGGTCGATTCAACGAAATGTACGGCTGGGATTCCTACTTTGAAGCATTGGGCTTATTGATTGATCATCGCGTGGATTTGGCGCAAGGTATGGTTGAGAACTTTGCTTACGAAATCAAGCACTACGGGAAAATCTTGAACGCCAATCGCTCCTACTATCTGACCAGATCACAGCCCCCATTTTTGACAGACATGGCACGACAAGTCTATTTAAGATTATCTGGGTGCGACAATGACAAAAAAGCATGGTTGCGTTCTGTGTTACAAGCTGCCATGAAGGAGTACCACACGGTGTGGATGGCTGAACCTCGTTTGGACCCCAAAACACAGTTATCACGTTTCCGACCCGATGGCAAAGGCATTCCGCCTGAAACAGAGGCTTCTCATTTTGACCATGTCATTCAACCCTATGCCATAAAAGCCAGCCTGAGCATCAGTGACTACATGGAAGCCTACAACAACGGTGCTATTAAGGAACCCGAACTGGACGAGTACTTTTTGCATGACCGAGCTGTTCGTGAATCAGGCCATGACACCACCTACCGCTATGAGGGACGATGTGCTAATCTCGCTACCATTGATCTGAATGCACTCTTGTACAAGTATGAAACAGACATTGCAGACATGATGACAGACTATTTGGGCGGTGACCTTGTCGACTATGATGGCGTCGCGCAAGAAGCCTCTGTGTGGAGAAACCGTGCTCAATTGAGAAGAAACCGCATTGATCACTACCTGTGGAATGAGGAGCATGGCATGTATTTTGACTATGACACCAAAACAGAACAACAGAGCACATACGAAACAGTGACAACCTTCTGGGCCATGTGGGCTCAGTGTGCCAGTCAGGAACAAGCTGAGAAAATGGCTCGTCAGGCGCTTCCCAAGTTTGAAGTAATGGGTGGTCTCGTATCTGGCACAGTGGAATCAAGAGGTGTCATCAGCTTGGATCGCCCCAATCGCCAATGGGATTTCCCTTTCGGCTGGAGTCCTCATCAAATTCTCGCCTGGCGTGGGTTTGAGAACTATGGTATGACTGATATCCAACAGAGGCTAGTCTATCGCTGGTTGTATATGTAAGTATGATACTTTTTGTATATGTTTACAACAAGAGACTCATCTGTTTGTAGCATCACCAAATCATTTGTTGATTTTAATGGTGTTGTGCCTGAAAAGTATGACGTTGTGAGTTTGACGCATAAGGTGCAAGTGGAATACGGTAATGTGGGTGTAGACTTCAAGTATGTTCCTCGCGAGGGGTTTGGCTGGATGAATGCATCCTATCAAATTGGCTTGAGCATCATTCCAAAGCAGATGCGTCGTGCACTTGGTACATGTACAAGTCCGGATGTCTTTTTTGAGAGAACCGCTGCCGCTAACAAGAGGCAGCATGTGGTTGAAACAGCTAAAGCCATCACTCAGAATGGTCAAACGACGGCTGCGATTACTGTTATCGTTCCACCAGAATCATCGGTTATCATCAACAGTGGATTCAAGAGAAAGGCCCCTTCGTTGTCACCTGATACGAGTCAGCAAGATCTTGCATCATATGCTACTATGGATAGCGCACTTACTACACCAGAAGATGAGTCTAATTTTTATGTCTAAGCACGAATAAAAAGTAATTGTATCAGATAAGCACAAGACTCGCTCGAATTAATGTATTTTGGGAATGAGGATAGACAAATGTTTAGACATTGCAATGGTATGGGAGCAAATTCAACACAGGGAATTACGTACATTTAGTGTTTTTTGCACGGACATTGCTTCCGTGCATAATTCATGCATTTCCCATGGTAGGAAAAGGACTTCTCAGGTCCATAGTGACACATAGCCAGACACAAAGAGATAAGAAAACTCTGTTAGGTAACTGTCAGATTCTATAGGATACATACGTTCCTGAATCTGCCTAAAAGCGTGGGTATGTAATATAGCTTAATGGCTCATTACCGTCCATGTAGCACAAAGCATATGAATGCCCTCTCTTTTTACTCCCCCTTACTTCCTCTCATAGTGAGAACACTAGCAGATGTTTGTTGTCAATTTAAGCATAAGTGCAATATTAAGGAGTATTGGTTCAAAGCGTACTGTATCTCCCTGTTTCATTGTCGATTCTTTGGTGGTTCTTCCTATCAAATGTCTATCGAATAAAAGGAGAGCACATTGTTAGATTACTCTATTTGTGATAGTTTACATCTAATTTAGGCAACTTAGCATCACTTTTTAGATATTTAGACCATTTAAAGAAAAAAAAAAAAAAAAAACTTATAATTATATGCTGGAAGATTCGACCCCTTGCATGACAATCGAAAAAATATTTCATTGCAGTCCAAAGGATGACACGATGTATATGTATATAAAGAAATTTTTGGTATATTTTAATAGTGATAATAATAGTGATAATAGTAGTAATATCTTTTGATGGGTTGCTGGATGCTTTGTGTACATGTGCGTATTGGATTGGTTGAATTGAAAGTGAATATATATGTATATAGTGTGTGTATGTATATGTACAAGGTGTATTTAACATTTAGTAGTAGAATCGTACTTTTCAGTCATTTGCTGTTCTGTTGATAGGATTAGATTAGATGAGCAATTAGTATGGCTAGTCGTATAGCGAATCATGGGTTTGAACTCTTGTTTTTTGTAGCAATTCTCGCTGTTTCTCTTTATCTGATGTTCTCTGATCCAGTGCAAAAGTAATTGATCTCCATATTGCTGAAGTTCCTCCACTTGCACATTCAGTTTAAAGTTGTTTAATTTGAGAAATTGTAGCTCCAGAGTGTTGAGCTCAGCAACAGGTAAACCGCCGACCTATGTGATACCACTGCTTTAGCATTTGAGCAGTGTACTCAGCTGTACACAATTTACCTTGGCATATCTGGCATTCGTATAGAATACATCAGAAAAGAACTTGCTGGCTACCATGATACCTGTAATGATCAATCTGTGTATATTGTATGAATCGATTCTGAGACCAGATGAATTGCGAGACATGCGATCAAAGTAGACCAGCAGACTGAGGAAGCATTCATTAGCACAAGGACAGTACTTGAGGATACGCGCAAGGTAGGATTGAATATCAATATTGGGTATGGCTCGTGCGTAAAAGCAAGCGTATGGAGTGGCATGTCGTGAAGATGGCTGTATTCTATCATTCGTTTTGGTGATGCGTTCTAGTAAATAGGTGACAATTTTTATAGTGTCAGATGTAGGATATTGAACAAGATCATATTGCAAGGCCATAATGTAAAAAAAAAACAAAGAGATCTTTTTTATTATATAATACAAAAAGGGGGAGAGAAAAGTGAAGTACAAGAGAAGAAAAGAGGTTTTAAAGTACTAGTATCAAGTTTAATTTATATAGCAGATTTCAGGGAATTGAGCAACCAACCAATCGTAGATCATGATACATTGCTACACATCTAAACCTATCAAAAGACAACTGTTTTTCTCTCAATTGACTACATTATTCATACAGACGTTACCCATTCGCTTCTCGTGGATGGCGCTACTATCTTTCATGGCTTTGTCTATAGGCATTAGGGTGAAAAAAAAAATCGAGTTTGGACTCTTTGTGTCGCATTTGAATAACCAGTTTTATCACTGAATAGCACCTTCCGATTGGCTGTGGAGAACAGAAATGATAGAATTAAGTAATCCCCTGTATGTATACAATCTATTTTTGTGCTAAACCCATCCATCTCTTGTGCCCATTTAAGGTTTGATTGTTCATCTCTTTCAGTAATTTCAAATGCAAGAACGAATCAAACAGTGTAACATTCGATGGATACTTGAGCTACTCTGCGTATCAATGAGCTTTTTCATTACGTGAAAATGAAGCTGCATGTGTTCAGCAGCTATATTGGCCGTAATTTGCAGGTAAAACGCAAGCTCTGGATCAACCATGTATCGAGAAAGGGTCCAAACTCGGTTCAAATGTTGTGTTTGAGTCAATGCATCGTCTCGATCAAAGTAAATGGAGGACGTTGCGTCATGTAATGCTAATTACTTTGCCATGTGTGGTTTTGGAATAAACGCTATGTGCTAAATTCTTTTAAACAGAGCAGGACAAGTTAATTTCATATATTTTATTGCTTGGATTTATTGAGTCCATCTCTTTTTACTTTCTCTGCTACCTGGTGGAGTATATCCACGATAACGACCGTAAGATGGCAGTTGCTGTTGTCGCTGCTGAAGCTGGTAATAATAGCTTTTATCATCCGTCGCATTGCTAGATGCATACGAAGGTGTTTGATAACCATAAAAATAATGGTTGTTGCTGTCATTCATATCAAAGCAGTGGGATGCACTAAGAATTGCTTCATTGGACTTTTGAGGTACGTGGGCATAGTCATAGGGCTCGTTTGATTCATTCAATGATGATACATGGCGGAATGACGCAGTGTTTGTTGGATAAGAGTTGTTGGGCGTGTACACATTATAGTAGTAATCAGTATCATAGGCTGGATACCAGTAGCTGGGTCGATACTGTTGTTCATTGAAGCTTTGAGAATAATAATGATGAGTATCCGCCTTAGATGATGGTGGTGGCTCCCATTGTTCATTGTGCGTGTATTGTGGAGCACTACTCCTACTCAAAAATGAAGAGTCATAAGAGCGAGATATCATCAGGTACTCCAATTGCTGCTGAGCATCCAATATGTGTCTTTCGTGCTTTTTATGCTTCTTTTCCATTCTCTTGATCTCTGACCTGAGCTTCCGGACTTCCGCATCATAAGCATCGCTATTAAATGTTTTCCCGGGAGCAGTGTAGTTGATCTGATGATCGTCCATGGCACTAGTCAAAGAACCCTTTATGCCTATCCAATATTTAGACTTTTCTCGCAAGCGCCAAATCAGTAAGTAGACAAACCTTCATATTGTGTCTTTTCAAACACGGGTTCATCTTTATCCTCATCACCATCGTCGTAACTATGGAAACCAGATTTTTGATCCGCAAAAGGGGTCGGTCGTCGTTTGATAGATGGATGACCACCTTTATTAAGTGGAATCTTTTTTGGAGAAGATTTGCTATGCCACGTGAGAGGTTGAGTCGTTTCTCGTGGGTAATAATTGAGTGTGTCATCTTGTTTATAGTCTCTTTGAATTGGCATGTAGTAGTGCGCAGTATTGGGCAATGGTTGAGGGGATGGTGGCACTTGTATGTTGTATATCATTTGTTGTTGTTTGTTTTTGTGGTTGGAATTTAGTTCCTGAGTTTGCTGCGGCTTTACATCAGTTGTGGTAGATGGCGGTGTTGCAGGTCTTGAATTGGAAAACCTGTCTTCTGTCCCTCCCATTACTACTTCTGGAGAAGTTTCATCTTCAGGACTATCGCATGGTTCGAATGGATAGGCGAGATCATAGAATGATGATGTGATAAGTAAAGGAGCACTCTGAGCAGCACTAACTGCGCTTAATGGCTTTGCAGTACTCGATGTTGCCGGTAGCGAGGAGTAACCTGTAGCTGCCGCAGACGCAGACGAGACATAATGGTACGAATATTGTTGATGTTGTGGTGGTAAGAAGGATTCAGTGGCTGATCTATTGAGGAATTCAGAAAGCACTTGTCTTGTAGGTGTAGAATTGCTTCTTTTCTTGGGTAAATTGAACCATCTTCCAAAGCTACTCATTCTTGCTACTGTCAATAAAGTATGTATTAAAACTGGAAAAAGAAGGAGATCCTTTTGTTGCATGTATTTATAAGCTACATGGTTTGTTTATAACCCATGTGACCCCTTAAAACGAGGCAAAAAACAATGGATATTCGGCTTTGTTTATCAACAGTGCCACAATAGGATCCATACCTGCTATCGCTCTTGTCTGCAGAGCATTTATCATGGAAATGAACATCATTACTCACAAGAAATACGCTGATGTGAGAGTAGAACATGGAGCAAATGACAAGCAATAGAGACTACTGTGCGCATACATCAGTCCGCCATCCAGGTTGCACATCAAGTTGCCAATTACAGGATTTTCTACTACGGTGAGTCTTTTTTGATGTTTTGATCATGCTTTACGATTACTATCCGATTTTCAGAAAGAGCGTTTTTGCCAGCGAAATAGCCACATGAAAGCTGTATCAGATATTAGGCTACTTTATTAAATTTTACAGGGAATTAAGGGTAGCGATAAGGATTAGTGCTATTGCTCTTTTTCTTTTTAGTGCCAATAAGTTCTGATGTAGACGGAAGCATCAGATCGATTTGAACGGGCTCAAAAGAGAAATCAAAATTCCAGCTTTTGATGGAGTTAACAGGTTTTAATTCATGAGGTTGATGATGTTGCAGATTATCAGCTACGACAACGCTTTTCCTGAATCCTCTTTCTCCCTGCTTTTGCTGCTGTGGCTGCTTGTGCTGCTGTTGCGTATAATGCAGCTTTCTTGTCTCTCCCTCGTTTGCAATGATTACTTTTTCAGGCTCTGCTGTCGTCACAAATGCTCCATTTTTCGTACATGCGGCCGTAGTGATTGACTGCACGTTTTTCACAGGGTCGCTGTACTTGTAATCTTTACGGATAACTTGCACTTTGGCATCTTGGTATGGATGAACTGGAGCCTGCATGATGAATAAATCACCAAGAGCAAAGCTGTTTACTTCCGAAAGAGCGTAGATGGATGCAACCAACGTCGCGAGCCACGCAATGATGGTGATAAACCCTATGCAAGTGTTAGTCAATTATACAGATGCTATATGCACGTTTAAATCAACAAATGTACAGGTTTGATGGTGCCCACACAGCTATGCTGCATGTGCGCAATTGTTAATGATAATGATTTGCTGATGATAATTTACCTACTATGATCATTGCATTAGCCAAACCACATGCTTTTGAGCTTAATCTGCTACTAGCGTATAGATCAAAACTGACGTCAGTGGTCAAGGTCGACACATTTAGTCTTTTGCAAGACGAAAACTCTACATTGGGCGTGTCAAAATCATCTAAAATTCCTATGGTATGAGTATAGGTACCATTAAAACGGGCAAAAATAACTCCTGAGGCTGTGGACCAGAGAGCAATGACAACCAAGGTGAGCACAATTTCAAATGCCAGCAATCTCTTTGACAGATTAAGCGGTCGATTGCCCAGCAGACGAAGAAATATATGAAGATACATGATCAAGAGTAAGGAAGAAGACAACAATGAAATAGCCCCTATGATTAAAAGTGTGTATTCCTGAGGCCCAGATTCTGCCGCTATGATCAATCCTTGATTCGAGTTGTTGGCTGCGTTTAGGGCAAGCGCATTCAATATAATGACGGTAATACTGAGCCACTGTATGACAAACAGGAAAACCATCTGGAGCATGGTTGCCCACTTTTTTTGCATCATGGATACTAGGAGAAAGGTAAAGAGTGTGAAAAAGAAGGGAATATCCAGTTGGACAACGCGGTATGTATGGACTTTATATAATTATGCACTACTACTTGCTCCTTAAAATACAGAATCTACTATCATAATGGTATCAAGACCATCATCACATGTCCCATCATGACTGTAGTAAATTCTTGTGAGTTTTCTACGAGGCAATGCGCTTGCTTGATGGCTGACATGACACTATTGCATGTTTATTTTCAAAACACGCCGTTCGCGGACAACCTTTATGATATACGAAATACTGCATATAGATGCTTGCCGTGTATAGGTATAAATCAGAAGGAAGCGACATTTTGTTTACTTGTGTACTCAGCGCTGTGATTGTCTGCGTCAAAAGTGATCCTGAAAGAGATCAGCAAAGGTGGTACATGTAGTACAGAAAGCATTTCCTGTAAAACAAATTTTTGTGCACAGCATGATTATCAACTAGAGTACTTGACTAGCTGGTCAATCTCGCTGCATTCAATGACGGCGTCGCCCTGTGGGCTCTCGCCAAAGACATTTTAAATCAGATATAATAAAATTTTGGTATTAGAGTCACCAGGAGGAGAGGAGGTATCTCCCTCAGCACCCTTTTTGCTTACACTGATGTCAAACAAAGCCTATTATTCAGACGATATGAAAGAAAATTCAGTATTTGTATATCACAATCGCCATTTTCTGATAATAGAATTGTCATACCATTTGCTGCTGTTGATGCTCTTAATTAGATGGCGACATAAAGCTGGTTATAATTAAATACAGGACTTGTGTAAGTTATACAGCGACTTTTTTGAGGTAGTCTCATTGCAAAAGACGCCTTCATGAGGCAAAGCTTCCCCCCAAAAAAATATTTGCGCTAAGCAATTGTTCTTTCAATTCCATGATTCCCAATTAATCAGCATCGCAATCATTATTGTCATCAATAGAAAGGCATTTGGGCCAGCCAGCAGCAGCGCCACCCGCTAAAAATGATTCAAACTCAGTTTATATTTTTCTGTTTGAGATTGGACAAATTTCGTCTTTTGTCGATTTCTTTAATCTATTTTATGACATTCGACTATACAAGTTGTGATGATCACCCTACGATTCCTAACACATTCTTGAAGTGTTTTTCAAGGCGCTTTCAATGGTGCTAACTGTAATAAGTGTTTTAAATGAAGTTATTGAGCAGTTTAATAAATTTTGAAACGAGGCTTTTAGCAAAAATAGCCATATTTTGCATATGAACACCTCATAAACGTGGTTTCAGAGGTTGCTTTGGTTCTAGAGAAACATTTTGATATGATATATATCATATTAAAAGTCTTCATTTTCAAGGTGAAAAATGCGATCGTTTGATTTTCGATGAAAACCATGAGGGGTACCTCATGCTTTTTGGCCAATTTTTGGTCTATTTTTTTTGGTCCTTAAAAAGTTGAGCAAAGGTGCCAGAAAGTAACTATGAGGTGAAAGCAATTGTGTAGTGCTATTCTGGAGGTCTAAAACGGTATCTAACACAAGAAATCACTGCTTAAATGCATCCAATTCACGCTGTGTTTTGTTTATATTTGAATGATACCAAACAAATTGAGTCAAGACGCTTGATACTAGTATCGTTGGACCCTCCCTTAAATTTGATACAATATCCTCATCGAAATTGGACTCAATTTTGTTGTCTGCTATGTTGATTCAAGTACTGGATTGATTGGCACGCGGCTGGCAAGTTTTGCAATCAAGACAGAAGTAACTTTATTCATGTAGATTGGCGAGTACAGAGTGCTTTTCGCAGCAACAGGAAATTCTTGATGAGTAAGAAGTAGTTTTGATGGTATAAGTGTTTGAGCAGATTGGCAAACGATCAAGGAGTGCTTGGTTAGATGCTACCGCAGATGCTTTTATTAGGCCATTCTCCATCCTTTACCGTTCACACAATTTTTTACAAGCCAAAGAGGTTACTCATTAGTGAAATGATGTACAATAAGCAACTATAGCTATGCATACCATCGGCATCTATGTATATCGCTTCACTGACTTGTACCAGCAACATTTGCTCCTGGAATGCCCGAGCCTCAAAGCCTGAATCTTCCAACAGCCAAGTTAGGTACGCAAACTTGGATTGCGGTTTTGCTCTTTTAGCAAAAAATGGATGTAACATGATGTTGAGAGCGAGAGAAAGCCAATTGTCTGTTCTTCATTGATATAATGTGACAGATGAGATAGATTTTCAGCGGAGCAATGTTGCACGATGATGTTGAAAGAGAGCTTTAAATTAGTGACAAACGCTGCCAATGGTAGCACATGCTTGAAGGTGAAGTGTAAATGAATTTTATTATGCAAAGAGTCAATAGAACCGACATCGTATAACGCTATGATCCATCAAACATTACCATACTGTCTGTAGAAAGTGTGGCTTTTATACAATGTGACTGACATCTACTCAACTGCGGCAGTAAACAAATATAAAAAAATTTTTACCAAAACACTTTTTCCTTTTTCTTTAGCACATTCTTGTGTCTTATGGTCAGGTTACGATGGTTATGAACGTCTTGCAAGGTCTTCTTGGCTACTCTGTATCTCCTTCACTTCTGCCTTGGGTTCGTAGCCCTAGTTCCAGGGGCCTATCTCATATCTAGCAACACTTTTCTTCTTTATGTTTCTTCCAAGGAAGAGTGTAAGGATGAAAGGGAATAAGGCGCCACTGAAGGGGTGTATCATTTGTCGCTACCATTTATACATTACAAGACTGCTCAAACCAGCTTGCTGTATCGCCTAAAACTTGAGAGGTAGGGCTAGAAGGAGAATTCACGGCTGGACTGGTCTGTTAGATCGCTCTCACTGCTAGGAGGCGGCGCCGACAATTTAAAGTCTTGTAAGTCTGTGTCAGGTACCAATGTAGGCATACCTTGTCGCATAAACATCGACGATAATCTGGAGCTCAATGCCACTCTGCCACGGCATCGGTGCGGCTCTTTGCTAGGCTTCTGATCCTAAGCATCAGGGTATAGGGTGGTTGTGTGGTTCCTTTCACCAGGAGCTGCAGGAGTCCCTTTTCACAGAGGCTTTTTCCATAGCTTGGTTGGGAAGAAGAAGAGTGTCAAGGACCGGATGCCCAAGGTGTTGCCTTTTATTACCTCAAAACCGGATGACATGCTGCATGATCACTCCCCCCGAGGAGAGCAGTAGGTTCTTCAATGAAGGGTTGCAAACAAGGTAGGTGTCCTTTTGGAATCAGCTGTATTTTCACCTTCTCGTGGTTGATTCTGTTAGTATCGAGGCATGCTGTGCTTTGATCAACTAAGAAAAATACATTTTCTTTCTGTACATTGAATAAACAAAGTTCTCTGTTTTTGCATCTATTGAAACATTGTGTCGTTTTATGATTCCGCGTTGGGACCTGCGAGATTTCATGTGAGAGTATAAGGTCTTTAGTGGACTAAAACAAAGTGCAGGCAGTGTTCAGAATTGATAATCCATTCTAAATGCTTGTATTCCTGATATACGGTACAACGAATACCGTTTTTGGCTGTCTTGATTCAGTAATAGAGCCGAATCCAAGCATTTATATGATAATTTGGCATATATAAACCACTATCATTATGCGGATTATCACCAGACAGCCATCACCATGAAGCTTCATGCCAGTGAACGTAACAACAAACAAGATATACGGGTTCAATGCCGAGAAATCTCCAATCTTACGTCATTTTGGGTTGTGAGACTCTAGCCAAGCAAAGCCAAATGTTTTATAAACATCCACGCTTTTTTTCTTTCTTTTCTTGCCTCTTTCTTATCGATAATTATATAAAATGTCTGACGAAAACGTGAATACCTTGGCTGAAAAGTACCAATCTCTTCGTAATGTACCTGGTAAGATTGGAGGTGGCAACTATGACGAGAGAGTGGATTCTGCTTCAGGTGAGAAATATCAGGTCATGAAGGTACGTGTTACTTGATTATGCAACCAGCATGTGTTGATGGAATCTGTGAAGGCTCTAGGCGACCAACTTGGTTTGCCTGGTACTCCTGCTGCTGATATCTTATCCAAGCTTGGTAAACCTGATGAGTTGACACCAACACTGGATCATTCGCAAGCCTCCATTCAAACAATGCCAGGTAAAATTATGCAGCAACGATCATTATTACACGAGAAACGTCATGTATTCATTTTACACTATTCAAGGCCCGGCTATTCCTGCCTCTGGTGATGGAAACGCAAACGAGAGCTCTGCTAACCAACAATCCTTTTACTTTGTATATAATCTTGTACCCAAGAAGCATTATCTCTACTTTAAGGTATGGCAAATTTGTTAAGATGGAGGGAGCTGGCTTCTGACAGTGTATTTTTGTATATACAGATTGATCCTGTAAATGAAAAGGTCATCACATCAGATTGGCACAAATCTGATTAAATTTTTTTGGTTCTTTTGTTACGTCTTGGTTGCGAACGCTAGTTTGTGGCTAGATTTCAAATAAACTTATATTCATAAAACAAGCCCACTTGAGTGTGTTTATCCATACGAGATACGATGTGAAAGTATAACGCGGCTTTAGGCCTTTCAAATCTGCAGCATCAAATCGGAAGACTTTCGAATGTCATACATCAGATGTTGTGTGTATTACAATGGAGCTTTCTTGTTGCACAACAGGGCAGGAAGTTTAATATAATCCATCATATCTTCCTGTAGAGTGCCGTATGCACCTTGCTTATTTTTTGCTTGTACAAAGCACATCACAAGACTAAAACTGTGTAGTCGATGCTAAAGTAGCGGCAGATTTAACCTTGTGTATTACTCCATCGCGAGATACGACCACAGTGAGGTTAGGTGATACAACACACTTTTTTTACAGAGGCATTTAAACACTCTCAAAGAGATGAGGGAATTCCTTACACTTGCACTGGAGAAACACGGAACCCAAATGTCAATACAACCGTCTGTGTATGACATGTTTATCATCTGTACATACGGGATCTGACATTTCAGTCGAGTCAGATCCACTACTGTCGCCTTGGATACATCTCTCTAGCCAGCGTCGTTACCTAATGCAAACCCGGTTGAAGTTCTAATTTAGAAAAAGAGAAAGCAAATGTACAACACCACTGTGTGATGTAATACACAAAAAAAAAAAACTTGTATACAAACTCACACCAAGTTTCATGTATATAATGAGCCAAGACTTTGCCCTGTAGCCCTCTTTTCTCTTCTTTTTCTTCTATATAAAAATTTGCAAACAAAATGTCCAACCAACAATACGGTGCCACTGCTAATGATGTTAACCAAGAGGAGTCTGCTCCCTTGATCAATAGAGATATTGATCGCTCCAATGAGTCCTGTAGACAAAAGTTTCAACGTATCACCCATCAACACCGCTTCAAGATTATCGGATCATGGCTCATTGTGCTCGCTGTTACTGCTGTCTTGACTATCTCTGTCCACTATGCTCTCAAGGAAGACAAGCCTCATATCCCTGAGGAACCTCCCAAGGGCGAGCAAGATGAGCTCGTCAATGACATGTGCATTTCTGATCGCAGCTGGTTTGTTGCTCTTATGCTTTCCATTTTCCTCGGTCCCTTGGGTAAGTGCTAGATAGAATAAGGAGGGTTGATTAGCGTATTGTGCCTTATATACTCATACATCATACATAGGTGTCGATCGTTTCTATCTCGGCTACATCTTCCTCGGTATTCTCAAGCTCATCACTGCTGGTCTCGGCGGTATCTGGTGGACCATCGATGTCGTTTTGATCGCTTTGAACGTTCTCAACGACCATCCTGCTGGCTGCCACCTCAGATAAAAAAAAAAACAACAACGCCACATTTCCCTGTGTAAATGATGATACCACTATGTTTATTTCTATAATAGCCTGTAATAAAAAAATAACCTATCTGTGTTTTGGGTATGGTCCAACACGATCTCTTTCTTTCTTTGCCCTGACGTCAATATTACGCTCCTTCCATGTACTCTTTCGAAGCTTAATAGGTCTGTTGCCAACGTATTTGCCTGACAGATTGGGATTAGGCTTTCATGTAAAATAACACCCTGCTCTAAATAGTTACCGTTCATTTCTCTCCACGCCTTGACAAAGTCATCAGGATCCTTGAAACTGATGAATCCGAATCCTCTTGATTTCATGGTTCGATTATCACGCACAACGCGAGTTCTCAAAAGACTTGGGTACTTTGAGAATGCCTTGTACAATAGCTCTTCTGTCACTTCATTACCCAAATCACCAGCAAACAAACGGAAATCATTGTCGTCCCACTCTTCGAGCGAATGATCCTCCCAGACCTCTCCTCCTGCTGCTCGCACAATGTTCTTTTTCTTCTTCTTTTTAGCATCTGCATCGTCGCTCTTGTTGTTATGCGCTGCGCTGCCTGTAGGTGCAGGCGAGGATGTCGATGTCTGTGGTCCTGTGTATCCTGATTTGGTGATGATGATGGGCCCAACGGGATTGTTCGAATTTGCTGTGGAGGGGTAATATACTTTGGGTGCTGGTGAAGCATTGTTGCTGCCATAGTTGGAGGTTACTGCTGATTGTATTGCGGCAACAGATTCAGGCACAACGCCACTTCCACCATAGGATCCCGTTGGTGTGCTAGTGTCGTAGTAGTTTTGAGCATAGTATTGATCGTAGTTGTAAGCAGCAGATGCATCAGTGGCAGTAGCAGCAGCAGAGGTAGCTGTGCTATTGGGATCAGCGTATGCTCCAGTAGTGTAGTCATATCCATAGTAGTATTGTCCATTATCAGCGTAATACTGATTATTGGGATCAGAGTAATCGTAAGTCTGCTGGGCTGCATCGCCAGTTGCATTTGAGTAGTAATTGGTGGTGTCTTCAACGTACTCGCCATTTTCATTGTAATATCCCTGAGGCACTGTGTATTCAGCAGGCGCTATGTAGTCATTGACAGCATACTCTTCAGCAGCATAATGCACCTCTTCCTTCTCCGCGTCCTTCTTCTTGTCGCTTGGCATTTGGATTCGATGTGGTTGAAAGAGTGTAATGTGAAGCAGCTGCTTTAAAATGGGGAAACGCTTACTGCCGCAATGGAAGGCTTTTTAGCGCGGTCACGACACAACGATTCTTTCACCCCCTACAGACAGAGAGAGAGAGAGAGAGAGAGAGAGAGAGCATGAAATTTTTCATTCATCTTTACCCTTTCATTCATCTCAAATGACCAGTCGATTCATTCCTAGAACAACCTTTCCGTATGATAGAGTCATCAACTGGTTTCCAGGCCACATGGCAAGAGGTCTTCGGTTGATATCAGAGAGATTGAATTCAGTGGATCTCGTAGTCGAAGTGAGAGATGCTCGCATCCCACTCTCCTCAGTCAATCCAAATTTCGAAAAAGTAGTTGGCAGACGACCTCGGCTGATTGTATATAACAAATTTGACTTGGCAGATCAAAGCACCAAGGAGCCCATTACTGCTGCATTCGCCAAGCATGCGCCAATGACGCCTGTCGTATTCACCAGCTGTCAAACTGACAACAACGTCAAAGAAATCTTAAATCATGCAGCTAAACTCGCCGATCCTATACCCCAGGTTACTTTGATGGTTGTTGGCATGCCCAATGTAGGCAAATCATCATTGATCAATTCACTCAGAAGAGTAGGCGTTGGAAAGGGAAAAGCAGCAGCAACGGGAGCACAGCCAGGCATCACAAGAACAGTGATTGGTACAGTGAAAGTGCTGGAAGACCCTACAGTCTATCTTGTAGATACACCAGGCGTAATGGTACCTCATATTGCAGATCCAGTGAGAAGTCTGAAAGTAGCATTAACAGGTGGCATTCGTGATCACTTGTCAGATGAGCAAACAATGGCCGACTATCTTCTGTTTCGATTGAATGAATTTGGCGCTTACGACTATGCAAAATGGTTCAAGCTGCCAGATGGTCAGCCTACAAACAATGTGGACGATTTACTGAAGGGTGTTGCCAAGCGTATAGGCGCCGTTGTGAAGGGAGGCGAGTACGATATGACCATGGCAGCCAAATTCTTCCTCAAGCATTATAGAACAGGAAGATTGGGTCAATTCACACTAGACGATGTCAGCCCAGAAGCACTAGAGACCTTTTTTGAGCACCAAAAGATGTACGCCACCACCAATGCGAACCCAAGCACACTCAGTAGACGTCAAGAGAAGAAAGTAGCTAAATTAGAACAAAGAAAGAACTCGAGAAGAGCCGCTAAGGAAGAGGAATAAATGCTTTATTTAATGGATCTGTGATATCTTTTCGCTGTAGCTTTTAAGTACATGGTTAGATGAGGGTATTTAGATTGTCGTCTTCGAAATACGTTATAAAATGCTAGAAATAGTAAATGTAAAATTTCAGATTTGCTAATGCCATGAGGCGCCAAAGGTATCACAATTTGTCCTAGCCGAATAACGATGCTCAAAAGGCACTTTTCGTTGACAAACCCCATGATGCTGTTTGATAAGGCTTTTACCTGGCATTCTATCTTTAATGCCGCAAATTCAAAGTTGTCATACAGGTTCCTTGAGATGGATTGCTTGGAGTTGATTTCGCTGTTCATCAATATGTCATAAAATTTGGATTTGATAGCTCTGTGTTCAAGGGTTAGCGCACACTGATCTTCCCTACTTGAATAATAAGCAGCACACACCTTACGCCGCTGTTGAGTAGTGCCTTGAAAGGCTTGCGACTGTATTCTACTGTCATGAAGGATGCTACATCTACATTGGCCATTAGGATTCGCGACGAATACATGATCAGTTGCAGACCTGTACCTGATCTCTGCCTTTTTGACTTGTCAATATGGACATTTAAAGTCTTGGTGTCAAAGATCATTCCAATCCACGAGAATTCTACATTGCAAACGTTAGAATAACGTGAAATGAAGATATATTTGCAAACATTTCAGTACCAGACATGTCATTATAGAGGTTTGTTACGCATTTATCCTTGTTGACGGACACTCTGAAATCAGATAGATCTATTCTAACATTGAGTATCACTGCCAGCATTGGCGAAAGTACGTCTTACCAGTAGTCATTGTATCCAGAAATCGCACAGCATAATTCTTGTCTTTAGTTATATACAAGAAATCATCAATGTAGGAGAACAGAATCTACGCACAAAAAGTTAGCATAATGCATTCTGTGAAAGGCAATTGCCATGCGAACCCCTTGCTTGTCTTCTTTTAGATAAGCGAGCTTCTCTTGCTCCAGCCTGCCAAAGAAGAAGCTGCATAAAAGTGTTGACAGTCGAGATCCTTGAGCAATGCCATGTTGACGTTTATAATATTTATCACCAAACTACATTAACAATAGAGTTAGTTCTGTTTGAAGTGTTTGTCATCTAGTATTTGAAGGTACCTTGACAGCACTTGAAGCTATATTCTCTTTCAAGAGATAGTACAACTCTTGTGTATCAGTAAATGTATACGAACCCTACACACGGTCAGCATCAACACCAGCTGTACAGTATAGCTACATACCTGATCAACCAGTATAGACCCAGGCCGAATATCTTTTGATTTACGTCCAAATTTACTAAAACTAGCTGCCTCATCTGAACATGGTGTTATTGCATGTCGTATATGCTATCACGATCTGCCATCTTACCACTTGAACCGTACGACTGAAGACTTTTTTGAAGGAACTTGCCTGCAAATGGCCGAACGGACGCAATACTTTTACACAGATACTGACCCTACGAGAGCATGATTAAAAAGCTGGAGACATAGTGATGGAAGTGTTGTATTTTTACTGATTTCAGAATGTCTTCTAAAATGGCCAGTAGTCTTGACTGATCAATGTTATCAAAGCAGTTGCTGATATCGACCTTGACAAAGTAAAATCTAAAAATGTATGTCAGCTGTTGCTAGCAAGATGAGGCTCATTGCTTACTTGGATGTAGTAGGTAGTACAGTTTTGATATATGATTTGTATCTTTTGTACAGGGAATGTCTACCTAATACTGAGCTACCCATGATGTCTGAATTGCGTTCCTGTAATACACTTTGTAAATCTGCTGGGTAGCATGATGTAATGGGATTCTTACCATTTCATAATGAAGCACATTCAAAGCTGTTTCTAATCTGGCGTTAGGATTCACTTTTTGCTCTTGAAAACTTTCATCGGTGGTACTTGAGACCTGGTAGAAGAATCTTGGTATCAGAACGCATTGAGACATTATAATCAGACTTACAAGTCTGGTAGCAGTTTTCATATTTGTAATCATACGCAATCCTCTCTCTTTGGGTACGAATCTAATTTTTCCTGCACCCAGGCCCAGATCCATTTCCTTGAAAGCCGGTTAGCTTGGTGTGCTTGATTTACTTGAGCCAACGACTTACTGTGTCTCGCATCTCTTTGAAATAATTCGTTTCTATCAGCTTTTCCATGCTTGGCGCGATGATGGAATGCCATGTATCTCGGCGATAATAGAAGGCTTCTTTTCCATGCTTGCTGTGTTCAGTGATGTAGAAGAAAGACTAATGACGAAATGTGAGCTATAATAAGCCATCTCCCTTATCCATCTCGGTTACCTTGAGTGTAGGCATTATAAAGTCGTTGAAAAACCAGTAAAATGCTTGCTGAAGTATCGCTTTTCTCTTTTGCAGATCAGTTGGAACTATTCTTTGCTTTTGAGAGGGTGCCAACCATTTGCAATCGAGTACCTGTTGTGGAAAATCAGGACAAGCTACTAGTAAATCAACTCGGTGTGGATCAAAACCTTGAATTCATGCATAATCTCGGTCATGGATAGCTTTTCAAATCTGCGGCGTGATATAAAGTGTTTGGTGGCTCTGTAGATAATGTCTAGGTTGTGCTGCGATCCCCAAAACTCTAATGGAAATGTCCTTCTGATGAGTTCCTTGACGAACTCAAACACCTAATGTATTTGCAGTAAGAGACTGTGTAGTGAATATGAACTGTGGTATTTCACCTCGTAGTGTGGGGTGGCTGCTCTGGTGATATTATCAATCAGCATCTAATAGACCAGAATTAGATGCCTTCGTACACATTGTGATCAGCTACTGTACCTTTTTCGGGCATCGTCTTTTCAGGATTTGTGAGCAATGCATTCTATTATGTCTAGTTTGTATCTCCTTGACTATATTTTGCACGGATTGACATCTCTTGAGAAACTTTTTCTATTAAGCATGCTCAGGCATGTGTTTAACCATACAAAGTCAAGTAGTTGCGCTTACTGTCTTGTTTCGACTGTTGAATTCTCGAGGGAATATCTTGGACATGCAATACATGAGAAATTCATCATCCAGTATTGTTGTTTTGGCCATCCTCAGTACGTCTATAATTGCCTCTCAGTAGCACTCTCATACATAGAACTGCTTTCACTTACTGTTTTTGGGCAAGTTCATCATGGCATTGCTCGTCGACAGATCAGCATTTTTGGTGCTATAAAATAACTGTGATCTGTCAATGGCAACTGCTCTTTTGCTGGGTTGATGCGCTGTCGTCATGGTGGAAGTGTTGGCTTGTTTAAGCTTCTTCTTTTGTCTTCTAGATAGTTTCTGCGCTTTATTTGTATGTTGGTTATCTGAAGCAGATTTCCGACGCTTTTTAGAAAACAAAAGAGTATCGAGGTATTTGGGTATATTTTTGTAGTTGGAAGCAATGTCGAATAGAAAGGTAGACATGTACTGATCCACTGGCATTTGTATTGATTTACTAGGCTTTGGTTTCAGGGCAACGTCTTTGAGCAATAATGGAGTACCTGTCAAATTCGATCTGAGGTCAAGTCGTGGGACAATGCTACATCCTACTTAATAGTACCTGCAAGCTGAAAATAGGCTCCTTGAGGGAGTCTATGCAGAACAACAGCCTTGAGAAAGAGACTGCAAAAGTCCTGTCGATTCACACTAAGATGGAACATGTAAATATTGATTGATATATTGCAACAACACCATAAAATTACCAGGTGAATAGTATATGCCAAGCTTTGTTTGATATGATTTGGCTCAACAAGGTGTTATGAAACTTCATCTGAACGGACCTCTTATCGGGTGCCTTTATAAATCTAGTCTTAATATAACACTGTCTTCAATGCTTTTGTCGCTTCCTTGATTTACCAATGAACATCCAGTAGCGATAACATTGCTAGTCTTCCAGTTTGAGAGAATATAGACACAAATGTCTGCCAGCACCTACATGAACGCTTAGATGAATACAGCTAGCACTGCCTATATCATATTTTAATTGTACATCTTCCATAGTGTCACCGTTTATTCCTGGAGTAAAATCAAGTTTACTTTTATAAATACTTCCAGTTGTGTTGCTGATGACTACTAGTATCTGTTGTGATAATTCATTCAAGGCGTTCTTATCTTGTGCGCACAAATCTAGCTCATCAAAATCCAACCCAAAGTACTCTGGCAGTGTCTGAGCCGACTTGAAGATACTGTGAAAGTAGTTGGGTATCATTGTGGAAACTGTAAGAAAAGAAAAACATAGCCTCCTCAACATGCCTATATATACTAGACTCGTGATTGAATAGCCGAAGATCACAAAGAAAATGCCTTTCTGTTCCGAAATCTATGATGATGGGTTGATCATCGCGATAAATTGCCTTGAATACATTGACCCAGAAACGATGGACTGCGCCGAGTAAGCTTATTCCATACCGATACAATTATATGGTGTGGTTTTCGTGTATGGTGCTACAGCTGTATATCGTCATTTATGCTAGTCCTGCTTGGGCTCCTGCCTCTTGAATCGAGACTGTTGGGAAGTGATCACTGATTTTATGTTTGCTCAGCATTCCAAAACCATGTATACCATCATCAGGCAGATATCTTCCACATACCGAACAGCGATGCTACCTTTTCTGACGGCTACGATCTCCCATTGATAAGCAGCTACTCGTCAAAATGGCGCATGAAATGGAAATCAACCTTGTTTTGCATAAGACTCAGTTGTGCCCAGAATTTGTCGTACGATTAGAGCAATTTCATATCGATACCATCAATGTCGGGTCAGGAACAACATGGGTAATATCAACCTCTACCGTAGATTGTCTCGCAGTGCACGACCATTTGGGCGAGCTGTTGAAGCTGATAGATGATGCAGCCATCTACGTTGATCCCGTTGACATTCAGCATGCATTTTTGCTTACGTTGGATACAGTGAGTGATGGCTCCGAATATACGGATAGCTTCATCCACATGGCGTACAACTTTTACTACCATGGAGGCACCACAACGACAAGTACTCCCACCTTTAATTTACCTCTGGAATCACGGGGAGGATCCAAGGCGATAACTTCTGCACGCCAAATCACTCTGGAGATGCTGATAGCCCAATTCGTCGAAACCAGCACTTCCATTAACGGCATCTTGTATCTAGTGCGCCCAGATGAGAGATGCTACTGCTGCATTACACGGTTTCCCAATCAACAATTCTTTATCTGCGTACTGGATCCAGATGGACATGTATCTATGCCGCCTTTTGACTACGATATGCTGCTCGCCTATCAAAAGAGAAAGACGGGCTATTTCATTGATAAATGGGGCCAGCAGCTGCTGACCAAGAGGAGGGTTTATTTGTGCGTGCGTTTTAATATAATACAATGCCATTTTACATAATCGTTTGTGCGTAGTGTTTCTTCAAGCCTTTTCTTTGGGTGGAATGCGATCCATATCACCTTCTGTGAATTCAGTGTTCATAGCTTTTATCCAGTCAATTTCGATGCTAAAGGGTCCTTCTTGACGATCCATCAATGAGATACCAACAGTCTTAACCTTTTGTCTAAACATCTCGATTTGATCCTCCTGGATCATGCCGTTGTTTGTCAAAATAAAGTCTTTGAATGGAATCTACATAAAAGTAAAGAGCTTCAATAAAACGCACATCAAACCTCTTGCTCCACTCTACCATCACAGTCTCCCATTGTCCAGGTGTACGCAAGAATAAGCGATGTTGAAACAAATCTGTCTTTACCACTCCATCGGTTTGGATATTGACAAAGTATTTGCGTTTATCGCCCTTGACATGCAACGCTAAATAGCGAAATAAGCTGGTATCCCAGCAAGGTGTACCAAACAGAGTTTGTGCCTTGGGGATGGTTCGAATAGCAGCATATCCACTTTGTTTAATCTCTTGGTTGGCTGGTAAATCGAGCGAAATATGGCCGTGAAATCTTGCTGTATTGTCAGGTGTGATATCAAGGCTAGCTTCTGAAAATCCTCCAATATCCTTGTCGCTGCCAATGGCCCATTGCTCGAGATCCTTCTCTGTCTTTAGTGTTGCCATTGGCAATTCCTTTTGCCAGCCTCGAAGGCCATCCATATTCAAAGCTATTCATGGCATGGTCCTATTAGATTGACACATAATATCTGTAGCTTTGTAATCATACCTTTTAAGCTGGATTCGGCTACTTCAACTGCAGTTCGACGAAATACAGAAAACATGATCGTTTGTGGGGTTGAGTAAAGAAAAGAAAAGCATTGGCAAATTTAATCTACCTGGTTGGTTGTAAGCTCCTTGCTGAAAACAGTGACGTTCATGTCAAATGACACAAAATGGCATCTTGTTGGTAGCTATCATGGCCCTTTCTCTCAACTTGATTGACGTTTTAAGCTATTTTAATGCTCTGATAACCTATAAAGGCACTCACAAGATACTTTCTTTGTTTGCAATGCTGCAAATTGACCACAAAGCCGATATCCAGTATATGATGTTCAATCGGGGCTTTCAGGAAACCTGTCAAATAGTGATGACAGTACAGTCGTAATGCTTCGACATTGGATATGCTATTTGATATGAGTCGTAAATATCCGATAGTGATGCTTGTGTATTATGTAAGTCTTGTTGCTTACTCTCACTTGAATTGATAACGTGAAGGCAGTTCTTTATCTCACACAATGCTGATCTCCTTTGAAGAGCAAAATGTGGAATTCCAGGAGCATACGCTATATCTTAAGCAACAGAGGCAACCTGCAAGTTAAATGCGTTCGAAATCGACTTTTTCGGGCACCCTACTAATCCAAAGGGGACGATCTAGCTTGTGCAGTGCCAACATTGCTTGGTGCAGTTTTGTTTATTATTCAGCTTTGCAAGTGACAACACTGTAGACAACTAAATCGTATTACAATAAATGTTTAGTCCCTAGACACTTTTACAAGAAGACCACGTCGTGATAGAAACTTAGGTAACATATTGTTTGAAATACTAAAGAACGTGGAATCAATGTTTATTTTGCTTCAAAGTTGATATTATTGATAACGCCCGGTTTAATGAAACTGACCATCTTTTTTCAGAGATATGTTGTTTATTATGATTCAAATTCCCCTTCTTACTGCAGACATTTTATGCAGCCCATGAATCGTCAATGTCCAGGCTAACGTTATTAAATATAGCATCCAAGAAAATAACATGATGAACGATAGTGCTATGACTTGCCACCTACTTTCCATACGCTTCAAGGGCATTTATTACTGTATTGCCATATGAAAAGAGCATTGAGTTTGCCAGTCAGCCCCACCAGCCAAAATTAATTACAACCCAGACTCATAGTCTGCTCCAGATTGGCCAAATCTTGATGATTTTGGACTCGAATGAACTATCTTAGCAGATTCGACTAAGTAAAACATGGTGATCATCTTATGCTCCTTTAAGCTTTCTTGGAGTGCTTTTCAAGGCGCATCCAATGGTATAAAGTAAGATGTAAGTTTTGAATAAACTTACTGAGTAATTTATGAAAATATAAAAAGAAGCTTCTGGCCAAAAAGTCGAAATTTTACATATCAAAGTCCCACAAAGATGAATTTAGGGGCTATGTTGGATCGATAGAAGCATTTTGAATTAATACATACCATAGTAAAAGTCTTTATTATCAAGGTCAAAAACGCGATCGTTTGATTTTCGGTGAAAACCATGAGGGGTACCTCATGCTTTTTGGTCGATTTTTGTCCCTGTTTTTTTGGTCCCCAAAAAGTTGAGCAAAGGTATCAGAAAGTAACTGTCAGATGAAAGCAATTGTTTGGTGCTTTTCTAACAATCTAAAACGGCCTTGAAGGCGAGAAATCGCAGCTCAAATGCAGTCAGATTTTGCTGTATCAGGGACACTTTTGACTAAAAAGGGATAATATCTGTATGATACTTGCCCGTATATGAAGTAGCTTACGTGTATATGGATGTAGAGCATTGCATAAAAATCAGATCCAGAGATAATATGAAGGGTTTTCATATGTAAATAGAGGGTCAACATGAAAGCAGTAGTATTTTGATAAGATATGCAAGGGCAATCGATAGCGCGAGCTACCGCTGCACAAATTGGTTCTCACCGAAGCGAAGCGAAAGTAAAGAATTGTCCGAAGCATAATCTTTCATATGATTAGTGATTTTACATCAATCAGCAATCAAAATTCTTCTAACATTTTAGGTTTATCAATTTTACGATATTAGTCAAAGGCCCGCGACAGCGCGAGCCGTTTGAACATTGGTTGGTTTCCACCAAAGCGAAGTGTAGGTCAGGAAACCACCCGAAGTGTCGAAAGGCTCGTATTGTATAATAGATGTAACAATAAACAAAAAGCAATGTACACCGAGAACAAGGCATTTCAAACGTTGCTGGCAGTTTTCTTGCCATCAATGAAGAAGGAGGAGAAGAGATTTCACATTGTATAGGAAACGTGCTGTTACCCTTTTTTGATCCAAGTTCAACTATTTAGGAAATGTGCTTTTACATGTAAGGGACGTGCTCATAGTGAGATGTGCACCTTGATTTTCGGTTTAGATTGACGATTTTAAATTTATTGTAATTAAAATGATAGAAATTAGGGCTATAAATAAGATATAGAAAGATGTAACATGTACTCCTTAATATGCTGGTTTGAATTGTACTACATTTTTTAAAAAAAATACGAGTACAAGGCCTTCGAGGAAAGGGTATCCATGATGACCAGAGATATCTCATTGAATGACGATCCACCACCCTACGCTATTGTTGTTATAGTAACTTCAATAAACAACATCTTGAGTCGTGATGATATCAAATCCCGCACTGTGTGTGTATGTGTGTGTGTGTTCATCGCTCTTGTTGTTGCCTCTTCCATTTTCAGTAAGAGGGTTAAAAATACAGGAGAAAAATTCTCTCTTCTTTTACCTTTTTGTTCTCTTTTTCTACTTTTTTTTTAATACAACTTAATAAATAATACAGCCATGTCATATACAGTCAACTCGTGCTCCTCATTTGATACAAACGACTATATTGATTTAGACACTGCTTTGGTGCAAGAAGAATTGCGCTCTTTAGGTGCCACTCCTGAAACGATAGACTACAACAATGATAACTACAGAATCAGCTTCAAGAATATGGACGCAAGAGAAACAGCACGCTTGAGAGACTCACTTGTCACTCCAATGTCGAGTTATTCCATTAATATGCGTTCAATGTCAAAAACACCTGTAGATTCTTGTGCTGAGAGTGTCGCTCTCTTTAAAAATTTGGCAAATAATGGTATGGAACTTGCATATAATAAAATGAAACATGGCCAACAAGTCATTTGTTATAGATCATATCGATTTAGTTTCCAGTGATCTCAAGGACTTTATGGACAACAGTGATTTGGACGATTTGATATCACGGCCAAGCAGTAGACCAAATGCATCTGCATCACCTTTACAGCCCTATCGTCACAGCGTAAATGGCTTAACCAGGTTAGAAAGGAAAAAGATCACGTCGTTTTTTTGTAGGTGTTGTCTAACAGGTATTACAGCTCTAGGTTAAGCAACCACAACAGGGCCGAGCAAAAGAAACATCAAGAAACGACATCAGCAGGTACAGCATCAACATTGTTACAAAAACTATCTGAACCACACCAGCAACACAGACAATATGACCCACAAAACAATGAGGTTGAACCCTCTGCTCCTTTACGTCACACCAACCATGATGGTTACTCTAATCCCGTCACACATACCCACAAGCCAACAAGAAGTAGCATCAATGACAGTGCGAATACAAACAAATACGAGCTTCCAATGTCAGTGCTCGAGAAGCCTAAAAGTAGGGCAATGCAATCTATTCTCAGCAAAAGACGTAGCATTGACTCTGATGGCCTAAAGAGATTGCAGCAAAACGATGTGGAGCCTACATCCAATGATAGCAAGCTATTATCTAAAAGACACAGTATGATGTCGATTGGTGAATACGAGCCAGCACCAGTCAGATCAAAGCTACCAACAACCGTACAAAGACGCAACAGTAATTTACAACAACCTGCTATTTCTACAGCAACGCTCAAAAGACGTAACAGCAACATGCAACAACCGATCACCGCTACAGCACCATTACAAAGACGTAACAGCAATTTGCAACAATCAGTCTTACCAAAGATCAGTACGCACAGGCGCAATAGCAACAATGTACACCCACCTGCCGAGTCTGAAGTACTGCCTGAAAGACGCAATAGTAAAACTCAGCAACAAGCCCAATCTGATCGACGACGATGGAGCAGCTACATCCTAGATCCCAGTGTTGTTGTTGAAAATCAGGTGCCACAAAAAGAAATGGCAGCTCCAGAGCGAACTTCCAGACAAGAGCCGAGAAAGCTGCTTAACAGACGTTCAATGCTTCTGCCCTCATCAGCCAGACGATACTCTCGTGAAGAAGAAGTGTATGAAGCACCGACCATCAGTCAAAGACAAGCATCTCGTGAACAAGATGTATATGCCAGCAAGACTTCTCCTCCGATTCATGCGCAATCTACAGCTGAGAACGTGAGACGCCGACATACACTGTCAGCAAGCGATAAACGTGCAAGCATCGGCCAATTGCCTCGACACACTGTGGACAAGAGAGCCTCGTTAAACCTTACCACCAGTCGCGTTCATGCAGCTATTGGTGAGGACGAGCATGATCAGTTTGACGATGTCCCACAAGTGCAACACAGACGTTTACTCAACAACGATAAGAGGCTTCTTCAGGTCAAAACGAGCTCTTATGAGCGATCCATCGAAGAACCAAACAGATATCGCAGCAAATTGCGCAATCCCCTCAACAACAGAGAATACGAAAGCCAACTTTCGTCTTCTCTCAGAACTACGGTCCTTTCAAACAGTAAACATGCCTCTCCTCGCGAATACCAACAACATACCACACGCTTATCAAAACGCAGTGAGTTGCAGTTACAACCAAGCCGTGATGAAGCTGTTCGCTATCGACACGAGCCATCTGATTTAGTCCATAGCCAAGCATATGAATATGAGCAAACTGATGAGGAGCCTATTGCACCTCCACCACGTTATATGAGCAGAGGTCTTGGTGAGCAACGACACAACCAGCTACCAACAACAACAGTAACAGCAAGCACAACTACACAACAACGCAGAAACAGAGCATTGTCAGCACCATCAAATCATCAACAAGCAACTGATAAACCATCTCTCATGCCTGTTCCTGTACGGTATCGCAAGCATAGCAACAATAGTATCTCCAGATACACCAGTGTCCCAGAAAATGCAGGCTTGACATCTTTCAGTCCACCACGGGAGGCTCGCCTATATCCTGAAGAAATCATACAAGTGGAGGCATCGCGTAGCAGCGGCGGTTTGTCCAATTCTACCACATCCTCTTCTCATTCAAGTGACAAATATTATGATCCTCCAACACCACCCACCAGTGCAGTCATCACCACACACAGTAACCATGGCAAACGAAGATCAGTGCCTGTCATGAACGCATCCATCATCGACGAGCAAGTCCGCAAGACCGAAAATCGCTATAGCGGCTACTTGGCTCGCATTAAAAAAGACACGACAATGACTGAACAGGAAGATATCAGTTCGAGCCGTCGCTTACTGCCTCGTAGACAACGTGTTATATCTGAGGATAATGAGAATTACAGACAGCAGCTAGAGGAACGCAAAAGATTACACCAGCGCCAGGTCTACAGAGACAAGGAGACTGAAGATGTTATTTCATCTGCCAAACATCTGCTGTTGATGGTAAAGGAGAGAAGAAACAGAGCTCATTAGCTACCTCATGCGTATCTCAAAATTTTAAAGAAATTCTTGATATACCGTAGTACATATCATTGCTAAAGTTGTACAGCTATAAAGTAACGCAATAAAGTTTTATACATAGTCCCTTCCACTTTCACAGCTTCAATAACGAAAGTAAACTTACACGTGTTTCGGTAATATGCTAGACTGACTAGCGTTATTAAGTATAAGACTGCACAGCAAGGGCATGAAAAGTAGCTTCGAGGAGCTATAGTACTTCTCAATTCGCAATTCCCTTCCCATTAGCTTCGCTAACTCTGGCTGCGATTGTTCTGGTTAGCTGCCGCCGCAAGCCGCTTTTTAATTTCCAACAATTTTTTCTATTCAAGATTGGCCAGATTCTGTTCAAGATCGACACAATTTATCTATTTTGCAGGATCCGACTATATAAGTCGTAATGCTTGGCCCATCTTCCCTTAAGCTTCCTTGGAGTACTCTTCAAGGCACATCCACTGGTGCTGGTTACTCAAGGTGTTTTTAATAAGACTACTGAGCTAATTTAGAAAATAGGAAATGAGGTTTTTGGTGAAGATGTCGAGATTTTACAAACAAAGGTCGCACACGTAAGGTCTCAGGAGTTGCTTTGGATCGAGAGAAACATTTTGATCCAATATATACCATAGTGAAAGTCTTCATTTTTACTGTCAAAAACGCGATCGTTTAATATTTGATGAAAACCATGGGGGGTACCTCATGCTTTTTGGTCTATTTTTGATGATGTTTTTTTGGTCTCCAAAAAGTTGAGCAAAAATGTCAGGATGTGAGAGCTAAACGAAAGCAATTGTTTGGTCCTGTTCTGGCGGTCTAAAACAGTTCCTAACGCGAGAAAACACGGCTTAAAAGTTGTCAGTTTACGCTGCGATTTGCATACTTTTGAGTAGTAATAAGTGATGTAACTATGCTGACTACCCGTATATGAATTATCTTCATCGATACAGACATGGTGCACTCGAGAAGAGTCAGATCCACAGCTATGGTTGACTCTTATGTGGTAGTTGAGGGTCAAGATGAAGCTTGCAGTATTTTGATGAGATATGCAGAGGTAGTGAGGGATCCGAATGTCGATGCATTCATATTCTTAGCACTAGAATCAACAGTCTGTTGAATTGTATTAAACAATTAGATCAGATACAGCTAAATAAATATGGGTCTTTCGCAGAGCACTATGCAGGGATATAACAATAGGTTTAATAGTAGAGTGTGTATGTTTGTATAGCTTTGGGTAAACACAGCATATTGCATGAAATTGGCACGAGATAGCATCTATATAGTCTATAATTGAGTTCACTTCTTGGCAATAGGGGCCTTAGATTTGCCTTGCACCATCATGTGAGCTGATTGTGGTGCAAACTTTTTGATAGCAGCAATCAATTCAGGGAATCGCAACGGTTTCGTGACATATTCATCCTACACATATACAAGTCAGTGTTTGAGCAAAAGATCCATTAGTTTCAATCTTATTTACCATGCCAGCTTGCAGACACTTTTCACGATCACCAATCATAGCATGTGCTGTCAATGCAATAATAGGTATATGGGAGTTGTTGTTCATTTTGTGCTCGATTTCTCGAATCTTTTGTGTCGCTTCAAAACCGCCCATCACAGGCATTTGGACATCCATGAGAATCAGGTCAAATGTTTGCGATTCGTAGGCTTCTACAGCGAGTTTACCATTGGCAACTACCTTGACATGGTGACCAAACTTCTCCAGGATTCGCACAGCAAGTTTTTGATTGACATCGTTGTCCTCTGCAAGGAGTACTTCTAAAGGTACCGTCTTGGACGCATCGCTTGGGAGAGCAGCATGACTTTCCAAAGCAGGCAACATGACAGCAGCCATGTCAGCCAGCGTGGTAGGTGAGTTGATGTAGCCAGTGATACCCAAATCAATGCAGAGCTTCATGTTGAGCAAATGAACTTCAGGAGCGATCAGGACAATGGGTGTGTATCGCAATGGCACAATCTCTCGAATCTTTTCAGCAGATGCCATCTTGTCAATGATGACAGTGTCGAAGAAGGGAGCGTGCTTGCTCTTGCTGGAATTAGCATTGGAGATGGCAGCGGCTTCCTCAATGCTATCTACGCGGTAAGGCTTCAGTCCAAGCATGGTGACATTGTCTATAGCGCCTGTCTGGTCTTTCATTGTGTCCACAAACAGGACTCTTCTGTTTCTGTAGCGACGAATCTTTTCAATCACTTCCTTTTGATCCAGACTGAATTGGAAAAAGTTGACAGTAAAGTAGAACTCGGATCCACGGCCATACTTTGATTCCACCCACAAATCACCGCCCATTAGCTGCACTAAATGTCTTGAAATGGACAGACCAAGACCAGTGCCACCGTATTCACGACTACAACACACACTGTTAGGAATCTCATTGTCATCTAATCTACTTTTACTTACGTTGTTGAACCATCGGCTTGGCAGAAAGTATCAAAAATCACATTCAGCTTGTCCTCCTGAATACCAATACCAGTATCACTTACACAGAACTCGAGTCTGACAGTGCTATCTTGCATACGCACAGCTCTGGTGCGAAGCACAACTTCACCTTGCGTGGTAAACTTGACAGCATTGCCAATCAAGTTGGTAATGACTTGTCGCAGACGAAGAGGGTCACCAATGAGCTGATCAGGAATAGATTGATCGACGTGATAAATGAGGTCGAGTTTCTTTTGATTTGCCTTGACTGCCAGCGTCTTGAGCACACTGAATACAGCAGATCTCAACGAGAAGGGAATGGATTCAATTGTCATGCGGCCCGCTTCAATCTTTGAGATGTCCAAAATGTCGTCAATAATGGTGAGTAGACTGTTGGCCAAGCTAGACACAATCATCAAGTTTTCTCTTTGCTGCCTGTTCAACTCTGTCTCCAATGTCAAGGATGTCATGCCAATAATGCCGTTCATAGGTGTTCTGATTTCGTGACTCATGTTGGCCAAGAACTCGCTCTTGGATCGATTGGCCAGTTCAGCAGCTTCTCTCGCTAATCTGTTCTTCTGTATGGCATCGCGGAGAGAGCCCACCATTTGATTGATCTTGGTCTTGAGCGAGTCCATTTCACCAGACGCTTCAACGGTAATCAAGCGAGAAAAGTCATTCTCAGTAGCAGCAGCAGAGATTTGGGCAAAGGCACGCACCTGTGTTGTCAAGTTGGAAGCCATGGTATTGACATTGCTCGTGATGTCTCTCCACAGACCCTCAATATCCTCCACTTGCGCTTGAACACCCAGTTTGCCCTCTGTACCGACCTCCTTAGCAACTCGCGTCACTTCAGATGCGAACGAGCTTAATTGATCCACCATGGTATTGATCGTATTCTTCAATTCAGCAATTTCACCGTGCACTTCAACCTCAATCTTCTTGCTTAAATCACCCTGCGCCACTGCTTTACAGACAGCAGCAATGGCTCTCAATTGATCAGTCAAGTTGCTGGCCATCAGGTTCACATTGTCGGTCAAATCCTTCCAAGTACCATCGACACCAACGATGGTAGCTTGACCACCCAACATACCCTCAGTACCCACTTGACGAGCGACCCGCGTTACCTCTGCAGCAAACACACGAAGTTGGTCTACCATGTCATTCACCGTCTCTCTACAGTGATAGTGTTGGTTGGCTGCCCCTATTCAATATAACATATATTACTTACTTGAGCTCTCGAATTTCACCGCGCGTTTCAACATCAATTTTCTTGGACAAATCCCCACTAGCGACTGCCTTGGTCACTACCGCAATGGAACGCACTTGGGTTGTTAAATTACTGGCCATGGTATTGACATTGTCGGTCAAGTCTTTCCAGGTACCAGCAACACCTTGAACATTGGCTTGTCCACCAAGCTCACCTTCCGTGCCAACTTCTCTGGCCACACGAGTAACTTCAGATGAGAACTCTCTTAATTGATCCACCATGGAGTTCACAGTAATCTTAAGTTCGAGAATTTCGCCGCGAGTCTCAACATGGATCTTCTTGGAGAGATCGCCATTCGCAACAGCCTTGGTTACCTCTGCAATGGACCGGACTTGGTTTGTCAGGTTAGCAGCCATGATATTGACATTATCAGTCAACTCATTCCAGGTACCCGCAACGCCTTGAACTACTGCTTGGCCACCTAGCTTACCCTCGGTTCCCACTTCTTTAGAGACACGAGTTACTTCAGAGGCAAAGATACGCAGTTGATCCACCATGTTGTTCACAATGTTCTTTAGATCTAGGATTTCACCACCAGATTCCACTTCAATCTTCTTTGATAGATCACCTAATGCTACGGCCTTGGTCACTTCCGCAATGGATCTCACTTGGTTTGTCAAATTGGCTGCCATGATGTTCACATTATCAGTCAATTCGTACCAGGTACCAGCTACGCCTTGAACGACTGCCTGGCCACCAAGTTTGCCTTCCGTACCGACTTCTTTGGACACACGCGTAACTTCAGACGCAAAGATACGTAGCTGATCCACCATGCCATTGACGATATCCTTGAGCTCCAAGATTTCACCTCGAGTTTCAACTTCAATCTTCTTTGACAAATCTCCCAACGCAACGGCCTTAGTGACTTGAGCGATAGAGCGTACCTGCGTCGTCAAATTAGCGGCCATGGTGTTGACGTTATCTGTCAAATCCATCCAGGTACCAGCGACACCTTCCACCTTGGCTTGACCACCTAGTTTGCCCTCTGTACCTACTTCTTTGGCAACACGTGTAACTTCTGCTGCAAACACATTCAATTGGTCCACCATGTCATTCACTGTGTCTTTAAGATCAAGAATTTCGCCTCGAGTTTCTACTTCAATCTTTTTTGACAAATCACCATTTGCCACAGCTTTAGTCACTTGAGCAATAGAACGCACTTGCGTGGTAAGATTAGCTGCCATCGTGTTTACATTGTCGGTTAAATCCATCCAAGTGCCAGCGACGCCTTCCACAGTAGCTTGACCGCCGAGCTTTCCTTCTGTACCGACTTCCTTTGCAACTCTGGTAACCTCAGAAGCAAAGATACGGAGCTGATCGACCATGGAATTGACGATATTCTTGAGGTCTAGGATTTCACCACCTGATTCCACCTCGATCTTCTTGGATAGATCACCAAGAGCAACAGCTTTAGTGACCTCAGCAATAGATCTGACTTGATTTGTAAGATTGGTGGCCATCGTATTGACATTATCAGTTAGATCTTTCCAAGTGCCATCCACGTTAGGCACACGAGCTTGGCCGCCCAGCTTTCCTTCTGTTCCTACTTCACGAGCAACACGAGTAACCTCAGAGGCAAATACACGCAGTTGATCGACCATAGAGTTGACAATATTCTTCAAATCCAAAATCTCACCACGAGTCTCTACTTCGATTTTCTTTGACAAATCGCCACTTGCAACTGCCTTGGTCACCTCAGCAATGGATCTTACTTGTGTTGTCAAATTAGCAGCCATGATGTTGACATTGTCCGTGAGCTCGTTCCAGGTACCTGCTACACCTTGAACGACAGCCTGGCCACCAAGCTTGCCCTCCGTACCGACTTCCTTCGATACACGAGTGACCTCAGAGGCAAAGATTCTAAGCTGATCGACCATATTATTCACTATATTCTTCAGCTCCAAGATTTCGCCGCCAGATTCCACTTCAATCTTCTTTGATAGATCACCTAATGCTACGGCCTTGGTCACTTCCGCAATGGATCTCACTTGGTTTGTCAAATTGGCTGCCATGATGTTCACATTATCAGTCAATTCGTACCAGGTACCAGCTACGCCTTGAACGACTGCCTGGCCACCAAGTTTGCCTTCCGTACCGACTTCTTTGGACACACGCGTAACTTCAGACGCAAAGATACGTAGCTGATCCACCATGCCATTGACGATATCCTTGAGCTCCAAGATTTCACCTCGAGTTTCAACTTCAATCTTCTTTGACAAATCTCCCAACGCAACGGCCTTAGTGACTTGAGCAATGGAACGCACTTGCGTCGTTAGGTTTGCAGCCATAGTATTAACATTGTCAGTTAGGTCCAGCCATGTACCAGCAACACCTTCTACCATTGCTTGTCCGCCAAGCTTTCCTTCAGTGCCTACTTCCTTGGAAACACGCGTTACCTCTGCAGCGAACACTCTCAACTGGTCTACCATGTCATTTACTGTATCCTTGAGATCCAGAATTTCACCTCGAGTTTCTACTTCGATCTTTTTGGATAAGTCGCCATTGGCTACAGCTTTAGTCACTTGAGCAATAGAACGCACTTGGGTGGTTAGGTTGGCTGCCATCGTATTGACGTTGTCAGTGAGGTCCATCCAAGTCCCTGCTACACCTTCCACAGTAGCTTGACCGCCGAGCTTTCCTTCTGTACCGACTTCCTTTGCGACTCTGGTTACTTCTGATGCAAAAATACGAAGCTGATCAACCATGGAATTGACAGTGATCTTGAGATCAAGGATTTCACCACGGGTTTCGACTTCAATCTTCTTGGACAAATCACCACTGGCAACAGCCTTGGTTACCTCTGCAATGGACCGGACTTGGTTTGTCAGGTTAGCAGCCATGATATTGACATTATCAGTCAACTCATTCCAGGTACCCGCAACGCCTTGAACTACTGCTTGGCCACCTAGCTTACCCTCGGTTCCCACTTCTTTAGAGACACGAGTTACTTCAGAGGCAAAGATACGCAGTTGATCCACCATGTTGTTCACAATGTTCTTTAGATCTAGGATTTCACCACCAGATTCCACTTCAATCTTCTTTGATAGATCACCTAATGCTACGGCCTTGGTCACTTCCGCAATGGATCTCACTTGGTTTGTCAAATTGGCTGCCATGATGTTCACATTATCAGTCAATTCGTACCAGGTACCAGCTACGCCTTGAACGACTGCCTGGCCACCAAGTTTGCCTTCCGTACCGACTTCTTTGGACACACGCGTAACTTCAGACGCAAACACACGAAGCTGGCCAACCATATCATTGATAGTGTCCTTCAAATCCAACATTTCACCACGGGTCTCTACTTCAATCTTCTTTGAGAGATCACCCTTTGCCACAGCTTTAGTCACTTGAGCGATTGAACGGACTTGGGTGGTTAGGTTGGCTGCCATCGTATTGACGTTGTCAGTGAGGTCCATCCAAGTCCCTGCTACACCTTCCACAGTAGCTTGACCGCCGAGCTTTCCTTCTGTACCGACTTCCTTTGCGACTCTGGTAACCTCAGAAGCAAAGATACGGAGCTGATCGACCATGGAATTGACGATATTCTTGAGGTCTAGGATTTCACCACCTGATTCCACCTCAATCTTCTTGGATAGATCACCAAGAGCAACAGCTTTAGTGACCTCAGCAATAGATCTGACTTGATTTGTAAGATTGGTGGCCATCGTATTGACATTATCAGTTAGATCTTTCCAAGTGCCATCCACGTTAGGCACACGAGCTTGACCGCCCAGCTTTCCTTCTGTTCCTACTTCACGAGCAACACGAGTAACCTCAGAGGCAAATACACGCAGTTGATCGACCATTTCATTCACAGTATTCTTTAAGTCGAGAATCTCGCCTCTGGTTTCTACTTCGATCTTCTTAGAGAGATCACCACTAGCAACCGCTTTTGTTACCTCAGCAATAGATCTTACTTGCGTAGTTAGGTTTGCAGCCATGATGTTGACGTTATCTGTGAGCTCGTACCAGGTGCCTGCCACATTGGGCACGCTTGCTTGGCCACCTAGTTTACCATCTGTGCCTACTTCTTTAGAGACACGAGTTACTTCGGAGGCAAAGATACGCAACTGATCCACCATTCCATTGACAATGTCCTTCAATTCTAGGATTTCACCTCTGGTCTCAACCTCGATTTTCTTGGATAGATCACCTAGAGCGACAGCTTTGGTAACCTCAGCAATGGATCTCACCTGCGTGGTAAGATTGGCAGCCATAATGTTAACATTGTCTGTGAGTTCATACCAGGTGCCTGCTACATTAGGAACCATCGCTTGGCCTCCCAATTTGCCTTCAGTGCCGACTTCCTTAGAGACACGCGTTACCTCAGATGCAAAGATTCGAAGTTGATCCACCATGTTATTGACAATGTTCTTGAGCTCCAGTATTTCGCCACCAGATTCTACTTCAATCTTTTTGGAAAGGTCGCCATTAGCCACAGCCTTAGTCACTTCAGCAATGGATCTGACTTGGTTTGTCAAATTGGCTGCCATGATGTTCACATTGTCCGTGAGCTCGTTCCAGGTACCCGCAACGCCTTGAACGACAGCTTGACCGCCTAATTTTCCTTCCGTACCAACTTCCTTGGATACACGCGTAACTTCAGAGGCAAATACACGCAATTGATCCACCATGTTGTTGACGATGTTCTTGAGATCAAGAATTTCGCCACCAGATTCCACCTCGATCTTCTTTGAAAGGTCGCCTAATGCAACAGCTTTGGTGACCTCTGCAATAGATCTAACCTGATTCGTAAGGTTTGTGGCCATATGATTCACGTTATCTGTAAGATCCATCCAGGTACCATCCACATTAGGAACTAAAGCCTGACCGCCTAATTTGCCATCAGTGCCAACTTCCTTGGCAACTCGAGTAACCTCAGCAGCAAACACATTCAGCTGATCCACCATACTGTTAACTGTGTTCTTGAGATCCAAGATTTCGCCTTGTGTTTCGACATCAATTTTCTTAGAGAGATCGCCTTTCGCTACAGCTTTGGTCACCACCGCAATCGAACGCACTTGGGTCGTTAGATTACTAGCCATCGTATTCACATTATCAGTGAGATCTTTCCAGGTACCACTGACACTAGGTACAATAGCTTCACCGCCTAGTTTGCCCTCGGTTCCCACCTCCCGAGCTACACGAGTGACCTCAGAAGCAAACACTCTCAACTGATCCACCATGTTATTCACTGTGTCCTTGAGATCAGAGATTTCACCACTGACATCCACTTGAATCTTTTTCGACAAATCACCATTCGCAACTGCTTTGGTGACCACGGCAATGGAACGCACCTGAGTTGTTAAGTTGGTAGCCATGGTGTTCACATTATCGGTGAGATCTTTCCAGGTACCGTCCACATTCGGCACCCTCGCTTGGCCGCCTAGCTTTCCTTCTGTGCCTACTTCACGCGCCACTCTCGTGACCTCGGATGCAAATACACGGAGCTGATCTACCATGTCATTCACAGTGTTTTTCAGGTCCAAGATCTCGCCACGTGTTTCAACTTCAATCTTTTTAGACAGGTCTCCCATGGCCACTGCTTTGGTTACTTCAGCAATAGACCGTACTTGTGTGGTCAGATTGGCCGCCATAGTATTGACATTGTCCGTTAGATCCTTCCAGGCACCACCGACATCTTTGACTACAGCCTGACCACCTAGCTTGCCTTCGACTCCTACCTCTAGAGACACTCGCCGCACTTCAGCAGAAAATAGAATGAGTTGATCCACCTGTAAGTATCATATCCTATTAGTCATTGGCCTATTGATCTCTGATTCAACTTATACCATTTTGTTCATTGTATTTTTCAATTCTAGCACTTCGCCCTGGGCATTTGCTTTCACTTTCTTTGATAAATCGCCTCTAGCAACTGCCTTCGCAACTACTGCAATATCTCGAACTTGGTTTGTAATTTTTGTCGCCATCATGTTGACATTATCTGTTAAATCTTTCCATGTGCCGCCTACATCCTTGACTATGGCTTGACCACCCAAAATGCCTTCTGTTCCAACTTCCAGCGACACTCTGGTTACTTCTGTGGCAAATATAGACAGCTAATTTCAGATGCGTAAGAGACACGTTTTGGCCCTTTGGTATCTTTTGTTAGCTTACCTGATCCACCATGGTATTAATTGTATTTTTGAGGTCCAGCATTTCACCTCTCACTTCTACAGTGACCTTTTTAGTCAAATCACCACGAGCAACCGATTTCGACACTTGAGCGATATCCCGCACTTGATTTGTCAAATTTGCAGCCATTGTATTTACATTATCAGTAAGTTCCTTCCAGATGCCATCAGCACCTTGTACTTTAGCTTGAGCGCCCAACTTTCCTTCAGTACCAACTTCATGGGCCACTCTCGAGACTTCAGAGGCAAACAAATTCAATTGATTAACTAGCAAATCAAATACAGGTAAGTACACTAGTGTGAGAAATCATGGCAGATCTGGCTTACCCATAGTGTTGAATGTATTTTTGAGCAAAAGAGTTTCACCCTTCACAGGTACAGTCATTGCCTTGCTAAGATCACCTCGAGCAATGGCAGTTGATACATCAGCAATGTCCCTCACTTGTTCAAGATGGCTTTGAGTCATGCTATTCAAATTCACAACAAAATCATGCCAGAATCCTTTCATGTCATTGCCACAACGAGCTTGTACACCGAGTTTACCATTCACAGCAGTTTCATGGGCAACAAAACTAACTTCATCAGCAACAATCTGGAGTCTATCAGCCATGGCATTGACAGCATTTTTCAGGGTATTGATAGGAGCATTCGGCTCGACATCAGCGCCAGGGACAACACATCTTTCATGTTTACAAGTGATACGACGGCCGAGATCTCCATTGAATACACCAGAAGCGACTTTGACGGCTTGAATAACACAATCAGGACATACAATATTATCAGAACTAGTTTGAACAGTAGCAGCAGGGAAGGAAATGATAGATGGCGACATTGTGGCGCCAAAATAGACAGGATAAGCAGTAGCAGTAGCAGAGATATTAAAGGGGGGCATAGCAGAAGTGGTAGACGATGAAGAAGTAGCAGCAAGACCAGCAGCAGCATTAGTGTTAGTAGATGTAGTAGATGTAGCATTGTTATTCAAGGCATCGATTGCTGTAAAGAGGATTTAGCTGCACAATTCACCATCAAAGTAAGCGATTCGATTATTTACCAAAGTAGCTCTTCTGTTGATGTTGACGGTACGAGTTTTCCAATTTGTCGAGCAATGATGAACCATGGATGGATGTTAGATTATCCTCAGGCGTGGTAGTGCTTATGCGACATTCTCCGCCATTCTCTTCGCTCTCATTGCGACTCGACCCTCCATCTCCTCCACCTCCTCCTCCATCATCGCCATCTTCTTCGTGTTTATTGTTGTTTTTTTCCGTCTGCTGATGGTTTCGGCTCATGACCTTTTCCTCGTGACCATGTGCTGTAAGTAGTTGATGTTGTTGCTGGATCATTATGCGGCTTCTTAAATTTTCAGTTTCTAATTGCAGCTGACGTTGAGCTATTTTCTTTAGATTCAATTCGAGTGCATTTAGTAAATCAGAATCTGTCTTGGATAATTCATCGAAATTCGACAAGTCTATGGCATTGGATAAACAGTGATCGATGTTGCCCTGCTCCAAATTATTTACAAGATCATGGATATATTGGATGACTGACATTGTTGAATTATCACGGATTTTCTTTTTTATAATGGGTGAATTATCTCCTGTGCAAGAACGTTTCATTACCGCCCTTAATCTCTTTTATCTTTTTTCCTTTTTTCTTTTGTGGGAGAAAAAAAAGCAAAACAGGTGCAAATGTTATGAGCTAGTTTACAAAGATATAAAATTAACAAAAATATAAAGTATTCCAATAAAATTAAGCAGAGAAAATTTATAAGGAATAGAGGAAAGAGGAAAGGGAAGGAAAACAGAAAATTTTGGAGAAAAAAGAGGGGTAAAATAAAGCATAGTGACGACCTTATTTAGACCTGATTCCTTAGAGTTTGTTGTAGATGTTGACCTATGAACACATTCTAAATTGATTGAATTTCTGCTGTTTAGGAAGCTAAATTACCATCCAACGTGTTACTGAAATACTAGCATTTTGTTACTATGGAAACCAACCTTTATTTTGGTTTCCATGGCAACTAATTCCTTGAACATGCACTATACATTTGTTTGTTGATTATTCTCGGTAGTGATATGTAACAAACCTTATAAACTGTAACAAGTAGTGTGTTTATAGATTTCACACATAGTCTGTTCAGGGGGAATGTCTATGACGATGTCTAAGGGCTCATATTATTTCAAATCGACTTGAATGATTACACATCAGCAACATCAGTTTTTTAGACTCTTTTCTCAATCTAATCGCGGTTCAATTTATTTTTGTACCATGTTTCTTCCTATTCTTTTAAGATAATGCTGAAATGCATGCTTTCAAGCATTATTGTATTCAGAGTGCCATGGTGAATTAGAAACAAGTTCGCTTGCCAGAAATCTATAATATCTTAGGTATACATCTCATATACAATTAATTTGTGTTTGCTCGAAAAAATAGCTCAGAATCACAGCACTGTGTTGTGGGTTAGAATCCAGAAAATACATCAAGCCATTTCGTATCAAATAAAAACTGAATGTAAAAATAAACTTTCCTCTGAGAGTTATGCACAGCCAGGTTAACGGTGATACTCGGCTGCTGTGGAATTTCAGGCGTGTGTAACTTGCTGAATGTTACCCTCATTATTGTCAATTTAACCTTTTGCATGCTACTTTTCATACAAAATGTTTAGTTTAGATGTGAGACTTTGGGAAACCAACAAAACTTCATTACATTTGATGCATCATAAATTAATTAAGAGAATGGACTTTAGCCATTGCTAGTCTATCACTCTATGTTGCATTTAACAATCTTGATTTTTCTAATTTTAGTTTTGAAATTGATGAGTTGCTTTTTGAATATTGAGATTCGAATAAGCATCGCTACCGACTCTGAATAGAACCAGGTTGTGGCCATACATATCAAATACCCATAAAATGTAATTCATTTTAGTTGATATGGTGAAGTAGAAAACGTCCAATATGATGATTGCAAATTCCAATGCTTGAATTTGACAAGGAATATACTGAATTATAAAGACAAATCCTAGCAATTTCTTTCTCTACCTAAAGCTATAGTAGTTCTGAGTGACTTGAAGGTTTTCTGTAACTTTTATGCTCATTTTCAAAAGGAAAAGATGATTGATTCAATACATGGTGTCATGAAATAATCTGAAGGAGCCCATATCATTTGGAATACCGTCGAATTCCTCTTTCAGAATTACATGAACGTAACGAGATTTGTTCAAGATGCATTTCGTGATTTGGATTTACATTCTAGCAAAAAGCGACCCATGTAGGTATGACGCGCAACTACTCTTCATTCCATTAACGTTGGCCAGACAGATACCTTGAAACGTGAACTTGAGTAATTCTTGGCCAAAAGTTATACAGTATAGTCAATCTCAAAGCAGAGTCCTGTCAAAGGCGACGTAGGTTATTTTCCAAAACTGCACATGGATCACTCTACATATTTTATGTGACACAGCCATAAGACCATAGCAAACAAATCTAATAGTACCCCAAGAGGGCCTGATTTCATGGGCTCGGCAAATATCCCGATTAAATAAATACACTAAACTCGTGTCCCCTCTTTCTTCTCTTCATCTTCATTTTATATCTTTCATATCCCTGGATATTCATTAAAAACGGCTCCTGAATTATACATAAATATTGCGAAAAACAGCTGCTATTAATTTCTGTTTCTCTTGTTTTTTTTTGTGATTTCCTCAACATTTCAACACTATGACAACTTTTAAGCTATCAAATAATACTATGGATAAAGCCTCAGTAATAAAACATAAAATGAAACGCCAAAAGAAATCTATCCAAGAAGGTAATATTTTTAACTTTTTCTTTATGTGTGTGCCTTCAATGCATCTGTTTTCTCATTCTCTCTGGTAGATGTGGATAAACCCAAGAGAAAAAGAATCACACCAGAGCAATTTTGTTTATTGACCGAGCTATTCCAAGAAACCGATACACCTAGTCATGACATACGTGAAGCACTAGCGAAGAAATTGAATATGACGAATCGTGAAGTTCAGGTATGATACTTTTAATAATATGATTTAGACCGTGTAACAAATCAAGAAACAAACTCTTAAATGAAATTCAGGTATGGTTTCAAAACCGCCGTGCAAAAGTGAATCGCTCTCGCTTACAAGAGCACGAGGAACACAGTATGAAGTCTAATCAGAATAAGAAAGTGAAATTCAATTATTGGTCTTCAAATACCATTAGCAATAACTCGTCTTCGTCTTCTTCGTTAGCCTCTTCTCCCTCTTTACCGCACGAGCTTATCTTTCACCCAAATGTAACACCCATAGATATATTAGCAACTGCAGCCGCTTATGTTCAACAATGGGACGAGAACAAGTTGGAGCGAAAAAGAAAACAACAAATCCAGCACGAAGAGCAGCCAAAGAAGCATAAAAGCTGGAGGCCATGGCTTTAAAACGATATACATATGCGACAATGTTTATTTGATCTGTTCCGTACGCACTCCTAGAAAAAGGGTCTTCCTTACTATTATACTCATGAATGTTGCTTTTCACAGCTGCGTATGTGTGCGTGCCCTTTCTATTCCCATATTCATCATACAATTATACATGCTGCTAAAAAATTACCGCCTCATGCTGATACCCCTCTTATCTTCACTCCATCGTTACACTTTCCTGATCCCTCATTTTCCTGGATAAAAATCTACTCAAGATTTTCCCCTCTTTATATTTATTGCTATTACAGATCGAAGAATAATGCTATCGCAAGAAAGCATAACAAATAAATCGAATGTAGTGCACATATTTGCATTTCTTTTGATTTTTCAATGTATCTGCATTCTACTTTTTATAGATAGCAGTTACCTGAATAGAGGCTGCTCTATCTGTTTAGCTTTACCCCTTAACTGGATATGTCTATAATCTCCTTTTTGCATTACACTAAAGATATCTTAAGCAACCAAATTTTTTATTTTGACGAGTGTTTATGCTCTGGATGGCTCTCTACCTTTGCTTCGCTTCGGTGAGAACCAATCTGCGCAGCGGTAGCTCGCGCTGCCGATTGCCCTTGCATATTTTATCAAAATACTACTATTTTCATTTTACTCTCCACTTGCACATGAGAACCTTTCATATTATCTCTGGATCTGATTTTTATGCAATGCTCTACATTCATATACACGTAGCTACTTCATATACGGGTAAGCAGCATACTTGTATTTCCTCTTTTTAGTCCTTAGTGTCTCTGATACAGCAAAATCTAAATGTATTTGAACCGCATTTTCTCACGTTCAAGGCCGTTTTAAATTGTCAGAATAGCACCAAACAATTGCTCTCATCTGATAGTTACTTATTGCCACTATTGCTTGACTTTTTGGGGGGTCAAAAACATTATGGCCAAAATTCGACCAAAAAGCATGAGGTACCCCTCATGGTTTTCGTCGAAAATCAAACGATCGCATTTTTCACCTTGATAACGAAGATTTTTACTATGGTATCTATTAAATCGAAATTTTTTTTTTGTATTTAAAGTTGACTTTATTGAACTGATAAATCGAAACTCTAAGAATTTTATATAAGAACTGTGGCCCGAAGCTAGGAAACAAAGAAGGATTTATCTCCACCCGCGGCGCACGCAGACTTGGCACACTAGTAGTGTCAGCTTGACCAAGATGCTCCTTACATGCAAATTGTCATGAGATACAGATGAACGAAATTAGGAACTTGATCCACTACATATGAAAAACCGAGGCACTGCGAGATTTGAACCTGTACCGTAGTAAACGGACTAATCAAAAGAGACATGCTTTACCCAACTTGGGATGGAGTGCTGCTCCTTCTAAAATCAAATTTTTTTTTGTATTTCAATGTGTCTTTTATTGAGAATAAAGAAAACGACAGTACGGGACCATGAGGTTGCTTACATGTCGTCTAAGAAAGAAGAAATCAGTTTGGAGTGATCGGCGAGAAAAGAGGAGAAAACTATCTGAGTACGCCATGATTTACCATCAAGAGAACAGCTCCAATGATGCTGCCATAGAGAAGAGAAAGCAGCTCCAAGAAGTTCAAAGATGGAAATATCCAGAGGATTTTTTTTCCTGGTCGTGAAGGGTATAGAGACCAATCCAGATGGCATTGTCCGTAGGGAAGAGACCGGAAAGACCGAGGTGGGAGATGACCTCAAACCAGAAGAGGGATCTCATGTCACAGCCGACGACCAGATGGTATTCATCTTCAGGTGCTTCAGTATACAACTTACAGAGTGGGGAGGGATGCCTGGCACGGTTGATGATATGTAGGCGAGCCTGCACAGAGAGATGGCCATGGAGCAAACGCCGCCAGGGTGTGAATGCCTTGGCAGGAAGACAGAGGGACCAAAAATCACGCCAGAGGCGAGGAGGAATCAAAAGATGAGTTGGGCGATACCGAGGAGGGTGGGCTGGGCCACGAAGCAAATCAAATGATGGGTGCCAATAACGGCGTAATGCACCGAGCTTGATCTGGGCCATTGTAGCTTTTGATCTAGGGCCGGTGGTGATATAATACCAATGCGAAAAGCTAGCAGTGGGTGGAGAGGGGGTAGGCTGGCTCTCCAACATGGCGGTGCGTTCTTGGTCAGTGAAGGCCATAACCGATCTGAGAGGAGCAGGAATGATCCACACAGAAGGACCTTCAAAGGGGCACAGAGCATTGAACAGATGTTGCAAGGAGATGGCATCAAGAGGACGTGTACACAGGCCAAGATGTTAGTGTCTGGAAGCACACTCAAGAGGTTGGCAATCAACACATGTGGTGGGAGTTTGTCACTAGCCCTAGACAAGGTCTCTGTTAGTGAAAGGGAGCAGACACTTGACGAAGGTAGATCGAGGAACCACCAAAACGGCCACTGAGTATAGGGAGTCAGAGTGAGCAACCGAGAGATCAAACGAGCGAGATGTGCTAGATGAGGGCATTTTCGCAAACGAGGCATGTAAGTACGAGGATACATCAGCAAAGGAAGAGCAGTAGCGTGACCCGAGTATACATGAAAGGTATACAGCAGCCAAGGAGAGAGAAAATCAGTCTGAGCACGAGGAAGAAGTAGACGTTTGACATATATGAGATGCAGAGCGAGATGCTGATTCTCAATGTCGACTAGTCCTAGACCACCATGTTTGCGAGGAAGGCAAAGGGAATCCCATGACACTACCGGCCAAAACGAGACGATGTACGTTCGTACAATGCGCTTGACCTCCTGAAGCAACTCAGCTGGCACCACAACCACACGAAGAAGATGCCACTAAACCCTTACCACGTATGGACAGCTGCCGTTTCTTGAGCAAATTGCACTGACGCTGTAGGTTCACCGTTACTGAATCCAGAAAATGAGCCAACTGTTCCTTAGTGTGATACAGAGGATAGCCGAGGTATCTCACGGAGCCAATCGAAGATTCATCGTACCACTCTATATTGGACGTTTCCGCCAAATGTGTCCACGATTCATGACGCTTGCCAGACAGCGACACCAGAACTGTTTTATTCAGATTGACCTTGGCATTGGACGCTTTGCCATAAAGATACAAGAGAGACAAAAGCACTGGCCATTCCGCCGTGGACGTCAAAAAGACTTCTAGATCATCAGCATAACTGAGTAGTTTGATCCGTGGAGGGCTCTCTGGAGCACGTAAGAGATCATGGTTGCCATGTGGAGGTATTTGAGACGAAGCATTCGAGGTACGACCTGCAAGAGGGGAGCGAGTATTGGTAGACATAGCCACACCGCGTAACTCTGAACAAGCCAGAATGGTCCGAAGGAAAGGCTCAAAAGCGAGATTGAAAAGCAATGGCGAGAGAGGATCTCCGTGTCGTAGGCCACGTTGTTGTTGGATAGGAGCTCCCAACCAGCCATTGATGGACAATGAGATGTGAGTTCCAAAGAACAGACTTGACACGCTTTCTACCAAAGAGGCTGGAAATCCAAACTGATGTAGCGCCATCCGCAGATATGTAGGATTGACACGGTCATATGCTTTTTCCTGATCCAAAAGCACTGAAACATTGGGATCATCAGGAGCAGCCGCACGGAGGTTGGTCATCAGCGTTTGGTTGAGCCAGGCGTTATCCGATATCAAACGGTGAGGCATAAAGCCCGTTTGATATGGAGTGACGAGCTTAGACAGAACACGCTTGAACCGGTTAGCTAGCGGTTTGGTAAATATCTTAGCATCACTGTTATTCAGGGAGAGAGGACGCCAGTTTTTGAGCAATTCTGGGTCACCCTTTTTGAACAGGAGCACCATCCGCGTTTGCTTCCACGATTCAGGAAAAACGCCATTCAGAGCATCCGTCAACACTTGTTGCAAGAGAAGCAGAACCGGCGGAAATTTCGCAACCAAGTAGGAATAAACCTCAAATGGAAGGCCATCTAAACCGGGAGACTTGCTCTTGGGTGCGTGGTCAAGCAACAGCAAGACAGAGTCTGTAGAAGGTGGTTCCATGAGCCTTTCCGCCTCCGCCTCTTGAAGCTTCGCATCGTCAGGGATATTTCCAAAAAGAGTTCACAGCAGCCAGATCAATGTCATCAGGAGTGTAGAGAACCTGATAGAAGGATCGAGCTTCTTGAAGAATTTCACTCATGTCAGTCAATTTCTCACCAGTGCCGGCCTTTTTCAAGGATTGGATGGTTTGTTGGGCTTCACGATCCTTAATCACACGAAAGAAATACTTGCTGTTCTGCTCCCCCATCTCAAGCCAACAAGTGGCCGAACGCAGCATAGATTGACGAGTGTCCTCTTTGTAATGAAATAGCCACCCAAACGCAACTTAATTGAAAACCAAAGTTCATCAAATAGCACTCATTCAAATTCATGCTATTTGGATCTATTAATGAAAGCGCTCAAATGTACATCAAAAACCCATTTAAAAATACTAAAGTAAAGATACACGCTTATATCGCACATCGTGTGAATGAATCACTCCTGGTCACAGTGTATTCAATCACACCCATGATGGTCGTAATAGGTGATGGTATCTTTATCCAAATAGAATTAAATCAATAACAAGCATATTCAAATATGACAACTATGCCCTGCTGCCATAGTTGCACAATATCCCAGATAAAGGATTCCATGCTTCAATAACAAACATCACACTTTAAACCATCAAGGTTACATTAAATCATGCTATGACGATAGCTCACCCAAGCCCGTCAAGGTTACTCAAATCGACCCTTATGGCCAGTGCTCCTGCATTGATTACCACTTTAAATCAAACATCAACAACATTTGCCAGATATCGCAATAGCAGCACCTATTGCTCTCTATCATCACTAATCCTACAAGCCAGATGCAAATGTATAAATACTCTTCTTTTTTTTTACTCAATTCCAGGATCTTCAGTTCATTTTATACATAAAATAAAATACAGTTGATTTCTATTGTATTTTACCTTTGCTTTATTTTTTTTGTGAAATCTATTTAAACCTGATTTCACTGCACTCTTGAATCTTTTGCTCAATAAGTTGTTCCAGTGTCTTGATCCTAGCCGAATCCTCCTCGTCACCAAGCAGCTGTTCCCGTTCACGTTGAAGGCGGAAGACGCGAGCTTTGTAGCGAGCCTTCTGGCCTTTTGTGAACTGCTGAACAGTACTTAATCACCGCCTTGAGAGACTCCCATTTCTCTTGGACGGGCCGTAGACCCATACCCTGAGGGCCAGCCCCCGATACACCAGCATCAGCCGCAATCCCATCACAGTAATTCGAAGCTAGAAAGAGTTCCATGGTTTTATCCAAGAGAGCTTGGAAATTAATGTTTTCCAACAATTATGGGTTAAACCGCCAGCTGCCAGGGCCCAACTTCACACCAGATGTGATCAAATCAGCAGTAAGAAGACTGTGATCTGTCTACGGTTGGGAGATGTGATGCGTCTGAGCATTGACCATACGAGTAGCCAGACGGGGAGGACAAAAAACATAATCAATGGTGGTACCGCTTCGAGGGAGCGTCATTGTACCTTTCGAAAAACAGTTGAGGAAGTGAGTATTCAGCCATTCCACAAAAAGTTTGATCCTAGGGCTTCGAGCTTCGACCGGGTCACCGTAACCCACAAAATTGTCCCAATGTTTAGCAGTTTTTACTTTCAAACCTTACCACCGGACGGGAAGTTATCCAATAACAATGAATTTAGTATTTTCTAAAAGCTAAAACTGTTTTCTTTATATCGTTTAATTTTTATAAGCACATAGCTGTAGAATCACAAGCTGTGATTTGCCAAAGTCATAAGGTACATTGGGACAGTACTGTGAGATCTTTCGAAAAATCACAAATTCAGTGATAACTCAAACCCACAATTTGGAAAAAACTCAAGAGCCTCGTATAAGAAAGTCTCATGTAGCGCAAGTAGTCTCCATTATCAATTTCGGAGTTCTAAATATCAGGTACGTCGATTATCAAGCCATGAAAGCCATTGCTGTCTCCAAGGTTAATTTTGCAATCACAATGTTTCGAAGCGGTTTTTCGATTCGAGAAATTGCTGAAAAACTGTCTTTGGGTATGTCTACTATTGGGCGAACCATAATGAAGCATTGTCCGGGTGTGAAAACCTCGAAAGGTGGTCGTCCTAGGGTGTTGTCTGAAGCCGACAAGAGCTATTGTGTTCGAAAGGTAACCTAGGAACGGGTTTCAAGCGCCGTCAAGGTCACAGAAATGTTGGAGAAGAATTTCCAGATGAAGGTTCACCCGGAGATCGTTCGTAGAGCACTCCGCATTGCGGGCTTGGGGGCTATCGAGAAGGAAAAAAAGCCTTTGCTTAGTGACGCTGATGTCAAGAAGAGACTTGCGTGGTGTAAACAGCACAAGGACTGGACTGTTGACGACTGGAAACGTGTTATTTGGACAGACGAGACCAAAATTAACCGTTTTAACTCAGATGGGCGACAGTGGGCCTGGATTCGATCTGGTGAACAGCTTCAAAACCACCATGTCAAGCTCATGATGGTAAAACACGGTGGTGGCAGTATCATGCTTTGGAGTGCCATTACGTATGCTGGCGTTGGCTGGATGTGCAAGATAAATAGTAATATGGATAAGGCACTCTACAAAGAAATTCTGCAAGACGAATTGGAAGAGACTACCACTTTTTCCATCGAGAAATTGGGCTTCAGCCGTGAACAAGTGATATTTCAGCAAGACAATGATCCCAAACACGCCTCAAATTTGGTCAAGGATTACCTTCAGGAACAGTCATACCAGGTCATGGAGTGGCCCCTACAATCTCCAGACTTGAATCCTATCGAAAACATGTGGGCTTTGTTGAAAAGGCGTCTCAATGCGTATGATACCGCAACCAAGGGTATGAATAAATTATATGAGCGAGTAACTGAGATTTGGTATGACCAAATGAAGCCGGAGGAGTGCCGAAAGGTTATAGAAAGTATGCCTCGACGTATTGCGGCCGTTATCAAAGCAAAAAGAAAATGGACAAAGTATTAAAGTCTTATAAAATAATAAAACTTGATTTTTCCAAATATCTCACAATACTGTCTCAATGTACCTTATGACTTTGGCCAATCACAGCTTGTGATTCTACAGCTATGTGCTTATAAAAATTAAACGATATAAAGAAAACAGTTTTAGCTTTTAGAAAATACTAAATCCATAATTATTGGATAACTTTCCGTCCGGTGGTAAGGTCTGAAAGTTAAAACTGCTAAACATTGGGACAATTTTGTGGGTCACGGTAAATGAATATAAAAGTGAGAAAGGGGTAAATCAGATTAGGTTTGAAAGTATAGTAGGGCTTTTAAATTTCATATATATTTCTATGGCCTGCCCTAATTTATGATTTTATTGGCCAATATAAACCAATCCTTTATCTTATTAGGGCCGGAGTTTTGCCCCAGGTATGTTATCCCCGCCAAATACTCTTCTTTTTTTTACTCAATTCCCGGATCTTCAATTCATTTTATACACAAATAAAATACAGTTGATTTCTCTTGTGCCAGAAGGGCTACAACTGTCTATAAAGATTAAGGTATTCTTGATGGGTAGATATGTCTGTGTTGTGCAACAACATGGACAAGCTATGATAAGTGAAGTGCATCTCAGCTATCTAAACACTGAGGTTCACCAGATGTGATAAGCGTTGTACAAGATAAATTGCTACTTTGGCATTCAGATCTTAGTATAAATAGAATAACTCTTGTCTTCATCAATAAATCTTTAGTTTTTGTGTCTGATCTTATTCAAATAAGTCTTTTCTTGTTTTTATAATATCGAACATTTTTTATAAGCTACAAATAATAATCCTTTTATTCTTTGTGCTTAACAATTTCTATTGTTTTTTTATTATTGCTTTGTTTTTTTTTGTGAAATCCCTTAAGCCTGATTTCACTGTCTTTGCGTCAAAGTCGTGCTAAAAGAGATTCCTGATAACTGCAAATCCTGCGATACAAGAATCAACATTAACAAATTATAGTGAAATCGAGTTTAAATAGTTTCCAGGAACGACACTGCTGAAAAGGTCATCCCCCGCCAAATTACCAACAAAAACGATCGCTCAAGACTAATTTTTGCTATAGTGACACTTATACAATCCTTTTTGTTGCGCATTGCTTCTAGCCATACCACACTGTATACTTATCTTATAGACTGGGGCACCGTATGGAGGTTTCTGTGCTGTTGTTATTAAAGAAGAACTTGTTTTGCAACTGTGAACCCCAATCTGAGGGCTGAATCCCGATTTTTGCAAGGAAGCATTGCAATAGTAGGTGCATGACGAAGTTTTATTTGGTAGAGCAAACACAGGGAAGCGAAACCCAGTTAAAAGAGAAGCGTGGTTGAATTGGCAGTTGTGTATACAATAGTGCGTGTCGAAAGGCTGTTTTTCTTCATAATGGTTCCTTTAGAATATTTCCCTCGCTTAATTATTCGACAACAAACGTAGCAACTGGAAATCGCTTTAGATGTGTAGCAAACCTTCAACGCAAACACATAATGAATTTGATATAAAAGCTTTGGGGCGTCAGCATAGAGATTGGAATAGCTGTTCCTCGTTTTTCGTAAAATGAGCAGTTTAGATTCGAATCTCTGCCACGACAACACAACAAAGCAAGTTATCACCAAGTGATTTTGCGCAGCATTTTCCAGCATCTGTTCCATCGGTCTCTTACTTCTAGTTGTTCGTAATCATGAAGTTTTTATAAGTTCATTACTCAAAACTTGTTAAGGTACGTAACAAACTTTTGACTTTTTAGGAAATCTTAACCAAGAAAGATATAACCAACTTTCACTGCAACGCAACACCTAATCCATCGATCTAATACTTTTAATCATTTGCAATTAAAACAGCCTTCAACAATAGCGTTTATACGTATATCTGTTGCATACAAGCATGCATCTTAGGCTACATTCACTTTCTCCTCAAGCCACCTTTTACAGTGTAGCAGCATAGATGATGTTTATCGTATCACATCACCTCTATGTTTACAAGTCCAGTCAATTGTGTGTGCACAGGTGCCTCAGGAACTACAATACATTCAATCTCCCCAATGTCAAGATATCGAGATCCACCTACACTACATGAAACATATCGACTTAGGTGGCCTCTCAACAAGCTATACCAACAATCCATAAGGCCCCAGTGGCCTGCTATTTATATACCATCTCAACGTAGTAGTCATTGACCAGGGATCTACCATATTTAAGCAAGCTAGATGCCCTGTAATAAAGAAGCTCTTTGCTTTCGTTTTAGATACAGTTGACAACTGATTATTATCATCGACTTATTATTACGAATTCATCAATATCCTTGTTCGGAACCGTCTACTTTTGGAATCATTTGTATTTGATCAGCAACGCACCATCCGATCTAAGATCCAGCAATACTATTGTTTTCCTGGCAAAACTTTGCTCTATAAACATGCTATTGTAAGAGCTCTAGCATTAATGGTACTGCAAAACCCAGTCTCGGATGGCCCAAACTTCAAAACCAAAAATACTTTTGTACCTCCAGAATCTTGGATGTGAGGTAGAAGATAGCCAACCATGATGAAAACATTGAAACTGTTTAGGATATAGATCATCTCTGAGAGGCAAATGTATTAAGCTTTGTATATTACATAAGAGGATCTGAGAATGAGCAGAGATGCATAGTAGAAGTGAGAGGTCTTTATTCAAGCAGCACGAAGGAACATGAGTGGTGCCATCAAATGGCTAATCTATATCCTGGTTCCTAGAGAGTGGTAGCCTATGGCCTTTTGTCCCTGGAAGTGGGTTTCAATTCCGACAAATGTTCTTCCGCCAAAGCTATTAGGAAGAACATTCTATTCTGGATAATCTCTGTTTATCCTTGACTGGTGGTTCATGAGTTCTTATGCAGCACATTCTCGTTAACTGGTTCAAGGCTTATACAATTATCCCGCATTCAAGATCTAGGTCCTATTGCTGCGGCACTGTCAAATAACTATAAATACCTTTGATATTTACACTAGTTTTGATCCCCATTCAATCTCGAAATAACTTAATAAATATATTCAGTTCTAATTGTATTTACTCTGTCTATATTTCGTTATTCTAAACAGAAACATATATGTTGGAAAGCAATGATGTATATTGCATGTTTAGCGGGGTATTTGATACTGGGAGAATCCTGTGCCTAGTATACTGCTGTGTAGTATCATACTCAAATCTGTATAACGTCATCGACTCTCGAGCTTTTAAATCACCGTAGCCTTGCTTTTCAAGATACAGATCTGGTTTTGTGCAATGCAGAATATATGGGCCATCAAACAAAACTGTAATTTATTGACTTCTTTGACAATACAACTTACTACACCTCATTTTTAGGTCAAATTCTGTTAAAATCTCGCCATTTTCAAGCACGAATAACTGATGCTACAAAGCGTTTTGGGCGCTTGGAATAAGGCCAAACGACTCCCCTTGGCTGCGCTTTACTTACTGTTGCATTATCTCAATTTTTTTTGGGCCATTGCAAATTCATGAAAATCACCGTTTTTTTCATGAGTATTAGTAAGGGAAAATTCTTGAAAATCAAATGATCGCGTTTTTTACCCCAAAAATAAAGATTTATTCTATGATATATATAAGATCAAATTGATCGTAAAGATGTAATGCAACACTAGAAGCTCATTCTATGAGACTAGTATATGGTAGATTTTGACATATTCACAGAAAACCTGTTTTCATATTTTTGCAAATTGCTCATTATTTTTGGTCATAAAACTGAATGTAATTAGCACCATTCGATACAGCTTCTTCATTTCTCTAAAGACGTATTAGAGAGTTGGGTGCGGCAACGACTGTTTACATAGTCAAATTCAGCAAAAACGCTTAAAGAATGTCAGATCAGGTCAAATTTAAATACGAAAATATCCATTGCACAATTTCAAATTAAAGTGCAGCAGCCGCAGCTGCCACGGCAGAAGACCGAGGTCAAATCTACTGGCCGTGACGTCGGTTAGAACTCCCTCTCATTTTTCCATACCTCCGGTTTTTTTTTACCCTTTTTGCAAAACGCGTTTAGTATCAAATCATGGCTGTTTTGGAAACTGTTTGATTGATGATAACACTCTAGCTTCTGATAACACTGTCATGCACCGTTGGAAGAACTTGATACTGCTTCTTTGAAGTGGAATATGCTAGGTAACATTCGATAACGAGCACTGGAAGGCGTAGAATTAACACTAATTGAATTTGTTTATTAGGCTTTGATAGTTATTTTTGTCCGTTTGACGTGGATGGTACTGCCATTACATGTATGCTATCTCTACTATTGTCTGCTTCTTTGGCTTATCATGTCTGGTGGTTGCTTCTTTGTGTCTTCGTCTGGTCTCTGGTGTCGTTTGTTCTTCGGTTTTTCTGCGGTGGTGGTGCTCGTGTTGCTGTTTCTGCTGCTAATCTGGTCTCTCCTGGTTTACTATACTTGCTGCATGCTTGTACTCTGGTCTATCTCTGGTGATTGCCTATACTCTTCTGGTCTATCTGTGGCTATGGTAAGTGGCAAGTATTTTCTTTCTTCTGGTCGCAATAATATAAAACTTCTTTGGACGTTTGTATTATTGCTTCCTTTCTCGTAATAATGCATTCATGATGTTTGCCTTGTTGCGCTTTCTTCTTCTTTTTTCTTTTGTTGGTGGTGTTTCCTCTGTGGCTTCACATGAAACAACATTAGTCATTATGTTGTATCGCAAACTTATAATACCACTGTTGCTTTTGCAGTTGTGCGTATTTGTGTCATGTTGCTTTACATTCGACTATTACTACCATGCATGTTGCTCATGTGTGCATTCTTATTGCAACAGCAACAAGCTTTTTTAAACGTGTTTGGTGTTGTGTTTGCTGTACTTTTCTTTGGCTCGTTTCGTGCGAGTCTTCCTTTTTTGTCTACAAACTACTATACTCCTATAGTAGTGTGTTCTTTTCTTTTATTATTATTCTTATGTTTCTTTGAAGCATACCTTTTTTACGTTGTGGTGGATGTGCCTATCGCTGAAGCTCAACAAGACTCTATCCGAGGCTAGGAGGTAGATAGGCCGCCTCCACTTGGTTATCGCTACTTACTTTAGTGATGATTGAGAGTCTCAACGCCAGAATCTAAAAGCTAGGTGGTGTAAGTAAGGCATGCTCTAGCACCTGGGGGAAATTTGATGATAGCTACAGCTATATGCTATATATAGCGGAGCTTAAAATTTGCCTCACATCAAAACAGGGGAAACCCTCGCAATTTTTTTTTAGGTCAGCGGAGTTTTTACGCAATCTGATTGGCTCAGAGGTTGAAACAACGAAGGGGTACAACTAGTTGATTTCCTATTGATCTGTCATGTATTATAATTTTGTGCTTGTAATAAAAATGTATTCAAATAATGATACAATTTATATCCTTCATTATTCAAAAGTAAGATAAGGTGTGATGATTGAATTCATCATCCATTAAACAGCTTTATGTGAGGAATACTTTTTTTAAGCCTATCATGTATGGAAGATTATATATTCTGTTATATTGCAGCAGTACACTGGGTACAGGGTATTCTCAGCAGTACCAAATACCCTGCCAAGCATGCAATGTACGTCATCATGGTCTGGTATCTTTTATCTCACATCCAAGTTTCTGGACATACAAAAGTATTTCCTGCTTTAAAATATTATTGATGCGAGAACTCTGACAATAGCATGTTTCCATAGAAAGATATCACGAAGAAAACATTAGTGTAGTTGAATCTTAGATCGGATGATGGGCTGTTGATCAAATACAGATGATACCGAAAATAGACGATTTGAACAAATACATATGTACAAAAGCTACTATTGAAAGTCGTTGTAATTGTAAGCAATTAAAAGTATTAAATCAATAGATTAAGTGTTGGGAAACGCTGTAGTTAGTGAGAAATTGGTTATATCTTTGTTAAGATTTTTTTTGGCAAAATGTCATGTTGTAAATATCTGACAGGTACGCGAGAATGGATGTGGGTTTTATTCAGTAAGAATCAGATCAAGAGGAGAGAGAAGATTGAATGTCTACTGCTATTTATATGTATGATTTATGGATTGCTTACACACCCGTCTAGAATGGTGTTCTCATGCTAAGTTTTAGTGTCAATCCTCACTTATACTAAATCGTAATTATTTCAGATATAGATAATCAGTCTAAATATCTTTAGTTGCTCTTGGAAACATTAATTACTTACATTCCTTATCAGCTTTATCTTTTGACATATAAAGAATAGGTTACTAAAACTTAGCTTATGTGAATATCTTGGTTATCGTTTACATGTTGGTACAGGGTATTTACATATGCTCCATATGTGCATAGTTTATTACTGAATTCAATCTTCGATATTGTGATTCAGGAACAGTCATATGTGTGAATACAACATGTCAAAGGAGTGATGCTGCGTATTTCAACAGGTTTTTTTAAATTAACTTCATACAGAAGCTCGTTGATTACGAGCGATTACGAGTAATAGATGGATGCAACAAACGTTGAAGAGTGCTGTGCAAAACCATACGGTAATAACTTAGTTTGCTGCGTTGCCGTGACAAAGATTTGAAGCTATGCTGCTCCTTTCACAAAAAAAAAGAGGAACAGCTATTCCAATCTCTAAGCTAATGCTAAAGCCTTATACCAGGGCCACTATATATTTACGTTAAAAAGTTGTTAAACATATAAAGTGATTTCCAGTTGCTACGTTTGCTGTCGAACAATTAAGCGAGGAAAATGTTCTAAACGAATCATTATGAAGAAAAACAGCGTTTCGACACGCACTATTATATGTACAGCTTCCAATTCAACCACGCTTCTTCTCTTTTTACTAGATTTTGCTTCCCTGTATTTGCTCTACCCAATAAGGCCTCGTCTGTGCACATACTACTGCAACGCTCCCTTTCAAGAACCGGGTTTTAGCCGCCAAATTAAAGTTCACAGTGGCAAAGCACGCTGCAGTAAAAAGGGGGTTAAAAAAGCAGGTAGAATACTGTTAAAATCCTTCTTTATTCGAAATTAGGATAATGTGCAATAAAATGTATATTCTACGTCTCTATTTATATTATTTGGTTTATATCTCTTATCTGGCAGCAGTTTAGTAGTTGCCAGTGATTCCATTACTTTATATATTTTTGTTGGGTCATTTAGTTGTTGATCTGATGGATCAAGAACGGTATTTCAATATATGGTTTTTGAATCATGCGTAAAGAATAGCTCTTTATTGTTGAGCCTGTATTCTTTTTAGGTATATTTATGCTACAACACATTACAATACGCTTGACATTTACTTTAGTATCTGTCATCTCTTATTTTAGAGCATTTAACCCTTGCTATCATCATGCTAATACTATTATTATGCATGCCTATCTGCTGATGGTAGCACGGTTCGATTGAGATGACATTTATTTTGGGCTTTGTTTATGATGGGAATCTAGTCTAGTTCACTTCACACGCTTTTCTTTAATAACACCAGTACAGAAACCTCCATACGGTCCGCAAGTCTATAAACTTGTTTATAATAACGAAATATAGACAGAGAAAATACAATTAGCACTGAATATGTTTATAATTATGTTATTCCAAGATTGAATATGAGGAGTAAAACTAGTGTAGATTTCGAAGGTATATATATAGTTATTTGACAGTGACGCAGCAATAGGGCCTTGATCTTGAATGCGGGATAATTGTATAAGCCTTGAACCAGTTAATGAGGATGTGCTGCGTAAGAGCTCATAGACCACCAGTCAGGAACAGACAACAGAGATTATCCAGGATAGAATGCTCTTCCTAGCAGATTTGACGGAAAAACATTTGTCAGAATTGAAACCCACTTCCACGGACGAAAGGTCATAGGCTACCACGCTCTAAGAACCAGGATATTATAGATTAGCTATTTGATGGCATCACACATGTTCTTTTGTGCTGCTTGAATAAAAAAACTCTCAATTCTACTACGCATCCCTGCTCATTCTCAGATCTCTTCCTGTATTATACAACGCATAATACGTTTGCCTCTCAGAAGTGATCTACAGTCGAATGCGATAAAAATAGCATGGCTGATAATAATGCTATGTAATTTGCCCACTATTTTGCATATGCCTCAAAAGCATCTATTGCTGTATTGCCTTCATAATTACAAGAGCATTGAGTCTACCAACCGGCCCCACCAGCCGCCAAAATTAATTCAAACTCAGGTTCAAAGTCTGCTCCAGATTGGACATATTTCAACAATTTTCGACTCGATTGAACTATTTTAACAGATTCGACTAAGTAAAGCATGATGATCATCTTATACTCCTTTAGGCTCACCTCTCTTTCGTCTAAGTTATTTTTAGGGCCTTTTAAAACCCGAAAACAACATCATTAAGCAGTAAAGATCCAAACAAAACCGACAACAAACACAGCTACAACAATCCAGTCAGGTCTGTCAAGTCAGCCGACACCTACAGTTACCTCCAACTATCGTCTTACTTTAACCAAACAGACGAAAACCGGCAACCGAACCTCTAAACTTCCCGTTGCTTCTAGGAAGCGGCGCCACTCCACTATCAAAGCTACCACGGTACCTTTACGTAGATCACCGCAAAGCCAAGCACCTACTACTGACTTTATGGACACTATGAATATTGCAACACCCGTTGCTCCTGCACCTACAACCACTCCCACCAGCTCCACTACCAATATGGTCGTTGAGCCTTCCACTAATGCGATCAACCCACCTGCCTTCCTTGAAGGCATGCACCCACCTAAACCAGACGAAATCCATCAGTCTCCCCTGATGCCCACTTGGATTCAGGAGATCTATTCACGTCTTGCCTCTGTCACCACTCACTTGCAGACTCACGACTCACAACTACTGTAGGGGGAAAAACTGTCCCGTTCGTTTAAAATTTTGTCATTTTGCACAAGCTTTTGGTCATTTCCTTGTATACAAAGTCGAAATATATATCGTTTGAATGAGAGAAAGTAGTGCTATCTATACATAATTATAACTTTTTCAAAAACTAAAATCCAATGATTTTATTGGTTAAAAAATAAATATAGAAAAATGTACATTTTATTATAAAATCATTAATAGTGAGTTGAACCACTTTTGCTCTTGATGACAGCCTTGATTCGGGCAGGCATACTATCAATATATTTCTGGCACTCTTTTTCTGTTATTTTGTACCACTGAATGTTAATACGCCGCTCTAATTCTTCTTTTGTAGAGGGCCTAGTAGGATACTTATTAAGACGAAGCTTTAGGAGATGCCAGACATGTTCAATGGGATTAAGATCGGGACTTTGGGGTGGCCAATCCATGATTTCGTCTAGGTTAAACCCATTGTCGGTGAACCATTGCTTAGTAGTGCCTGAGGTATGCGGTGTTGCCCTGCCTTGTTGGAATCGCACATCAGACGGTGCCTTCCCAAAGTGCTCAAGAGTGTCGACCAATGATGTCTTCAAAATATCGACATACAAGTCCGAGTTTATTGAGCCTTCAATAATGGTAGTACCATAACCAGGACTCTCCGCTGTTATGCAACTCCAGAACATGACCCCACCGTCATTTCCCTGCAACTGAGACTTGACTTAATACGACTGCATGATTCGGCCACCATTCGTCCAGTAAAAAGAATTACCATCTGAGCCCCAAAGGTTTATTCTTGTTTCATCCGAAAACACCCAACGACTCCAATCAGCAATAGTAAGATGCCTATGCTTTTTAGCCCATGCCAATCGAAGCCGCTTGTTTGTCTTGCTAACAAAATTGGTCTTTACTTTTCTACGAGATTTAAGTCCATTTCGTCTCAATGACTTGTGGATGCCATTAATTGACATATCATGGCCCATCGATCTTAAAATTTCTTGTGCTGCTCGGGAATTATCTAAAGCACCTGATCGAAGTTCTCTTGACACTAGGGACATAGTTTTAGCACCAAGTTTTTTCGGTCTTCCGCCAAGAGGTCTAGCTGGGTCAGGGCAATATAATTTTCTGAGCCTTGTAAGAGTAGAGTTACCCACTCCTGGATACAAATTCTTTATCTTTGAAAGCGAAAGACCACGTTGGAGCAAAGATTGGAGAATGTTGCGCAAATCTTGTGTTAAACGAGCAGGCAAAATGAAAGTTTTGAAAAAAAATAAGAAAGCAAAGAAATAAAGAAAAAAATATGAAAAAACTAGCTTCTTTTATACTTTTAGAGTGCTCCTGGGATATTAGATATCCTGAGCATACCGCGGGTAGTTTTTTAGATTTCTTCAATACGTCTATTGGAAGTAAAAATATCAACCATTTTATATCATCTAGAATTACCCACCTAACATTTTTGCCACGTCTCACTTTAGCTGGTTATACTGGGATTAAAATATAGTCCAGCCATAAGATTTTTATGTTGCTGTAATCCCTATAGGCTGTTCTATCGAACGCAGTATGGGGTAGCTTTGTTTTCTGAGTTTTGGCAATATACTGGGTAAAACTCAAGATTATTTGAACGAACGGGACAGTTTTTCCCCCTACAGTAGAACAGAACCAAGCTTTGATCAAACAGACTCAATAATTAATCAAAAAGAACCAGGAACTCCAACTGGCTTTGGATAAAGCCCATCACGAGACTGCGCAACTCAAGTCGGCTGCCAATCATACCTCGACACCTCCATCTGCTACTACGCCTGTTCTCGAAAGGAGCCCCGAGGGCGCCTCAGCCTCTCAATGGGCAAATATGGCTGCCAAACCACCCGCGGAGGAATCAGCTCCAGACGTTACTAAACGCAAGGAATCCAAGCGCAAGGCTTCCACACCCACCAAACCAGCACCCAAGGCCAAACCCAAACAGCCATTGACTTTAGAGCAGGTCAGCCGGTTCTACTCTCTTCCCTCGACGACCCACGGTTACCAATTCCTGTACTTTACCTCTCGTAGACGTGAAGCCATCTCGAAAGTCCGTGCGGGTTTCCAGGTGCTTGGTTTATCTCAAAGCCGCATTCTTGATATCCATTACCCTACTAATAATATCATTAGTTTCTTAGTTCACAACGACTATGCCTTCACTGCCGTGGAAGCAATGGCTCAACTCCCTGACTCTCAACGGATTACTGATTTAGACCCTTGTGCACCCTCCATCCTCGGGGATCCCAAGTACGCCAACCATGCTGATCCGCTCTTTTTGCAGTCTGAGGCTGCACGCATTCACCAAGAATGTTTGCTTCGCATGATTAAACGTCTCAACACTCCCAATATCAAATTGTCCGTCGCTCGCGACTTCTGCTTCAAACGTAAATGGATATCCGAGACTACGTATCAAACACTTTACCGTGAGATTTACCCTGCCAAGGCATCCAAGACTGCCTCATCTTCTTCAACGGATGATGTTAACATGGATGATGCTCCTGCTTCTCAAGATTCTAATTCCCAACCTGCTGCCTCCTTTTCCTCTATTAGCCCAGCTGACGGCGTCTCAGCCCCCCTGGTCTAATGAGTACGACTACCTTTGAATCACCCAACTATGCGAATAATATGCCCCGTTATGACACGAATACTAATTCTTTTATGCACAATCACAATATAGCTTCCTTGAACTGCCGCAATCTCGTCAAAGCATCTACGCCCGAGATTAGCTCTGACTTCATCCGATACCTCCGTTCCTTACATTTGGACATCCTCTGTGTTCAAGAATCGCATGCAGTCGAGGCAGTTCAAGATCAACTCAATTTACAATTCCAAGCTCATGACACCTTATGGACCCAACATTGTGGTATTATTTCATTCAATCCTTTAATTCAATTACATTCGTTAGACTTAGATCTAGATCAACGCATCATTGCCTGTAAGGTTGTCCAAGCCAATGCGTTGTTTCCACCCTTTACGCTCCTTAATGTTTATGCCCCAGCCCAGTACTCACCCCGAGTTCGGTTCTTCAGAGACCTACTAATGTTGCCCCTTTTCGACATTCCTTCTTCAACCTCTCGGGAATCCCTATCCTCTTTATCTACCTTGCTCGATTCTGATCCTTCCAATCTTTCTCCCATGCTTCTGATGGGCGATTTCAACTACCATGCTACCTCCTGTCTGACCGACGATAGTGATGATCCGGAACTTGATACTAACAATATTACTTCAGGAGCTGCTATTCACAGACACTTCCACCGACTCATCAATACCCACTTCTTTGAATGCACTCATTCCAGGGAAGAGGGTCCTCTATTACCAACCTATCGTAGACGAACTGGTCAATCTACTATCGATTACCTTTATGCTTCTAATTTCCTATTTCAACATCTACATTCGCCTGAAATTATGTTCCTTGACTCCTCCTGGACGGATCATGCTCTAATACGGGCTCGATTTGTCTTTTCTTCGGATCATCAGGGATCAGGCCTTTGGCGTGCTAACCCAAATCTTTCGACTAACCCATATTTCATTGACCAACTGTTTACAGCTCTTGATTACTTTTTCAATACCTTGGAGATCTCTGCCTCTATCGATATCGCCGCCTCTTTTCCTCCTGCTTCCCCACAGGACAATTGGGATGCTCTCAAAACCTTGGTCCAAGAAATTGTTCGTCGAGTCAGTCGTAATAGAAGTAGTGCCTTGGAACGTCAATGCAAACGAGTCCAACGTAAACGCAATCGCATCTGTCGACAATATACAGATCCTCTAATCCGCGCTCCTCTACTCTCGACTATTGAAGAGCAGATAGGTATTCTTCAACGGGAGATAGCTTCCAACTTACGATTACGTGCTGGTAAACATTGGCGCGAACAGCGAGAAATCTCTGCCGGATACCTCAAACGTACCATTGCCACTCGTGCGGTCAAAAAGGCGATTACTAGCCTCACCAATCCAGTTACTAACTCATTATGCACTAACCCCATTTCCATGCAGACAGCAACCTCTAGTTTCTATGCAGCATTATACTCTTGCGATGCCGTGGATTCAGCGAGTATCGACTCTCTGTGTGCCACTATTCCGGATTCTGACACCATCACGGATGCCGATCATGATACCCTTCAGCAACCTTTCACCATTGCCGACTTATTGACTGGTACTCATCGTATCAAGTTCCAATCTAGTCCTGGTATTGACGGTTTACCTTACCCCATTCTCAACATTATCCTCAACCACCAGAAGGCCGCCCAACTTGCTGATAAGGTGTTTAATGATGCACTCAACCTGGGTATCTTCCCTTCCAGCTGGTTGCAAACCTGCATTTGTTTACTACCCAAATCTGGCGACCTGTCCAACCTCAAGCATTGGCGTCCCCTTTCTTTGATTTGCTGTGATGCCAAGATCTTCACACGATTGCTAAATCAACGCCTTATGCCTTTCATGAACTAGATCATATGCCCCCAACAAGCTGGATTCATGCCTGGTCGCTCTATCGGTAATAATGGTATGATTCTCAACAACACTCGTCTCATTGCTGCTGAAACTTCATCGAACTGTATTGCGCTGCTCTTGGATCAAGAGAAAACGTATGATCGTATCCACCCTGATTACCTTCTGGCGGTGATGCACCGATTTAACCTTCCTACTAACATTATCCATTCCTTAATAACCCTTCTCTTCTCTACGCAAATTCACATCAACATTAACGGCCATATATCCACCTCGTCCATCACCCAACAACGTGGTATCCGCCAAGGGGATCCCATCTCACCACTCCTTTTCAACATTGCTTTTGATCCATTCCTTCGCTCCATTCAACAAGATCCTCAGTTTACTGGCTTCAACCTGCATACTGAAGCTCCACCTCCTGCTAATCATACTACATCTGACGATATTTCAGTTCCTATGCAACAGTTATTTCCGGACATTGACGACCTTGCTGTCAGTCCTGATACTCCTGCTTCTCCAGTTTCTCCCTCCTCTATACCTCTGGCGGTAAAAACCCTGGCATATGCGGATGATACCTTGGTATATCTCCATGATACGCAGGACTTTCATCGCTTGCAGACCGCCATCACCATGTATATGAAAGCTTCTAACGCATTTTTGAATTATCACAAGACCGTAGCTACATCTCTCTCAGGTAAACCTTCAGCAACTTGGCAAGCCTTACTCACAACCTATGGCACTACGGCCCAACTGATGCTCCCAAAAGATGAAAAATGCTCTCATATGGGAACATCGGTGTTCCTAAAGATCAATCATAAGTCGGCCGATGTTCTTATAAGAACATTTATATTCTTATATGAGCACATCCATATTCTTATATGAGCACATCCATATTCTTCTTATATGAGCACATCCATATTCTTCTTATATGAGCACATCCATATTCTTCTTATATGAGCACATCCATATTCTTATATGAGCACATCCATATTCTTATATGAGCACATCCATATTCTTCTTATATGAGCACATCCATATTCTTATATGAGCACATCCATTTTCAGAAATCGGAAAAATAGAATGCTCCTACCGGGGTCGAACCCACAACCTATCGGTTGTGGATCTGACGTTCTTCCCACTAAACTACTCGAATATCTTATTGAAATGTATTCTTTTACTTTAATTAGTTATTTGGTAATTTTAAATCGCCATTTTTCTCGTGCAATTTATAATACGTTGTTAAGCACAAAGAATAAAAGGATTATTATTTGTAGCTTATAAAAAATGTTCGATATTATAAAAACAAGAAAAGACTTATTTGAATAAGATCAGGCACAAAAACTAAAAATTTATTGATGAAGACAAGAGTTATTCTGTTTATACTAAGTTCCGAATGCCAAAGTAGCAATTTTTCTTGTACAACGCTTATCACATCTGGTGAACTTCAGTATTTAGATAGCTGAGGTGCACTCCAATTATCATAGCTTGTCCATGTTGATGCGCAACACAGACATATCTATCCATCAAGAATACCTTAATCTTTATAGACAGTTGTAGCCCTTCTGGCACAACATACGTTTAGTAATTTTATGAATCTTACAAATAATAAAAGTCTCTCTGTTGCCTACAATATTATAGTTTAGCTATTAAAACCATTTTATTCATGTGGAAAACTACACCTTCTCAAATGAGAACATCAATGTGCTCATGAGAACATCGAAGTTCCCAAAAGAGCACACCCATGTTCTGTGAAAACATCAGTTGGGCCGTAATGAGACTTCAATTTACTTTACACCTGTCAGTTTGATAATAAAACATACCTTTATCTAGTTGACTTCACTGTTTTTTTATTCTTTTTCTTCCGTGAATTTTAGTCTGTAAAGCCTCAAATTCCACAATGACGTTTAAAGGACTTTAAATAAAACCTGGAGCCCGTCTCCTCTACAAAAAAAAAGCTCCTTTAGGCTTCCTTGGAGTGCTTTTCAAGGCGCATTCAATGGTACCAAGTAATATAGGTGTTTTGAATAAATTTGTTGAGTAATCTACGATAATATGAAAAGAAGTTTCTGGTCAAAAAGTCGAGATTTTACATATCAAAGTCCCACAGAGATGATTTCAGGGGTTACGTTAGATTGATAGAAACATTTGATTTTAGAAGGAAGAAGATTGTGAACAATTTGATTTTAGAAGGAAGAAGTTCTTTCGCGTAACCATCAGTATCCTTAAGGTGAAAATTACGCCACTGCTTAAATCACATCAAACACATTCCTACCACTACCACCACAGACCTTTCTTGGGTCCAGGTTCTCTCTCGAGGCCACTCCAAGAAGGTCATCAATGCTCAACCACAACGAACCAAAGATGACAAATTCAAACTGATCTCTGAAGTTCTCTACGAACATGACGATTTGAAAGCCGAGGTTCTTACTCGCAAGGCGGCCGCCATCCTCCAACAGGCCTTGACACCTGAATCTGTTTTGTTTTTTGCGTTCCCAAACAAAACATTTGATCATCGTACTGCAGCCTATCGCCTTATCAAGGAGTAAATATCCCCCTGGTCAAATTTCGCCCTTTGAGTCTGTACCACCAGAAGGCCAATGGAGATCTCTTATTGGAACCAAAGTTTGACCGCCTCGAGGATGCCAAGCTAGCGATCAGGCAGGGCATCACTCATCAGGACATCGTATTCAAGGCTACTGCCGCCAAGGACAACAGTGAAGGGAGACTCACTCATGTTCAGATGACAATTGTCCGCATGACAGATATGGAGACTTTCGTGGAGAATCTGCAGAAGTCCCTCAAGTACTATGGTAAAGTGTACCAGATCAAGAAATACACTATTGATGGCTTCTTTGAGGGTCATGTCAGCTTCCTGATCGACACTTCGGTCAAGTACACTGACGCGGAAGGTCACTCCTACGACGTAGAGCCTTTGAGTCGCATGCTTTACCTCTCCGCCTGGGATGTCTATATGCCAGCAAACAGACAGAGGAGCACCACCAGTTTGCCATTTCTGCCGTCAGAGTGGACACATTTGTGCTGCTTGTCCTATCCTAGCTAAACGCAAATGTTTCAAATGTCACAAGTTGGGACACACTGTTAAGTTCTGTCGAGAGGGAGAGAAGCCTTTTGACGAAGCAATCGCCAAATATGAGTCAGGCCAAAGAGATCACACTGATTCCTACTCAGCCACTTCAATTGATAAAGATAACGAAAAAGAGAAGGGCCACAGAGCATCCCCTGCGATCAATGATATTCTCGCGCAGCAACTGCCATCCCAGATAGCCGGCAAAACGACCGAGCTCACAAGTAGCCAGATCAGTACCTTCTTTTACGCAGATGACAGCCAAACCTGGGACCAGTCTCCGGATGTGATGAAGATAGATCCCCAGACCCTCCAGCGTTCTCCCAACGGTAGCGATGCTTCTAAGCATGCTCTGTTAGCTTCGTCCTTCCATATGCATTTGGATCCCAAGTTATCTGCTGACAATATCTCCTCTCCCAATGATTTCCAGACTGATGTGCCCTCTCTCCGCCGTCATTCTATGAGCTCGACGTCTATGTCGCAGCCAACAGTGTATCAGGACACCCGTAGGGCATAATGATACAGCAATCATTGCGTATAGGTACCCTTAATGCCCGGAGCATCTTTAAGGGTTCCTCTAAGACTACATAGAAGGAATTCATTCCCTTCTTACGCTCCAAATCCCTCCAGCTGGATATTCTTTGTCTGCAGGAGGTCTCTCATTTTCGTCAACAGGCTCATCTCTCTGATGACAATATTCGTGAATTCTCGTTTATGTTTCCTCGCTGCTCTTTTGTTATATCCAAACACTGCGCTATTATCTGTCTTCGCAAAGGCTTAAAACTTACGGACACCGCCATTTCTCTCGATGAACGCTGCGTTACCGCCACTGTTACGGATGCCCTCCACACCATCTTCAAAGTGGCCAATGTATACATCCCAGTGCAGAAGGCAGATCGCCACGCATTCCTCCCGGTGCTGATGTCTATGCCCTGTTGGTCGGATATACTGGACTCCCAATGGATTTTGCTTCGAGATTTCAATATCCATTTACATACCGTGACCCACAAAACTGTCCCAATGTTTAGCAGTTTTTACTTTCAAACCTTACCACCGGACGGGAAGTTATCCAATAATAATGAATTTAGTATTTTCTAAAAGCTAAAACTGTTTTCTTTATATCGTTTAATTTTTATAAGCACATAGCTGTAGAATCACAAGCTGTGATTGGCCAAAGTCATAAGGTACATTGAGACAGTATTGTGAGATATCTGGAAAAATCAAGCTTTATTATTTTATAAGACTTTAATACTTTGTCCATTTTCTTTTTGCTTTGATAACGGCCGCAATACGTCGAGGCATACTTTCTATAACCTTTCGGCACTCCTCCGGCTTCATTTGGTCATACCAAATCTCAGTTACTCGCTCATATAATTTATTCATACCCTTGGTTGCGGTATCATACTCATTGAGACGCCTTTCAACAAAGCCCACATGTTTTCGATAGGATTCAAGTCTGGAGATTGTAGGGGCCACTCCATGACCTGGTATGACTGTTCCTGAAGGTAATCCTTGACCAAATTTGAGGTGTGTTTGGGATCATTGTCTTGCTGAAATATCACTTGTTCACGGCTGAAGCCCAATTTCTCGATGGAAAAAGTGATAGTCTCTTCCAATTCGTTTTGCAAAATTTCTTTGTAGAGTGCCTTATTCATATTACTATTTATCTTGCACATCCAGCCAACGCCAGCATACGTAATGGCACTCCAAAGCATGATACTGCCACCACCGTGTTTTACCATGAGCTTGACATGGTGGTTTTGAAGCTGTTCACCAGATCGAATCCAGGCCCACTGTCGCCCATCTGAGTTAAAACGGTTAATTTTGGTCTCGTCTGTCCAAATAACACGTTTCCAGTCGTCAACAGTCCAGTCCTTGTGCTGTTTACACCACGCAAGTCTCTTCTTGACATCAGCGTCACTAAGCAAAGGCTTTTTTTCCTTCTCGATAGCCCCCAAGCCCGCAATGCGGAGTGCTCTACGAACAATCTCCGGGTGAACCTTCATCTGGAAACTCTTCTCCAACATTTCTGTGACCTTGACGGCGCTTGAAACCCGTTCCTAGGTTACCTTTCGAACACAATAACTCTTGTCGGCTTCAGACAACACCCTAGGACGACCGCCTTTCGAGGTTTTCACACCCGGACAGTGCTCCATTCTGATTCGCCCAATAGTTGACTTACCCAAAGACAGTTTTTCAGCAATTTCCCGAATCGAAAAACCGCTTCGAAACATTGTGATTGCAGAATTAACCTTGGAGACAGCAATGGCTTTCATGGCTTGATAATCGACGTACCTGATATTTAGAACTCCGAAATGGATAATGGAGACTACTTCCGCTACATGAGTCTTTCCTATACGAGGTTCTTGAGGTTATTCCAAATTGTGGGTTTGAATTATCACTGAATTTGTGATTTTTCAAAAGATCTCACAATACTGTCCCAATGTACCTTATGACTTTGGCCAATCACAGCTTGTGATTCTACAGCTATATGCTTATAAAAATTAAACGATATAAAGAAAACAGTTTTAGCTTTTAGAAAATACTAAATTCATTATTATTGGATAACTTCCCGTCCGGTGGTAAGGTCTGAAAGTTAAAACTGCTAAACATTGGGACAATTTTGTGGGTCACGATAGTTAGATGCCCTGTAATAAAGAAACTCTTTGCTTTTCGTTTTAGATACAGTTGACAGATGATTATTATCATCGACTTATTATTACGAATTCATTAGTGATAGATGCTTTTGTTCTAATTCTGAGGCTCAGGCCTATCTTTTTGAAATGCATAATCGATTTCAGTGATTTAACGATTTGAGCGCCAGTGATACTATGCAAATTTGAATCTAACAACTTGCTCGGATTGATCAGGATGCTTGACAGGTCAGCAGGTCACTTTTGATGGTCGTCCACAACAGAGATATTATGTTTAGCCATAAAACTAAACTTAAAGCCTTTTCACAACAATGTTGGGCAATTATAAGCAAGGAAAATCGCTGATAATACGATACAGGTTGAGTCGGTATCCGTACCATTGAGAAGGACGGTACCTTCCAGAAGTAAAATGAGGCTGTGGGATATATGGCCTGTAATTCTATAAGTTAGATCTGAAAACTATTTCTAAAATGATGGATTCACCTGGGAATTTATTATAAAATAATAATTTGATCATTGTATTTAGCAACAAAAGAATATTATTCATTAAAAAAATATCAAAAAGAGACAACAATAAAAGAAAAGAGATCGATTTGTAACAGCATCTAGCAACAAAAAACCAACGAATGTCATGGTTGTTCGTAACTGCTTCAACTTCAAGGGCACAAGCAGAGTCTTTATGGTGTTAGAAATTGTAACGTCTACTTTCTTTTCTGTCACTATATAAAATCATCCAATCTGCTCTTCTCTATTATACAAATAAAGCACATCACTTTTGGTATCGCTTTGTTAAGCGCAAAGAATAAAAGGATTATTATTTGTAGCTTATAAAAAATGTTCGACATTATAAAAACAAGAAAAGACTTATTTGAATAAGACCAGATACAAAAACTAAAGATTTATTGATAAAGACAAGAGTTATTCTATTTATACTAAGTTCTGAATGCAAAAATAGCAATTTTTCTTGTACAACGCTTATCACATCTGGTGAACTTCAGTATTTAGATAGCTGAGATGCACTTCACTTATCATAGCTTGTCCATGTTGTTGCACAACACAGACATATCTACCCATCAAGAATACCTTAATCTTTATAGACAGTTGTAGCCCTTCTGGAACAACACGCTTAAATTACATTCTGGCCACATCTCAATCCCAACTCGAAATGCCGCATAACAAGCGGGTATGAATTAAAGACTCAGGTCAACACTGCAATGCCTTCCGTATCTTGTATTCAAAAAGTACAAACTCACATCAAACCTTACTTCTTAAATCCATGAAATGCAATTACATAACCAAATCATGCGAAACCATATACATTGACCCTTGTAAATTAAGTAAACAGTTCTTCATTCATCGAAGGGTATTAGTACAGAAACATTATCAAACCACAAATCAATCCTATGTTAATCAGGACATTAATACATACATAAAGAGTAGCAAAATAGTATAAAAGCATAACTCTCAAAATCAATTAATAAAATCAACTTATACTTTACCAATAGTTTAATACACATCTTTTATAAAGCTCATTAGCTGTTATATTTACTTCTTTTCTTATACTAAACATCTGTTATTTGTAAGATTCCTTGAATTCTTTATATATCTCATATATTATAATTGATTCATTGTTAACTCTTTTATACACATCACTGTAATATTTTCTACTTTCTACTCTTCTTCTGTTTATTTGTTATTTCTGGTTGGACAACTATAAACCTGGTGCTCATTTGATAGTTAGGTTTGCTTTGGCTAACTTACTATCTCTTTCATACTCTTCTATCGAAACTATATACATTACTACCGACTCGCCTGTAACAATGAACCTGACAATGTAATAATGTGATTCATTCAAACAAAAGAATATGGTGAGACGTTTTGTTAGAATACGATGAAAAAAAATAAGCCCAACGGGGGGGTCGAACCCCCAACCTTGAGATTAAGAGTCTCACGCTCTACCGATTGAGCTAGCTAGGCAATTTGATGATTTTGACTACCTTCAAATAAATTATATAATAAAATATATTGGCTTTATTATCACGTGTTTTTTAGCTTGCAACTGCCTTTGCTTGTTCATGTATATTCTCTTTGCAAATAATGTAATATTTTTGTTCCAAATGAAAGCCCAAACAAGACTCTTCATATGTAACAATTTGACATTAAAACAGATGTTTTAGTACCCCAGCAATGCAAAAATTGAACCAGCCAAAACCCCCCATCAACCTGTCAAAGTAGACAACCCTCCATGTTTATTATATTCGAAAAACTCCATGTTCAAGATACGTTGTTTAGATGCAACTATGAGGCACTTGCTAATTTGATATATTTGTAGCTTGGTTATTGACACAAGGGAAAGGGGCGGCAGACGACTTGACATGCATTATTTTACTCCTTTTTTTTTTATATATATTTCTTTACAATTCCATACCCGCAGCTTCATCCTCAGAAGAATCAAAGCTAACTGAACTCATGTCGTCTTCGTCAGAACTTTCATCGGCAGCAGCATCAGCGGCTTCTTTTGTAGCGTATCTTGAAACATAGTCTTTATACCAAACATATTAGAAAAAGCCAACCATCACAGATCACACAAAATTCTTACCTTTAACTTTAACCTCATACTTGGCTGGCTCTCTCATCAACAATGCAGCAGCTTCGCCGTTTAAAGGATCAGTTGGATTGGGGTATCGAAGCAATTGAGGAAGGAAAACTTCGAAAATATTAATCATATCTGGTTTCGCAGCAAGTTAGTATGATGTGCTTTCATAATTCATGTCACCACACTTACCAAACATTGGACTCCAGGTTTGATTTATAACATCCAAGCAAACAGAACCGCTACTGTATGCACTCATGAGATTATGCGAATCTTGTTGGTTCATAAGCTACTTACACTTCATCGATATTTGGGTGAAATATTCTATTCATAAAGCCAATACTCGGTGATTTGTAGGGATATTGATCAGGTAATTCAACATGTACTTTCCATACACCACCATTGAAGGGAGCTATAATGCACACAGTGTTAATATCGGAAGAATTTAGCATGATTTTCATGATGTTTTACTATCAGTAGGCCCATGAAAACGAACATAGAATTCTTGCATATTGTCGTTGACTAAAGTTACTTCATAATCACTCATGAGGCTGATTTCATGTCAGTATTTTATCACCATTCATGCACCAAGGACTTACAGTTTCATAACATCAGTTTCTATTCTTCTTCTTGGTGTAGACATTTTGTGTGTTTAATGTGTGAGATAAAGGAAAAAACAAGAAAATGGTAAAAAAGGAGTTTAATATATATAGAAAAAAAAAAAGTGAGAGAAAAAAAAATCTTCCATGCTGATTGGTTTAATGGATTACAAGAATTTAGATGAATGGTTACTCATTTTGCATTGAAAGAAACATTGCTCTGTCAATACCATGGCGGAAGCAGCACGAGTTGCTTGTAATCACTGTATTGATTACCACACGTTGTGCATATATTACTGGGCATCACCAAATTATGCACATTGCATATTGCAATGTGCATGTTTCGGTGTTTGTCTGACCATCCCTTCATTTTTCTGTTGGGGAAAAGATAGACTCATTTTATTAATTGAATAAAAAAATGTCATGTAAACGAATCCATGGTATCTAGTATATGCTCACTCACTGTATCCGCCAAGTAAATACGCATCTTGATTTCTGTTGATCCAAAAGAAAATTCTATCGTAACATCCATTCGGGTACCAGGCTTAATGTGGGAAAGCAATGGCATTTTGATTGGAATCTCTGCCAGTTTAATGACGGAACTGTCTGTAATTTGTCTTGGTAAATCATCCTGGTCTGTAACATAGAGATCTGCTTCGGTATGCTTTGGATATTCAATCCAATAAGAGCGCCTGATTTTCTGATCTATCGAGATACGTTGCCCTTTTTTAGCAATGACATCAAACCTTGTAGAGCATCGTTTTATGCCATCCTTGGTGATAATTGCGCTTTCTTCAGGATCTAAATCTTCCTCGAATGGAAGACGAGTTTGCACACCGTAGGTTCGTCGTAGCACTTTGCTAGTAACCAGGTTTGGTTTTTTAATATATGCAGCCGCACCTCTAGCAATGGCGAGTTCACCAGAAGGAGGCATAGCGATCTCCCCTACTTGATGGCTAAAGTTGATTTTGAGTATATCATACAAACAGCTTGAGCATCCAAATCCTCCCACTAGAAAAATAGCGTCCACAAAGGCACCCGCTTGATTGATTTGCTGCTCAACAAGCTCCACAACTTGCTTCAGAACCGGATTGAAGACTTTGTCTTGTAGCTCTTCTAGCGGGAATACCATCAAGCCATTCTAAATCAGAATAGTTAGATTATCCCAAATAGTAGCATGGAAGGATTCAGCTTACATCGTCCAGCAAATGCATCGGTATATAAGGTAATGCGCCAGCTGGAACATCAAGCTTGTAGTATTCTTCATCACCGAGATAGTTTGGTTTAACAGACTGAATAAAATAGTCCATCATCATTTCGAACATACAGACTGGCATCTGGCCTGTTAACTTAGACTGCAATAGCTTTCGCATGTTTTGATCGATAAACGCACTGCCACACATGCCACCATGACCTCGTGTCACTTCTCTCAGCGTTCTAGGTGGTGTAACATCTTCAATCAGGCTTGCAGAGACAAAAAGTTAAACAGCCATGTACTATGATCAGTGTATGTTTGCTATCACTCACTAGGTAATCAAATCAACCGTGCCCCCTCCAGCATCTACAATCATAAACGTGTTCCCATTTGACAAATTCCAAGATTTGTACTTGTATTCACAGTAAGCAGCAGCAGCTTCTGGTTCACTGATCAGCTCTAAACGATGATTGGGATCATCGGGCGCAATAATACCCGCTTTGACGGTTGCTTCTCGCATGATGGCTTTGGACTCGTCCGACCATATAGCAGGCACTGTGAGGCACTACGGTGAAGTAGCTAGTGTTAGTGACATGTAAAGTCCCTCATAGCATGCTAGAAACCTACATATTGATAATGCTCTTGTCTAAAGTTCTGCAATAAGGTAGCTTTCTGTAGCTGCTCACAAACATGCTCGTGAAACACCCTTAGAAAATCGGAAATCACATCAACGGGTGATTTGCCCTCGGGTAAAGGCACATCATCTGGTTGAACGAGGGCAAGTTTAAAGTATTGCAACAATGTACCACTTTGATCAGGCTGATGTTTCTTTTAGATGTGGATGTCTAATTTTAGATTCAAATGCTACCTACCCGTAATGACTGTAATCGAGCACCTCGTCCCCAATCCAACAGCCTGTTGCTCTTATTTCGATAGTATAAGAGCGTTGGTGTCTTGGCGTAGAATCCATTGTTTTTTGGCCATCGAGTGACATCGTATATTTCATCATCATTGCTGGATTGAAGGGCATAACAACAGCCCTATGAATCAAATTAATCGACTCCTCTGTGTTGAATAGACTGGTGATTACTATTTTGTCTTACGGAGTATGTGGTGCCTTGTGAATTATCGTCAGCATCAGTGTTTGTATTCATCAGATTCAAGCTCACCTACCAAAATCTATAGACACAATGACAGGATAGTCCACTAACTTCTGATCTTGCTCAGCTACCATTTGGTTCACAACTAAAAAGAAAAATAAAAGAAACTGCCATAAATGTTTTTCTTGTATAATTCATTGTTGCACAAGTACTAGAGCCAAAAGTCAAGTCATCATTGCACAGGCTTTTTTGCTTTTACATAGCACATTTGCATGCTTGAGCAATATTTGTCAAGAGGATAAACTTTTTGTAGCATATTCAGTCATCATTACATGATTTGTATAGTCTTTTTGATTCAGTTTAATACTGTGGAAGGAGATCAAATAGAAAAGCATCAGCCATCCCAACTTCCCCCTCAAATTACACTACTCTCAATTTGAGACCATCCGATAAACGATGCCCCAGTTTCGCAGTTATATGTTGTTGGCAACGTGCCTGGGCTATGTCCGCTTTTTTGATTTACTGAAGATGAATTGGTATATCGCTCGTGTAGAGTCGATTCTCTCAAGAATCCAGGTAAATCAAAAAAAAAATACAGGCATGATGCACATGATTTATCTCCAGTTTTTTTTTTTTTTTTTTTGGAGAGATAAATTAAATCAAGATAATATTGATTGTTCTCTAGGAGGTGGCTCTCATAATGAGGCCTTCCTCTTTTTCATGAGATGGTTATGGGTGCATCCATTTAGTTTTTTATTATGTGTGTGCCAGTATACATTTGATATGTTTTCTTGCTTGATTGTGCTTTTTTCAATAGGCGATACATTTCATTCAAGGTGCAATTTTGCGATTCTCGGTCATGAATAAACTGCACCAAGTTCTTTTTACACTCTTTTCTTTCTCATTCATTTCTCCCCTCAAAAAAAAAACGGTGCATCTTTTGTAATCGTAAATCATTGCATTTATACCAGAAAAAGAACGCAACATCTATCCAGAAGAAAGAACGCATCTTTAAGAATACCCTGATAGTTTTGAAGTTTGTTCCATGAAACAAAGTGCTGTGAATCCTATTAAAGTAACAACTACCTCTATAACCATCATGAAGAACGGCAAAGACATGTGCTCAACTCAAAAAAAGAAAAATACGCGCTGGCTAGTCGATAAGCCTGAGCGAAGTGATATCTGGACAAGCACAAATTACACCGAAGAAAGACAACGCATTCGAGAGTTCTGGCTACAGCTTTCAGAGGAGGAAAGACGATCGCTAGTCAAAGTGGAAAAGGAAGCAGTACTTCGCAAGATGAAAGAACAGCAAAGACACAGCTGTAACTGTTCTGTATGCGGCAAGAAAAGGTAGCTATTCTTTGTTCCATTCAGTCAGTAATCTCGTATTAAATGCATAGATCTAGAACTGCTATTGAAGATGAATTAGAGGTCTTGTACGACGCCTATTATGAGGAGCTGGAGCAATATGCTTATCGTCAGCAACAGAACGGCATCTACAGTAGCGACAGTCATTCAGAAGATGACGAAGACGAAGACGACGATGACGATGATGATTATGACGACGACGATGAGGAGGATGAGGAGGATGGAGAGCACTATCAATCTGTTACAACCAAAAAGGAGCCTCAATTCTCAAAAACTCTCACTGTCAAGGGAAGCATTATCACCGTAGCTGATGATCTGTTGAAGAATGATGGCAAAAAGTTTCTTGATATGATGGAAAAACTGGCTGAGAGAAAGATGCTCAAAGAGAGAGAAGTCGCCAACAGTGATCTATTTGATGAGGACGAAGACGATAATGATGAGGACGAAGACGACGAGAACGAAGACAAGGGGGACAATGAAAGAGTAATTATGCGTGAAAATTTGATTAGGATCAATTACTCACTAAGATGCATTTTACAGGATGTGAGAACAGAAGAACAAAGAATGGAAGAAGGCCGTAAAATGTTCCAGGTGTTTGCAGCTCGAATGTTTGAACAGCGAGTCCTCACTGCTTACCGAGAAAAGGTAGCACAAGATAGGCAAAAACGTCTTATTGAAGAGCTGGAGGAAGAGGATAGACAGCGTCAAGAAAGAGAACTCAAAAAGCAGCAAGACAAAGAAAAGAAAAGAGACAAAAAACGGTAAGGATCCCTAATTATAGCAACTCCATTAAGCACTCATCTAAATGGAAAAATAGCCAGCTTAAATTACAACAAGAGCAGGAGCGTTTAGAACAAGAAAAGAAGCGAAAAGAAGAGCAAGAAGCAGCCGAGGCACTGCGACGAGAGAAACAAGAGCACGATCGACAGGTCAAAGAGCAAGAGCGATTGAAACGAGAAGAAGAAAAGCGCCAAAAAGAGGAAGAGCGATTACGGAAAGAAGAAGAGAGAAAGAAGCGACGATTAAAGGAAGAGAAAGCCAAAGCAGCCGAACGAGAAAAAAAGCGTAAAGAAGAGGAGGAACTGAAGAAGAAGCGAGCAGAAGAAAAGCTGAATCAGGAGAGAAAGCGCAAGTTACACAATACCAAGATGTCGCAAGAAGACGACGAAGAGCAAGGATCAGTGTCTCATCCACACCACGTTCTCTCAGACTCTTCTGCAACTGTCGATATTATACCAAATAGACGAAGAATTTCAGTTGCTGGCCCTATCGGTAGTCCTTTGAAATCAAGATCAGTCTCACCGCATGTCACTTCCAGCGGCAGTGAAAACCATCATTCATTCTTTTCAAACTTCTTGTTTGGACCTGTCAAACACAACAGCACATCAAACAGACGCTTTTCTACAGGAGGAGATGACCACAACAGCCTGAAGTGGACAAATGGATGGACACCCTTGACAACACTATCAGATAATGTGCACGGCAAGCTATTTGGCGATGTAATATTCAAGAACTCATTGATATTGGAGAGAGCCAAATCGTCGTATTTGAAGCTGGATGAAGTAGCACAGCTCAAATACTTTGCCAAGCCAAATTACCACACATTGGTCCAGCTACATCAAATGATGCACGACATGTATCATCATGAACATGGTGCAATTGATATGAGAGAACTGTATGAGGCCATCAATCAGCCCTCTAGTGGATTCCAATGTCTTTTGCATCAACAGCAAGGGCACATTGTCAGGTTGGACATGGCATTACCAATATCACCACAACTTTCTTCTTCAAATGGCATTGTATAAAATCATTCTTTTGTTTACTCATCCTCAATAAATTCAATGATTCCAATATTGCTGAATATAATCGTCTTTCACTCAAGAAAACATAACCCAAGAGCACTACAAGAAAGAGGCAGGTAATAGCCTTATTTCACATTTAATACACTTTTAACAGCTCATTTGTTGTTCTGGCCTAATACACTGGAAATAACTCGAAGCTCTTTGAAAATTCAATGCCAACACTCTCGACCATAGTTACAACTTGATGCCATTATGGATTTTGCACATTTGATAAGAAAATGCAAAACGTAAACCCTACTATCACAAGCAATATGTGCACCATATGTTTATTTCCAGAATGAATCAATTTATTGATTCCAATATTGTTGGTTTCCACTGTTTCGATTTTGCTGTCCATAAGATGAAAACATGGGCGATTGTCCGTTAAAGTAGTTGGCATAAGGTTGCTGAATACTTGAGGTGGCAGAAGCAGTCGTAGATGGCGCAGTCTTTTTGTTAGCGTCAGGTGAAGTAGTGGTTGTGTTCTGATGTGTGGCACTGCCTAATCCAAAATCATCAAAGCCTCCGTACAGTTGACTCGAGTAAGCAGAAGATGCGCCTCCATAGGGTGATGCCATACTGTTGGCAAGATTACCAACCCCAGGTTGATCGTATCTATGATTAAGGGAGGGTTGACCGTAGGAAGGGTAGGCATTAAATTGGTTTTGCATGTAGTAGTAAGGATAAAACGATTGCATGTTGTTGTATTGTGGCTGCTGTGAATACATATCATTGACAGCAGGAATACCGCCGTTAGAGGCGGTCGTGCTCGTAGTAGAAGCGCCTGTGGTTTTTGTAGAATTATTTACATTGGAGTCGTTTTCATGATGTTGTTGATGATTATTGAATAATCCCGAAGAAGGCTGAAATAAGCTGTCAGCAGCAGCATTACTATTTGTGCTGTTACCATAGATACCGTAGCCAGCGTTGAATGCGTTGCCATAGCCATGCATACCAAATTGCTGATATTGCTGATGTTGTTGTTGTTGTTGATACATTTGGTGGTACAGCTGTTGTTCAGTAGGTTGTTGCTGCTGTTGGTATGGCTGCTGTTGTTGGTGCTGATGTTGTTGTGGTTGGTGTTCTGCAGCTTGCTGTTGGGCAGGTTGGCTCGTGGGCGTTTGGTCTTGCTGTTTCACAGAGTTCAATAAATCTGCGACACTAGGATGATTGGAACTACTAAAACAAGCAATTTGGATTATTATTCGATATGGCGTATTTCAATGGAAAATCAAAACTTACACTTCGGGAACATTCTCTTTCTCTTTCAGGCTTAAAGAGTTAAAATCAATTGAAATACCATCATCGAGCGCCTTTTTGATTTGTGGTTGTGTTGTTGTGGTTGTAGCGGCGGTGGTAGAAGAAATGGAGGTAGTTGCTGGTGGTGGGGAAGATGGCGATAATGAGGATTTGATAGATTCTTGAATGGGTTGATCCCATTGATTTAGGCTATCATTGGCGGGCGTTGGCCCACTCAACCAAGCGTCGTCTACCTTCTGGAGTGGTGGTAATTCCTTTTCGGACGCATCATATAGATCGTTTGTCGCTGGCTTCTTGACAGGCTCAGGCTCTGCTTTCGATCTTGCACATAGATGAATGTTAATTATGCATGCATACAAATGAGACGCCAGAAACTTACTGTAATAAACTAGCCCATGTTTTTGCACCACCACCTCTATGAACATTGCTTGTTTTAGTAGACGAAGAGGGGGTGGAAGATATCTTTTTAGGGGTACTGTTTTCCACAGTATTCCAACTGTTTCCATCATCTGTCTTTTGTTGTGGTGTATTCCAACCATCAAAATCTGCCTTTTTACTCGATTGCCAGGCTACAGCATGAGGCTTTGGATGATGCGCAGATCGACTTGAGGAAGAAAATGTTGCTGCTGCCGTTGATGTTGCTGCTGCAGAGGAGCGAGGCTTCAAGGGTTTGCTTTGTCTACTGGTAGTACTGCTATAGGAAGGATATGTAGTAGTTGATGATACTGCGCTTGATACAGGTGTTTCTAGAATTGCCTTGTTGGCAGCAGCAGCTTCTTTTTTCGATTTCTTGGTTTTGACCTCGCCCCATTGGTTAGCATGGCCTTTTTGTAGTCGACAGTTTGAGCAATTCAATGTAAATACAATAAGCACTTGTCATCAACTACCTTCACTGATTCGATCAATGGCTAATTCCAAATCCCCGTCAGCATCTTGAAGTGTAAATAAAAGATCATCATCTGTCCATTCTGTAAATAGCTCTTTTAAAGTTGACAATTGTGAATTATATTTGGACTTGAGTTTCTTAAGATCACTCTGTGCTCGCTCTGTTGTACTCATTTAAATTATAGCTTGTATTCTTCTTTCTGTGAAAATAAGTGAATGGAAGAAAAGAAGAAAAAAGGAAAAAGGAAAAATGGATTGAAAACACTCATATTTATTAGGCAAGGAAAAAAAATAACAAGTGACGTCGTACGCCTTACACATCTTGATTATTCAAATGGTATCGTAGGTCGTTGTGATACATGCTTATATGATTAAAGAAAGCAGTGCCGAGAACCTGTCAAATTTCAATGACACACATGCTACCAGTTTGTTGCATTGCTCAGGGAAAAGCAACAGATTGCATGGCTGATATTGTATCTGGATGTTGATTTTGATCTGTGGGAATAAATCAGTGATTTCACCCACACATGTCAAGCTATTACGATGAATTTAACGCTCCACCAATGATGAAATATACACAGCATTTCAAAAGCAAAGCTAACCATCATCAGCCATCTCTACTCAGTTACTTGCAGCGCACTCTCATTCTTACGTATGCAATTGATAACTGCAACAGAACGTGCCTACAAGACTTATTTGGCAAGCATTAGACGGATTTGAATTCAAAAGATGCGTGTCAATATTGAATCTTTCGAGACATAAAATACAGTGACAAAAATTCTGATTGCCGTGAAAGCATATTAAACTACATATAGCATACATTATAGATTTGCCCGCATTGCGTTGCCTTACAGCAGTATTTGAATATTTGAGCATGGGAATCAGTCTTCTATACAAATCCGTTTAGAGCCCGCCAAATTCGACTAGCAAGCAGCTGCATATACAATAGCCAGTGATTCATTTAAAGAGTCGCTTGTGTGTCCTTGCATCTTGTCAAGCTTCTACTAAATTTGGATTATTAAGTTATCAGAGCTCAGAGCCAGAGTAACATATGCAACGTTGAATAAGGTCAAGAATGCCATTTTGCATTGAGTCTCACATTTGGATGAGTAGTATATTATGGTTAGATCGATGTAATATAAACTTGTGCAAAAAAAAAAAAAAAAGCTAAACAAAGCACCAAGACAAAGCGATAGTAGTTTCCACTTTGCAATCCTTCTCTTATGAGCTTCCGCCAGGACACTGTGTTTGTTATGTTAGGAAGGCATCAAACTTGCCAGCCACTAGCCACCAAAGATTAGTTCAACTTCCTGTTACTTTTTTCGCTTGAAATGGGAATTTTTTTCTTGCTTTGCGACTTAATCAGAGTATTTCATTCAATTCGACTATATAAATTGTGATGATTACCCCGTACTCCCTTAAGCTTCCTTGGAGTACTTTTCAAGACGTATCTAATGGTGCTAGTTATGATAAGTGTTCTAAACTAGCTGATTGAGCTATTCCTGAAAATATGAAATGATGTTTTTGGCAAAAATGTCGAAACTTTACATTTGAAGGTCTCAAAAACAAAGTTTCAGGGGTTGCGTTAGATCGATAGAAACATTTTAATTCAATATACACTATAGTAAAAGTCTTCATTATCAAGATGAGAAACGCGATCGTTTGATTTTCAATCAAAACCATGAGGGGTACCTCATGCTTTTTGGTCGAATTTTGTCCATGTTTTTTTGACCCCCCAAAAAGCTGAGCAACGGTGTCAGTAAGTTGGTGTTAATTGCGAACGACTGTTTGATGCTATTTTGACAGCCTAAAACGGCTGCAAACACGAGAAAACACGATTCAAATGTACTCAGTTTCTGCTGCGATTTGTATACAATCGAGTACTAAGAGTCAATGCAGGTATGATGTACGTCTGTATTTGATTTGTTATCACTGTTGCAGACGCGGAGCATCGTGAAAACGTCAGATCACACCTGTAGGGGGGTTTGGAAATGGTTGTCGTATAGTAATAGAAAGCTGAAAGAGCCAGATTCTGCTTTGTTTTGGTTTATGGATGAGAAGAGTGAAGCCTCTTTCATGTGAATCATGAACACGACTGCATTGTTTCCATCGAAACCGCCCGTCAGCGTCTTATGAAGCTCGCTGACCAACTTGAATTAAGTTATAATCTGATTCAATTCAAAGGTGACTCTAAATTTTATTGAATGCTTTCTAAGGCATGATGCAAATCTAACACGTGAATGCTTTAAGATCTCTTTAGGAACTGACGAGTAAAGTCTGGATAGCTATATGTAAGAAGAGACAATATATATATGAACCAGCTGTTTGGACTAAAATAAGCCATTCATAATAGACATGATTGATTATTGTTCAGAGAGCGATGAGCACCTGTCTTGACAGATCTAAAGCACTGGAAAACTAGCAATTAACAGGTGTTTCATCAAGAAACTAGTATTGAATCACCGAATCAGTCGTTGCAATTGCTGTTCACGATGTCACTGATGCAATGAAGTGTTGTTTAGTAAGGGAATAGGCAGCATTCGATGTGATAAACTGCAAATGAGACTCAAATGCTGTGTCCGGGGATTTTGAATGCAACAACACCCGTACACCTAGCTCTGATGAGATGTGAACAAATTCTAATACTGATCCTACATAAAAGAGGTAGTGGATGTATTGTCTGACCCAGCATGGCTCGAATGCTCAAAAAGACGAGACCTTGTAGCCATGGGAGTCGTTCAAAGTTGTATGCTATAACGTAATACTCGAGTATGTGCGTGTGAGCGTTTTGTATACGACAATGTGTACCGTCAGTTGCCCTTGCCCTATATATTTGCTTTTTTTTTTGTTGACCAATTTCAATCCCACTCTCTCTCTTTTTTTTTTTTCCTTCGTTTTAACGTTTTGGACAATATCACAAGAGAACCCTTCTTTTTTCATCTTGATATCACCCCCTTTATTTTTCGTTAAATACAGCCTCGGATATCTCTATTCAAAAAACCGCGTTTTCTTCATTTACTAAGCTTATACATTTTAATACATCATGAGAAGAGACGTCCGTATTCTTCTTGTTGGTGATGGTAAGAGCATATACAAAAACGTGTACATGCACAGCACACTTATACGCACTGGATAGAGGGAGTTGGCAAAAGTACACTTATTGCTTCATTGATCAAAGAGACATTCATCCCTAATGTAATCATCGCAACCAGTAGCCAACTGATTCCAAAGCGTATTCACTCCATCTCTCTCTCTCTCTCTCTATAGGTTCAACACCTTATACCCGAAGTAACCATACCGCCAGAGGTTACCCCGGAAAACGTTACAATGCACATCATGGACTCTTCTGGTAAGAGCAAAGATAGAGCATACTGACTATGGATAGATGGACTAAATTAGTTGAATCGTAGCTCGAACAGAGGATCGTGAGCAATTGGAAGCGGAAATCCGCAAAGCACATGTTATCTGTATTGTTTATGCTATCGATGATCCCAATACATTCAACCGTCTTTCACTGTATTGGCTACCCTATATTCGATCCTTGGGCGTGAATGTAAGCATGTACTGAGATTTCACCTTACCTGATATTTATCATTTCCTCCTAGGTTCCTGCTGTCTTGGTTGGTAATAAGATTGATTTGCGTGGCAACGACGTGGCAAATCAGAGTCTTGAAGATGAAGTGATACCCATCATGAACGAGTTCAAGGTAAGAGCGATGCCGCTACTTCATGCTAGAGCCATGCATCTAACTTGTGGGTGTGTGTATTAGGAGGTAGAAACTTGCGTTGAATGCTCGGCCAAGCAACTGCTAAATGTTTCAGAGGTCTTCTATTTTGCTCAAAAGGCAGTTCTCCATCCCACCGCTCCTCTGTATGACTCAAGAGAACATGTTTTGAAGCCACAATGTGTCGAAGCACTCAAACGTATTTTCAAACTGTGCGATGCGGATAAAGATAACATTCTCAACGATGATGAACTGAATGAATTTCAGGTACAGTAACAAACAGATGCCAGCAATGAGCATGTCCAGCTAAAAAAAAATCCATCTCATCATCCAACAGAGAAAATGCTTCAATGCTCCACTACAGCCACAAGAACTTGATGGCGTGAAAGATGTAGTGAGGGAGCATGAACCTACAGGAGTAAGCGACGTAGGTTTGACGGAATCCGGCTTCATCTATTTACATTCGTTATTTATTCAAAGAGGACGTCTTGAAACAACCTGGACAGTGCTTCGTAAATTTGGATATGGCGATGATTTGTCACTGCGCGAGGATTTCCTGCTGCCAACGTAAGTGTGAAAGTGTGCATGTATATGTGTGTGCAGTGTGTGTGTGTGTGTGTGTGAGAGAGAGAGAGAGAGAGAGAGAGATGTCAATTGACTTGCTACGTCTAGATTGGAGGTGCCTTCAGAATGCTCTGTCGAATTGAGCCCTCACGGCTATCAATTTTTTGCTGAACTATTCCAAACGTTTGACAAGGACAAGGACGGCGCATTGAATCGAGTTGAACTGGATTTTCTCTTCAGCACATCACCTGGAAACCCTTGGGCTAATACAGGATTCCCTCATACAACAATCACAACTGAGACCGGTGCAGTTACTTTACAAGGATGGTTAGCTCAATGGAGGTAATTGTGTGGCAGGGCTTGTGCTTTTCTTCTGTAGACTGACATATTCCAATAAGCATGACAACTTTATTAGATCATAGAACGACCCTCAAGTATTTGGCGTATCTCGGCTTTGAGGGTGATACTCGCACAGCGCTGAAGATTACCAAACCAAAGAAGGTGGATCGCAAAAAGGGCAAAATACAACGAAATGTCTTTTCGTGCTATGTGTTTGGTGCTCCAGGCTCAGGAAAGGTAATGTTCTTGCTTTGAAAAGAAAAAAGTGAGGATGAACTGACGCTTTGTTACACATAGACTTCCTTATTGAAAGCGTTCGTCCATAAACCATTCTCTGAGAAATATCAAGCCACTACAGAGCCTTTTCATGTGGTCAATTCAGTGGAGATGAAGGGCGCTGAAAAGTATCTAGTGATGCAGGAAGTGGAGCCAAGTCAAGTTGCTGAAATCTTGTCCAGCAAAAAGAGATTGGATCAATGTGATTTGTTGTGCTTTGTATATGATACCAGTGATGCCAATTCATTTGGATATGTGGCTGCATTAAGGGTAGGTACAAACAAATCCTCTGTTCTAGTATGGCCCTCTTATGTAACATGCAAATGATTTAGGAAAAGTACAAGATTGACCATGTACCAACAGTTATAGTGGCTACCAAATGCGAACTGGACCTTGTTACTCAACGTTGTGAGGTTCAGCCAGATATTTATTGTAGAAATTTAGGACTTGCGGTGCCATTAAGTGTTTCAGTAAAAGAAAACCAGATGGCTGATTTGTATCATATTCTTACCGGCGTGGCTATGAATCCGTAAGTTTGAATAGCAGAAGGCAGTGATCTGACACACACTAACACCACTCGCAATAGAACAATTGCTACTCCTGGATCAAATAAAGACAAGACGGAAAAGCCCTGGACCACAAAGAATTACCTTACTTTATCTTTGGTAGCAGGCGTTGTGATATTAACTGGTTTGGCAGGCTTTAGATACTTCAAGAATCACTGTGCTTTCTCTAATCATAGTTTGAATGCTGCTGCTGCCACAGTTGCCTCGAAGAAAAAAGAGTTTTCATAATAAAAAAAACAGTTTGTATTTCTATAATGATTTTTTTTCCATGTGCTCCCATCTTTTATTAGTAGTAATCCATGTCGTTATTCTTGCTATTGCCTTGTTGATTTGCTTGGTCAAAGTAGAATTCAGAGACCTGTTCACTGGATGTGGCATTTTCAGGGTCCTTATCATCACGCACGCGAATAAAACGAGGAAAACGCAACGAGATACCCTTATTGGGATCCACGCGACCTACACCAGCCATGTATCGAGGACTCACACTGAGATCAGCACACTTGACCTCCCAGACTTGCGTTGGAGCAAACCAAATGTCAGGCTTCACTGCATTTTCACCTAAGCAGTAATATTGCTTGGGAGCATCAATGACATGATCCTTCAATGTATCGTAAAACAATTGCAAGTTTTCATCTGAGAAACCGGTACCAATCTTACAGATGGTTTGATACTCTTCTGTTTCTGGGTCATAACAGGCCAACAGGAACGCACCATAAACAGATGTACGCTTACCACGACCGTAATAAGCACCAATTACGACCAAATCCATAGAGTCTCCAACACCATTCAAGTAGTCCTTCTTCACCTTGAGCCAGTTTCGAGAACGTTTGGAGGGTTCGTAGGTTGCTTCAGAGCTATCAAATGCCTTGACCATAAGGCCTTCACAATTACTGGTGATGGACACATCCAAGAATGTTTGAATATCCTCAATGTTGTTGGAATCCATGTGTTTGGCAAAGTAGAATTCGTGTTCTGTTTCCTGAAATGCACCAGCAAGTGCCTCACGACGTTCCTTGAGCGATTTTTGCAACAATGATTCGCCATTCAAATACAAGCAATCAAACGCAAATACAGCTACTCGCACAGTGATGTCTTCCTCCTTGACGTCTTTACGCTTACGAGTACTCAACACTTGGAAAGGTAAGATTTTGCTCTCTTGCTTATCCCAAGCCACCGCTTCACAATCTAGGATAAAGGAGGTGGTGGTAGGTTTAATCCACTATAAGAGTAAGAGGGGAGGAGGATTTTAGTAGATTATGTATACAGAGTCCATCCATATTGTACCTTGTTGATTGCGTTCATGATATCAGGGTATCTCACAGACATGTTTTCAGAGTTACGACTGTAGACATTGATAGTGCCGTCTTCGAGTCGATGAATCTAATCAGACTAGTTGGTGCTCTTGTTGCCACCCTGTAAGTGTATATCGTACCTGTGCTCTCTCGCCATCGTATTTGAATTCGCAGGTGAATGTTTGTCCCTCAAATCGATCCAACACCTCGGTCAAGCTCTTTGTTGGATGCGCCAACATGGGCTTCAAGGGAATACCAGGGTGCATGGTACAGTGGTCTAATAACTCGTCCAAGGGGTATTTCAATAGAGCAGGAATAATGATATCATAAGATGGCAATTGACTAGCGAGAATGAGTATTTTGCAACGGAGCATTGTAGCAAGGACACTTACTTGTACACGTATTTCACAGTATCTACAGCAGTTGATAATAGCTCTTCCCTTTTGGAAGTCGACAGTTTGGAGTTGGCTATTGTAATGTATGAGCACTTTGAGTGGAAAGACCGTTGTATACACTTACATATCTTACTGAGAACGACAGCTTGTGCTAATGCGGAGAGAACTGTTTGCTCGGCTAAACCGATACGAAGCTTACCTTCCAAATGTCTAATGATGAATTTGGCTTCTTCATCTTGGCAAGCGACCAAAAGACCCTTGATCTTGTCAACTTTTCTGGATTGTGCCTGCAGTTACGCAGTGTGAACGAACTAGCACAGACAATCTGCCATATACTTACCGAGTTACCGGTGATTTTGGCAATCTCTTTGAGTATGCTAAAGACATGTGGAACAGTCAAGGGCTTGGGCTTGAACAATGTTCTTTGCGAGCCTTTGCTGTTCTATAGGCAACAATTAGATGACCTTCCACATATACAAGCTGCTTGTTTACCATTGCTACAGTGCCAAGATCACCACATTTGACATAATCTAATTTCAACTGCTTCATGTCTCTTCCAGTGGATTGTGCTACAGCTTTCATCAACAGCGATTCACCGATACCAAGTTCAAGGCCCTCGTAATCGGGGCAAAGCTATAGAACAATGTGTCAACCCTGCATCCATTAGCTCGCTCTCTGTGAGCCAAACCTTATTGATACACATGTAAAGCAGTTGGAGCAACCCCTCTGGTGTGAGGTCAATGACCTTTACAAACAGCGTAACAAGATGCTCTGTGATCTCTAGTCTCTTGGTTGTATTTTCGCACTTTTCAAATGTCTTGCACAAAACAGAGTAAGGAATGCTGCAATATGGTCTTAATAACTCGAATATGGTGAATCAGAGCGAGACAACTTACGGTGCACCTTTCTTCCAATCCACACCTGACTTTCCTGGCCCTACAGAAGCACTAATTTGCATTTAAGCAGATGGTTAAACAATGTTTATCATCGAGAGCACTGATATATTTACATTGTGTGGATGATGGACATCATTTCCAGTTTCTCTTTTTTGGCCTCCTTCTCCTCAGCAGCTGCCTCTTCGATCTCCTTGTCGAATTCTTCGTCTGAATGCTCTGGTTCCTTCTTTTTTTCGTCTGTTGGATCCACTTCCATAGTTTCGGTCTTGGGGACACTTGAAGATGCCTCTGGCTTTACTGGCTTTACCGTTGATTTACCCAATGCAGTCTTTTGTGTCTTTTGTTTGGGAGGTGTCTCTTCTTCATCTTCTTCCTCAGTGTCTGAAATGATGACTCTTTTGCGTTTCTTTTGCTCAGTTGTATCTGTAGATGTGGATGCTGTTTTATCTGGCTCTTGTTGGGCCATAGTTGGCTCCTGCTCGGTAAAGGTTGGCTCTTGCTTGGTAGTAGCTGGCTTTGCGGGCGCTTTGTTGGCATTATTACCAAAGAAAGAGCTACCAAGAAGTGTTAGATTACTGGTATTCATTGATTCATTGGCTTGTTTACTTTAAGCTTGATTGCTTTTTCTCAGGTTTTTTCTGCGAACTCATATTTTGCAATAAACCTAAATGAAACGCGAATGTTGCAAAATCAATACGCGACATTTATAATGCCCAAATTTTTTTTTTTTTTTTTGCTCCCTTGCATTGGGTTTCAAATGAAAGAGTTGCGATAAACAGCATAGACTTTATTAAGCACATGGTGCGCTGTTGCCTAGGCTTTGATATGCACCAACAAAGTAAAAAAAAAATTGGCTTATGCGATGTTCCATTGAAAACCCTCGTCTAAAAAGTGGCCGAAATTATAATCAGTTCTCCCCTCGATTCAACTTGATCCAGGAACACATTCTTGAGTTGATTATCCGTGCTTCCCATCTCTAGTATTGTGTTCAGTCAATTTACATACGGCACCATTCTTTTAGTGTAGCTACATCATTTTATTTTAGCAGAATCAAGTAAAGCACAATCTACACTCATAGGCCAGGTGGACCATCTAGGCAACAATGCGTGGCGCGACATCTGAGTCAGAGATATCCTTGATAAAGATAGTATCTGGTGCATGGTCTCGTTCTCCTTCGTCAAATGTATAGCTGCTAGCAATAGCCAGTTTAGATCCATCATGGTTAAAGGATAAACTAGCAATCTCATCAGGATATCCAGTCATATGCTTGACACGCTTTCTGTTGGCACCATCCCAAATATTGACAACGCAATCAGAACCACCAGATGCAAATGTACCAAGTCTAATATGAGGCTCAGTCATTGATTGCGGGCTATTTTTCTAGCTACACTTACTTTGGGTGAAACGAGAGCGAATTCACTGGATATACGACTTCGGTGTCATTGATGGTGAGACGGTGGGATTTGAATGCGTATCTTTTAGCTTGCACTTCAGGAGACATGTCGAAATACTCAAATGCAACACGGCCCTCAATAGCAGAGCAGGCATAACCTTGGCCATTAGGCATCAGTCTAATACACTTCAACATATACTTGAGAGTTGTTTCTCTTTCTTGCCAAGGAGAGCTCATGTTTTTAATGTCGTAAATGTGTGTTTTGCGATCGCTCATTGCCACTGCCAACTTCTCGTCCCGTAAATCCATGCTGAATACTTTGCAATTCAAGTGCAATGTGTGCTCCTCGGTGCTAGTCTGTGCATCCCATACACGCAATGTTGTGTCCCAAGATCCAGTGTATACTCTCTCTACAAAAAAAAAAGAGAAATGTCAAATCTATGCTCTTGTACACTAAATAATCTGCATCCTACTCGTGGCAGATCCATAGCAAATGCAGCTGATAGGTGCATCATGCTTGCCGATAACTGATTCCTCATTTGTGTCTAAATTGATCCTAATTCAAACGATTAAGTCTCGGCCCTGCTTTGGTCTCTTGACAGGTGTGTCCTTTACATTTTCACCTTTCGATCCAGACCACCAAAATAAACAACATTGTCGTCCCCAAAGCAGCAATCTAGAATCGCTGAATCTGTGTTGAATAGCTGTAATAGTTCGTTCTTTTCCACATTGTATAATCGCAAAGTCTATCACGTATCATTCAGCATATCACTCGATATGTCTGTAGCAAATAGTCTATTACCTTGTCCCAAGAGGACACCAGTAAACAATCGGGATCTGTGGGATGAAAGCATACATTTGAGATGCCATCTTTGGGTGGATTTTTCAGCTCTATCTGTGTTGGATCGTTCATTATGAGTTGTAAGTTCAAGGAAAAGAGAGTTCTTGACAAAAAGATGTTCGCGTTCTTTTATTTAGACACTTTGTTGTGACTCTTTAAAGAAGGGTATATGCATCATGTATCAATTTCGAGCTATGTCAAGTAATGAAGTCGGTAATCCGAATACAATCGACGTCTTTTGGAGGGATCAGCGTTGTCTGGCACATTGGTAAGCTCGTGCGGTCTGCCTGCTAGCATGGAGTTATTAAGAATCCTTGGATCGTACAAACTCATCTGATTATTAACGTTGGAAGGACAAGGCGAATAAGATGGAAACGACATTGGCTCGGGCGAAAAGCTGGCAGCTACGCATGCTACTGGACTTGCGTTTATGCTTGGGCTTGTGGCAACGAAATGAGGAGAGTGTGCAAAAGGTCTCGGCGAGGGAGTACTGGCTTGGGTCTCTTCCTTGAGCACAGACTCTGAATCAATGCAAAGTTCATCCGGAATCTCCTCCATAGTATCAAATGTGGAGAGAATGAATGCCTGAAGGGTCAAACAGTTAGACGGTGATGCACGAGAGTGATTCACACTAGAGGAGCGCCATTCTGTCATAGGAGATGTCGTGGCCAGTTGTTCATGGTTTGCATGGTCGTACATTGCATCTGAGGCCACAATGCCTGTGTGATAGGTATGAGTGCGATGATCCAACCTCACCATTTGAATGATTTGCTTTACCTCGTTCAGCGCGACTGCATATGCTGTTTGAATGCTCTCTCTCCCTTGCAGCGTTTGCTGATTTTCTAGGCTCAAACTTATACATTCTAGATAAAATTGCCTCTAAATGGCACTCTAATGCGTTAAAATTGCGGTATTCCGCCATCAACGCTAGCAAAGGTAGTTTTAGCAAACGTGGCATATACAAAGAAGCTACTTTTGACTTGTACCACTGGACGGAAACATCTTGGAAACAGGATCATGCACATTGTGTAGGCTTTGTTGTACATCATCTATCCAATTTTCGACTTGTTTTGTCGTATATGCATGTTGTAAATCACTGTCAATGCGAGAGCGTCCCTTGACGTATTCAAAATCAGTGACAACCAGGTACGGGTACAGGTTGCGGTTGCTTCTGTAAGCAGATACAGCATACATCTTGATCTTGACGATCCTCTCTTCCAACGCATCAATACTGAGTTTCAGATCCGATAGACTACACCATGTGTTACAAAATGTATCAACGCCAAGATAGAGCTATGAGTGATTACCCAAATTTTTTGCGAATGTCATCCGGCTTGAATATAGCAGGTATAAAGAAACTGTCGTCTGCCAGCTCCATGATAACAAGCTCTGTCTGACGCTCATCGCAAATGTGCAATGCCTGGTAATGGATATGAGTCAAATGTTCCATGAAGCCATCATGGATCTAGCCCTACCAGCTTTATCCTCATCGTCTTTTCATCTGATACTACTTGGTTTAGTTTTCTGCTGGACCTCTCAGTGATCCATTCAGGTATTCTATCAAATACTCTTGACATTTGAATATGGAATAAAGGCGTGTTTTATTAGGAGCTTGTACGTGATTTTCGGCGTTCTTGAATCAATCAAAGCTCTCAGCATTTGCCCGGACCTCCTCTGTTATGATTGCGTCACAGAGAAGAGCAAAAGGATGCTGTTTTTGAAGTGGGAACCCCCAGTTACAAAATTATAATTGTTGGAAGCAGGATGGAAAACCCAAATTTGTTTTCTTCTTCACTTTTTTCGACATACAAAAAAACCCCACTCTACATTTAACTTCCATTAATATATACATCAAAATGGGTCTTTCTGATTTCTTCTCCAGTTTCATGCCTACCGTCTACGCTGACGAAGAGCCCCAAGTCGAAGAGACCGTTGAGGAAGTTGTTGAGGAAACCCCCGCTGCTGAAGAGGAGGTAGAGGAAGAGGAAGAGGAGGAGCCCGAGGATCCTAAGGCTGCTATTTGGGAAGGTAAATTAGATTATAGCTGCAATGGAAACGAGAAAATGAAAGAGTGTGGAAGCATTGACATTTCAATCGAAAATCTAATCTAGTTTGTACTGAACAATGCTCTGCCTTGAAGCATCACCTTGATGAATGTAACGAGCGTGTTGAGAACGGATCCAGCGAGAACTGTATGTATATTCACACTTTTGTATCCAAAACGCTGTTTTCTGAAAGTTTGCGATTGTGAATAGGTATCGAGGAGTTCTTCCATTTCATGCACTGTGCTGATGAATGTGTAAGTTGATATGTCTAGTGTCGAGACCTCAGCCCATGCTAACATTTTGATTTTGATGTCTTATAGGCTGCTCCCAAGATCATGGCTGCCACCAAATAAAATTAACCTATAAATATTTATTCCTCTAAACAACACCAAGTATCAAAAAGAGACCAAAAGATTGCTTCTTTTTTTCCTATATTTTGGATACAATTGTAGATCTTTTTTTTATCATATAAAAAGTAATTGTCATATATTAGTGACTACATGCGGTAGAGTGGTGTATGGTTGATTCGTGATAGAAGTGAAGACTCCATTGGAACGTTATTTGAGTGATCAAAGGGATATGGCTATTGCATGTGAGCTGTCAAAATCTTGATTTCTTGTACCTTTATCTGGCCAGGGCAATATGCTGTTGCATGTTTGACCTTTGATTCATCATGCTCATAGATCATTCTCACTTTTAGAGTGGATCTTTGCCATATTTTTCACTGGCTTCCTGCCATTTGAAGCATTATTGATCTATAGTGCTTCATCCATAACATAAACAGTAGTTAGCCCTCATACCTATGTGAATTTCGACCCCAAAAACTGACTGTCTGACCTATCTAACGCTCAGCGAAAACCTCAATATATTCTGTAGTTGCATGATCGGCGAGTATGACGCTAGGTTACTGAAAGACTGTAATTGCCCAAATTAGTAGTGGTATTCAGACTGGAATAGAGCAAATGGCTCTATTATATTGCTCTATATCATATACAGCACTGACATTGTTATAAAGGGGTTTAAATCAAAACTGAAACCAACATTCAGTGTGATTTCAGTAGTGTTTACCATTGAAATAGCACATTTTCTCCTTAATAAAGCGATGATTTTGCATTTCGCATTGAGATCTACAGCTAAAAAAGCAATTTTCAGCGATCAAATCTGCAAAATATCAAAACCCTCAACAAAATCAAAAGAAAGAGGTCAATTAAAGCTATAATACCTCTCAATTCGCAATCCCCTTCCCATTAGCTTCACTAGCACTGGCTGCGATTGTGAAGAAGGCATTCTGTTTAGCCGCCGCCACAAGCCGTTTTTTAATTTCCGACAGTTTTTTTTCTATTCAAGATTGGACAGATTCTGTTCAAAATAGACACAATTTATCTATTTTGCAAAATTGGACTTTAAATAAAACCTGGAGCTCGACTCCCTTACAAAAAATATTTTGCAAAATTCGACTATATAAGTCGTAATGTTTAGCCCATCTTCCCTTAAGCTTTCTTGGAGTGTTTTTCAAGACGCATCCAATGATGCTGGTTAATCAAGATGTTTTTACTAAGCCTACTGAGCAAATTTAGAAATAGGAAATGGGGTTTTTGGCGAAAATGTCGAGATTTCATATACAAAGACCTCAAAAATAAAGTTTCAGGGGTTGCCTTAGATCAATAGAAACGTTTTGATTTAATATATGCCATAGTAAAAGTCTTTATTTTTGCTGTCAAAAATACGATCGTTTGGGTTTCGACAAAAACAATGAGGGGCACCTCATGGTTTTGGGCCGGCTTTTGGCGATCCCAAAAAAAGTTGAGAAAAGGTGCTGGAAAGCAATTGCTAGATGAGAGCAATCATTTGGCGCTATTCTGGCTGTCGGAAACTGTGTGTAGCACGAGAAATTGCTGCTCAAATGCACCCAGATTTCGCTGTGTTTTACATATTTGTGAGTTGTAGGAGGTAATGCAACTACGTTGACTGATCGTACACGTACGGTTTCTAGTAAGGAAGACGTGAAGCATTGTAGGAGAGTCAGATTCATAACTATGAAGTGTCCTTACTCGATAGCGAAACCTGAAAAGTGAAATTTTCGTACGTATTAGTAGGATTCGCGTCTTGAAGTTGGTACATGGATGAATAATAATAGAGGTAAAAACTGGCTGTAAATCAGAGAATTAGTAACATGATATTTACGTCAAATCCACATTGTACCTACCCTTGGTGTATCCTTTGGACGAGGGGTGATAACCTTTGAGGCTGAATTGGATCATATCTTCTTAACGGCGATGACATTGTGGAGGAATGTCCCGACCAGCACGGAATAATGTCAAGATTCGAACCATGTTAAGACACATGCAGACAATCTACGATTCTACAATCTGTAATGAACCAATTGTGTTCAAGCTGCATTTGATAGCTCAAAATTGTATGGGTGAATGTTGCTGTGCATTCAATGTGAGAGGAAATGGATAATGATGCAGTATAAAGAGAGAAACTGAGAAAGAAGGTAAAAATATGCATCCTTGCTGATTAAATAGGGCTGGATGTTCCAGATCAAAACCTGGTTTATTCATGTCTAAACACTCAATTACTACGTACAACTTCACTGACTGCAAATATCGGGTCACTCTGCCACCAAGAGCTAGGTTGAGTACCAGCGCAACACGATTGGGGCGACTTCATTTGGTAGAAATACAAAGGGGGCTGTTGAAAAGCTTTACAAAGGCAGCATCACTATGTATGTAAAGAAACCAGGTTCAGGTCATCCCCATCAGCTTTCTTTGCAAAATGATGCGATTATATGTTAAAAACACTTACATTCATTAAATATACGCGTATTTATGCTTCGGATGGCTCTCACCGAAGCGAAGCAAAGGTAGAGAGCCAACCTGCGCAGCGGCAACTCGCGCTACCAATTGCCTTTGCGTATCTTATCAAAATACTGCTACTTTCATTGTGACCCTCCATTTATACATAAAAACCCTTCATATTTTCTGTGGATCTGACTCTTATGTGATGCTCTACATCCATATACACGTAGCTACTTCATATACGGGCAAGCAGCGTACTAGCATTTCCCCTTTTTAGTCCTTAGCGTCCCTGATACAGCAATATCTGAGTGCATTTAAGCCGCGTTTTCTCGCGTTCAAGGCCGTTTTAGATTGTCAGAATAGCGCCAAACAATTGCTCTCATCTGGCAGTTACTTTCCGACACCTTTACTCAACTTTTTGGGGACCAAAAAAATATGGCCAAAATTCGACCAAAAAGCATGAGGTACCCCTCATGGTTTTCATCGAAAATCAAACGATTGCATTTTTCACCTTGATAACGAAGACTTTTACTATGGTATATCTTGAATCAAAATGTTTCTATCAATCCAAAGCAACCTCTGAAATTATCTTTGTGGGACTTTGATATGTAGAATTTCGACATTTTGGCCATAAACCTCTTTTCATATTTTTACAAATCATTCAATAAGTGTATTCAAAACATCTATATAACTTGGTACCATAGGAAGCGCCTTGAAAATTACTCCAGGAAAGCTTAAGGAAGCATTTTTTTTTTGTAGGGGAGTCGAGCTCCAGGTTTTATTTAAAGTCCTTTAAATGTCATGCTGAGGGATAGAAAAGACTGTTGGTGGACCCAATGTCTGCAAAGAAGGGGAATAAGAATTTTTGAACTAAGTTGGGAAAGAAATCTACTACTAATAAGGTGCGAAACCTAGAGCCAATGCAATCTTGCGGAAATCGTCAAAAATAGATAATGGATAAGAATACAAAACACCAAACGAGGACATCAGTACTACGTCAAAAAATCAGACAACTTGCGTTCACCAGGATTTGAACCGGGGATCCTCCCGTTGGCATACGGGAGTTCTACCACTTCGCCCTACCACCAGGGACTAGCTTAAGGAAGCATGGGGTGATTATCATACTTCACTTAGTCGAATCTGCAAAAATAGCTCGATCGAGTTCATAATCATCAAAATTTGTCCAATCTGAAACAGACTATGATTCTGGGTTTGAATTAATTTTGGCTGGTGGGGCCAGCTGGAAAACTCATGCCCTTTTCATAAGGCAATACAGTAATAGATGCCCTTGAAGCCTATGGAAAGTATGTTACAAGTCATAGCATTATCGTTGATTATGCTATTTTTTGCATTCTATATTTAATAACGCCAGTCTATCAAAATACTTGTTAGATCAACTTCTTTTCTTTTTGAGGCTTTGAAAGTGCCTAGGGACTATAAATTCATTATGTTACGATATAGACATAAGTACTAGCAATATTGTGTAGTGTACATAACAGACATTCTAAGTCAACAGTATAAATAAACTTAATAGCAGTGTGCAGTAGTTCAGAGCGATCTTTGAGGGGATATATAGTTGACACACCACTGTCTTTTTCGCAATGGAACACCCATTTTGTCTACGTTAACAATCATCATTTCATCATAGATCTTAAATATATAGGCTTTTTCATCACAAGTAAAGTTTGTTATATTTAACTTTTAGTGAATCTAAGTAAAAGCTGAATGAGATATGCAGAAATTATAACATTGTTGAATCTATGTTAATAGCCATTTCGGGCTATGTGAATATCCCACAGGATAACTCCGTTTGAATGTGGTAATGTTATCAATTGACCATCTCACAGAAACGGGAAGGATTCATTCCCATGCATTCTTTTCCACGGTCATTTTGTGAATGGTACTGTGTGATGAGATTCAAGCCAACTTGTCGGACATGACTCATTCATCATAAACATTTACCCATTGTTTTATTCGTAGATTATGAGGTAGATTTGGGCGAGAGGTCTTTCAAAAATACAAATTACATGTTTGAATGTCTCGCAAAAGCAATGAAAGTTCATTTCTTAACACGAGCGGAAGTTTGGGTTAATAAACATTGATAGTTACGACTCGATGAGTAAGCTATTAGTGTTCAACTCACTGAAATTTCTATTTTTAACATTTGAGATGAATCTGTGTCGATCATGGTTGCTTATATTGACCTGTCCGTTGGAAGAACCCTCAATGAAATCTTCTTTGAAACAACGCTGGTTCCTATACTATCATGAAGTCTGAAACAAATTTCATAGCTGTGAAAGAGATTAATAAGTGCAGCATTTCAGTTATTTATAATAATACTTGCATGCAATGGTATATTACGTAGTTATTTTGATCTGCAAAGAACACTGTCTGCTTAGACTTGGTGCGGGAGCCTCGAGAGAGAACGTCAAACAATAGTCGTAATGATAAAAAATAGACCGTTTTCTGTAAGCAGGTGGTAAACAGCTTATCATGGTAAGCATAGCTTGAGGCATAATAGACATGATGAGATCAAGGGTCCTCATCTGCGAAAAAAAATACGTTAAATAAGCAATTAGTAGATACCTGTTGTGCATCATTGCTCAAAACATTGACGCTCAACATTCTCGGTTGTGGCCGTTTTGCCTACTAAAAAGCACCGATTGGAACGGCAGTGGATTTCCTTTTATCCTGTCCATGCAATTGGTACTTCTGAGTAACCAGCAAACTCAATGTTAACATTGTTAACTTCATCTCTGTTTCAATAGGTGTTTGAGTTTACAAAATATGAGGGTTTACTGTTATCGAAAATGAAAGCCCTCTGGTGCAGGGTTATTCTCCATTTGGCAAACCTTGCTATCAACATTGTTTTTGTTCTTCACCGGGTACTATGCATTGATCTCGATATCTCAATGAGGCACTCTTCACAGAATTGAACATTCTGCGTCTGTAAAGAATAGCAAGGCTGACATGTTAGAGTGGGACCAAAATTCACAAATATACTGATTGAATGTCTCCTGATATATGATAAAATCTCTATGGATCCCTCCTTATAAACCACATCTACAAGCTATTTAAACAATTTAACCTCATATTGTATACGGTTGTAATATTTCATAAAAAATGAATAAGTCAACTCCTTTTTTCTCTTTTTCCCTCTTTACTGTTTCTTGATTTATGGAAACACAAGAAATGGCTATCAAATCATCATTCGAGCCAAAAGATGCGAGGATTACGTTTGAAGAAGAAGACTATCAATCAGACGAAGAAAAGTATACCTCAAATGATTGGAATCAGCAGCAACCACGCAAACGAAAGACAGGCACTCAAGCACTAGTGGAATTTCTAAATACAACATGTCCCGAGGAGTTCCAAAAGGATTCACCCAAACGAGCATCTGCATTATTTTTCAGAAAAAGAAAATCTGCATCAACAAGCACTAATGAAAAGCAGCGTAAAAATTATATTGAAATCATTGCGAATCCTTTCAATTTCAAGCCCAAGAACAGTAAATCATTACCAACATCGTCGCATCCCATAATACCCATGAGGAAAGGAACTATTCTCCCTAAATGCAATGTCGCTGGTATAAATAATACCCCAAACATGCTAGTACCCGCACCACTGCTATCAAAAGGAGGTGCCATTGTACAACCATGCTTACAACCACAACAAAACTTTGGAGAACAACAAGAAGAAGACGAAGAAGAGATACTGAACGTTTTACCGAGGCCCCAATCAGCAACATCATCATCATTATCAGTGATAGCAGAGGAACATGATATCATTGAAAAAGGATTAAAGCAACGACTCCATCATTACAAGGAATTACATCTACAAAAGCCCAGTGATTTGATATCAAAGGGTGTTGCTCAGGAGCATACTATGGCGCTAGAGGTTGTATTTTCAATGGTTAATGAGCACCAACAGCAAAGTGAGGGAAAAAAAACGAGAAAATCTAGGACAAGGCATGTTCAAGTTCAAACTATGCCTTGTGATAGCATTGGAATGACACAACAAGGAGATGAAACTTTAATGCTGGTGCAACAGGAGTTAGAACAAGAGAAGCTTTTGAATTCAAAACTAGAAGCAACATTGGAAGAATTGACTGATCACTACGAAACTTTATGTGGATTGGCCTACAGTAAATTGCGACAAGTGTGGGAGGAGAAAGTGAAATGGGAAAATGCCTGTTTTGAAGCTAAAGAGCGTTGCTGGCATCAACACCAACAACAAATCCTAGGATCAGAATTATAATTTTTCTGTTTTTCAGACTATGGCATGCCATGTCGAAAAAAAATAAAATAAATTGACTTACATTTTGGATTACTCAGCAAGCTCGGGTTTTTTCATATTATTAAGGAAATTATTGGTAAATGGTTCCTGAATTTTGCTGTCGGAGATGAATCGGAGATGGTTAGGCGTGCATTATGTAATGTTTTCATTGATATAGATTAACAAATTAAGCCTAAGTTTCAGTTTCGATTAAGCTTCGTCCCTTTTCTGTTACTGCATTCATGTGCTTTCCATTGACGATGACACGACTACTATTTCTACAAAAAAAATGATTGCATATTTGGCACATGATTTGCAATGTTCAATTGAGGTAAATCGATCTAGACACTCAAAGTTGCGGAAGGACATTAATTGTCTAATCAAGTTCATTTATAATTTCAATAGTACAAAACTTATAGCTGATTGTTTTTTGCTGCTACAATATATGTTCTAGATTCGGCCAAGGCCGAAAGCCTCCCCCCTCCCCCAGATTCATAACACATCCCACTCATTGATTACTTGATCTACTATTGGAGTATTTTCCGTCGATTTCTAAAATTTGATCAATGGAATTTGCTGAATGTATGTTCACATTTTGTCGGTGGTATGACTGAAAGAGACATAATCCAAAGCAGTAATCCTATAAGTACAATCACTGGTAACTTATGCAATACTGTAGAACGCAAACTCAGAGATTATATCTCGCTTGGTTACATCTAGATGGCAATTGACACATTTTACCAATAGAACACGGTCAATTTTAGTCGGTCTTTCAAGGCAATGCCGTTACAACCCAAAAGAAACATATGGTTCCATGATTTGGCCAATGGTGTCCGTGATGCCTTTGTACTTTTAGTGCAATAAGAAGTTGCAAATGCTAGTCGCCTAGATCAGTTTGTGAAAGAGTGTGAGAGCGTGAGCAATTTTGTACAATTCCTAGATCGTGGTAAGTATTTTTTTTAAGCTTTAATTAGCCCGTAGAATGGGAATACTATATACATTACAATGTTACACTAGATTCACAATACAATACACTGTCAAACATTGAGTTACACACATGAGTTGGAAAGAGTTCATTATGGAAAGAATTTCAAATGACGTGCTCATCCTTTCATATAACTTGTTCTGACGGCAAAACTTGATCCCCCCGCGGTATTAAACGCACAATCTCGTAGGAGTTCAGAATTGGGCTTTGATGCACTTACTCAAATAATCTTGCTCCTAACAAACATGAATACCAGAACATTGGTCCAATTGAACAAATGATCAAGGGAATTTTTAAATTTAGGTCAAACTCGATTTTGGTATTTTTAGGCCTACCTGGAAAAATAAGTCAGATGCGTACATCAAGTTGAATCGATGGAAATACATGTGTGTGTACCCAATCAAATCTGTAATCATGTCAATGTACAAATAAAGTGTTGGAACATTGATCAGTGATTATTGTAATAGCATATTAAGAGCAAGCATGTTTCACACACAACAGTATTGCCAGGTTTTTAGTTTTTGGCATGGAAGATGCTAGCGAACATATTGCATTCAAGACATGATATGTTTATTACATCGTTACTTTATTGTTCTAGAATATTTGAAATTATTTAATTTCAAATTTTGTACCTGATAGGATGAATGGAAAAAAGATTAATTCGCATCAACATCTAGTTGAAATCAGCATTCGCTCCTCGTTTAGTCTTAGATTTGATACGTTGCTTGGATTTTTATTCGAAATAGAAAATTGAAATTTTGACAAATGCAATCGTACGCTTTTGCTCAATGTGTTCACTTGCTATGACCCCTTCCTTCACATTTCAAACATAAATCCCGCTTGTTGGTCGTTGTTTCGGGTACATTAATTGGGTCCTAATTTTGTGTATTTTTCTTGTTTTTTTTTTTTTTTTTTTTTTTTTTTTGTATATTTTCTTATTATCTACATCAGATTTCTCTTGTTCCCATTTTTCCCTTTTCTTCCCTTTTTCAATCACTTTTTTTTATTTTATTTTTTCACCATTATATCCAAAAACTAGTCTGTTACTAAGAATAAACATTTCATAGAAAAAAAAAAAAAAAAAAAAAAAAAAGCAGAAAATCAAGGAACCGCGACAATAGAAACAGCAATTATACAACACATTTTACATATACAATTGTGTATATAAAAATCACCCAATTTTATATTCAATATCTAGATAATGCTGTTCGCCTATTAGGTTTTTATTTCTCACGCCAATACTGAATATAACAACAGCATATATAACATTACAAAGATGAGCCATCAATCAATGTCAATCAATCAGATTCTACAGCCAAAAGAAACCACAATAGATAAAAAGTTAATCAGCAAAGGTAATGATGCTTTTTACGTGTTTCAAGGCGATGAATCTAACCTATCTCTCAAGTCAAAATCTTCTACACTTTCAAGGGATCTGATACTCATTGCCTATGCACCTTTGATTTCGAATTAGATGATTTCAAGGATAGAAAATGGATTGGTGTGCCATTAAAGAAATGTCTCACATCCGTTTGTTCATCATGGTATGAACGATTACGCTACCAACTACTCTTTGTGTCTAACGTATTTATTTATACTAGCCCGGATCAGTTGATGAATAGTAATACGGCTATTTACAGTGCTAATTTCGAAGAAAGCATTACTGTTGAAAACTGGTCTCCTCTTCATGATTCTCGATCGAATATTATATGGGAAGGCCATGGCACTTTGAATTCGATACTAAACGATGATCACAACAATGCCCAAGTGACAGGCAAACTTACAGAATCTGACAAAGACGGTCGATACGATTGCTACATCGAAGTGCTTATACAGCTTCATCCGATTGTACGCCATCTAGTGCCAAACAAAAGCGAAAACCAACATTATCTTCCTCCCATGCGTTCTATCTGGAATAGCAATGAGTATCCATCGAGTGCCACTTCTCCTCCTCCCTCCTACCATCATCACAACAACACATCACCTACACTTCAACAACAGCAACAACAGCAACAAAGCCGTCAACAACATCATCAATTGGCATCGCCCTCTCCACCTCTTAGTCAGTTAAACGCATTACAGTTTTCAATGCAGAGAGATGATGCTCACCGTTTACCGTCATTCAATCCTCCTTCGTCCTCTTCTTTTCCTCGAGAGATGCAAAAAGATGACTATCATCATCCTACGTATCCTCCTGCATTAGATCCAGATTGGCCTGGTAGTCGATACGATTCTAGCAGTTTTGATCAAGAAGTGATCAAAAGACGAAAGCTTTCTCCTCCTAATCTCCATCAACAATACCGCCCACACGTTTCTCCCTCTTCCTCTTCGCCTTCTCATCGTCAACAGCAGCAGCAATATCACGACAGTAATACGAAATTAATGAGTAACCACCTCACTGTGCATCGCCATTCCCCCTCCTCAAGTAAAACTTCCTCTGTCATTACTACGAGTACACATAGTAATAGTAATAGTGCAATGGCAACTACACGTTTGAACCCTACAACAACAGATACATACTACCATCAATCGAGAAGAAAGAAGAGAGACACAAAACCACCAAATGCCAATGATATTAGACCTTTTGTAGAGGTAGAACGAACAAAAGATGGCAGCTACGTCCTTCCTGCTGAGGTAGATTCCTGGACAGTTCTTAGTTTGGGAACTGTTGTTTGGGATAAAGCTGCCTTTCACAATCAAAGATACATCTATCCTGTAGGATACAGAGTCAAAAAGTAATTGGATACACGTGAAATATGACTATAACATCTATTAATCCCATTTTCCTTAGGTGGTATAGAAGTATGGTCGATCCTCACAGTGATACTCAATATACCTGTGAAATTTTAGATGGTGGCGATGAGCCTATCGTAAGTTACAGCTCCTTTTTACAGAACTCTTTATAGTAACAATGCTTTGTAGTTTCAACTAAATGCTGATGATAATCCCTCTGAATGCTGGAGAGGACCTACTCCCACTACTGTCTGGACAATTGCTGTGAGGAGAGCATTTGCTATCCGTAACATGGATTATGGTCATAATCCTGTTGGCCCTGATTTCTTTGGACTTCGCAAGAATACGATCGCAAAAATGATTCAAGATTTACCCAACGCAGACAAATGCAAGAATTACATTTGGCAAAACTTCGAAGCAATGAGCAACAACAAGGGCAAATCAGTTAGACGGACAAATGCAAGATTGAGTTCATCTTCTTCGACTGGATCAACCACAAACAACGATAAACACCTCGAATCTATTGATGAAAATGCAGCATCTTCACCAAGCACAGTGAAAAGTGAAGGCGCCTAACTGTTCCATATATTTTGCTTGCAATTTTTTATTATTTCCACCCTACCTCTGTAATTGTATAATTCTTTTTTATTCTTTTTCTCTGTCTTGTTCCCATTACCACACACACACTTTCTTTTTTTTTTCACTCATTCGACTTGTGTACAATATGCCTAAAGACCTCCTTTTTTTTTCCTTTTTCTTTTTTGAAAAAAAATTTGTAAAAAAGAAAAAAGAATCCCAATCAACCTATACTATATGCCTTATACAATCAATACAATAAAAACGAAAAACTCACACAAGAAAACCCGCTTTTTCGTTGTAACGTCCAGTGTAACATAATACCGTGCTCTCGGTATAAACTTGTCCAGCAAATTGTAGCAACAGTCTTGGCATTTGACCCAATCTTACTTCAAGAAGCGCCCTGGGTAATCCAAGATCCATTTTGAGTGGTAGCATTTTTTTCCTTAACTGTGTACCCTCTTAGCATGATACCAAAAAATTGTTATTGGGCATCACAATGGGCCATCTTCTATTTGGCAAGAGTAATATACACTTTGGAATATTCCATATAACATGATAATTTGTGTCCTATCATACCTAATACCTTGCCATTTTTCAGCATGGTGTGCTTTTTGATGGTTTCCATGAACTCTCCATTTAGAGTCAACTTGTTTCATCCTTTTGTTCGTATCTACAAAAAAAGCAACGCAAAGGATCACCAGGAGAATTAGTATGTTTGCGGAGAATTTTCTTATTGGGCCATGTGCGTTGTTTTCACTTCCATGCTCGTTACTTTGTCTGTCATCGCTTACCAAAATTAAGATGGAACGATGTAAATTACGTGTGCTCCATGATTCATAATTTGCGTTAGATGACATCCTTGTAAGTACATCATTGCAGTAAGATTTGATATACTGTGGTACCATAAAAAACGATAGAAAAGAACAAGAAAACAATAAACAAAGCGAAAGAAGAATGTTTACCAGCTCATTTCTTCTAAGATCTCGCTTTATTTGTTTATTTTACTTTAGAAAAACTTGAGTAATGTTGCACATTCGCAACTGTCATATGTTACAATCTCAAAAGAGGATGTTTCAGGATGCTCTCATCAAGCCAAATTAGTCATTGATTCGCATTCAAATGCTTGGTAACTCTTTGGCTGCTGTGCAGCAGTGTGTGTATACAAACATAACACACTTTCCTTTTCTATCAGGGAGCCATATGATGGTTTGTTTCAGGAATAGTAACAAGAATTTGCCTACACGAAATTCATCATAATTTACCTACCATACGGTATTATTTGAAGAGTGCCATCTTTACTAAAATAGTCCTGGCGATTTAGCTTTAGAACTCAAGAACAACGGCATTTTTTATTATGAAATACGAGTGTTTATGCTTCGGATGGCTCTCTAGCTTCACTTCGCTTCGGCGAGAACCAACCTGTGCAGCGGCAGCTCGCGCTACCAATTGCCCTTGCGTATCTTATCAAAATACTGCTACTTTCATTGTGACCCTCCATTTATACATAAAAACCCTTCATATTATCTGTGGATCTGACTCTTATGTGATGCTCTACATCCATATACACGTAGCTACTTCATATACGGGCAAGCAGCGTACTAGCATTTCCCCTTTTTAGTCCTTAGCGTCCCTGATACAGCAATATCTGAGTGCATTTAAGCCGCGTTTTCTCGCGTTCAAGGCCGTTTTAGATTGTCAGAATAGCGCCAAACAATTGCTCTCATCTGGCAGTTACTTTCCGACACCTTTACTCAACTTTTTGGGGACCAAAAAAATATGGCCAAAATTCGACCAAAAAGCATGAGGTACCCCTCATGGTTTTCATCGAAAATCAAACGATTGCATTTTTCACCTTGATAACGAAGACTTTTACTATGGTATATCTTGAATCAAAATGTTTCTATCGATCCAACGTAACCTCTAAAATCATCTTTGTGGGGCTTTGATATGTAAAATCTCGACTTTTTGGCCAGAAACTTCTTTTCATATTTTTGTAAATTACTCAATAAGTTTATTAAAAACATTTATCTTGCTTGGTACCATTGGATGCGCCTTGAAAAGCACTCCAAGAATGTATTAGGAAGCATAGGGTAATTGTCACGATTTTATAGTCGAATATCACAGAAATGATTAAAGAAGTCGTCAAAAGACAAGATTTGACCAATCATGAACAGAAAATATATGCTGAATTTGAATGTTTTGGCGGCGGCGGGCGGCATTGCTGCTGGCTGTTCCAATTGCCTTGACAATGACAATGAGGATAACAATGATGGTTGCGATGCTGATCAAATGGGGATTATAGAGTTGGAAAGGACAATTGCTTAGCCTGCATGCTTTTTTTTCTTGGGAGTTTGTCCTTATAAAGGCGTCTTTTGCAATGACAGTATCTCAAAAAAGTCGCAACATCAGCGAATGGATAGCTCCTCCTCCTCTTGACTGATATAGCTTTTTTTTTACTGTTAATTGATTGTTTAAAATCTACTTTTATGCCAGATTTTTATTATCTCTGATTTGGAATGTCTTTGGTGGGAGCCCGCAGGGCGACGCCGTCATCGGGCGTAGCGGGATTGATCTACTAGTGTTATGATAATATCAAAAGAACATTAATCTTGCAGAACTCTATTATATGCAAATTTTATTTTGTTTTAAGGGGTATTTTTCATTATGTACAAGTTTTGGGATGTGTATATGTAACAAGTTTAGTCAACGACCACAATCTCGTTGAAACTTTCGTGGTAGACAGATTTTTTGAGAAAGTCCATTGCCGTGTTATGTTCATCTTGGCCATCTTTTTCCTTTTCTTCTTGATCAGCTGGCTTACTGTCATTATCGTCTGCTTCATCATCGACATCACCATCTAAGAAAGACTTGATCATGGAAGCAGAGAAACCAGAAAGCAAAGAGACTCCAGTATCTGACTTGGTAATAGGTACAGTCATTTCTTTGGACGATTTGTAGACGTTTTGATTGCACAAATTCCACCAAACAAGTTCAGGCACCTTGTAACCAGCCTCTTCATACTGCTTCTCGATGAACTCGTGCGTAGTGAGATAGTTGTCCATACCATTGTCAACAGCATCAAACTCCATATCAGTAAAGATGAACAAACGCTTGACCATGTCCTCGGGAGCCAGCTTGTGTTTCTTGGCCATAGGCAATAGCACTTTAGTAAACACTCTGCAGATATCAGTGTTGAACCCAACTTTGCTAGACATGACAGTCTTGACCTGGTCGCTGAATGGCTTATCAGTGTCCACTTTGAAGGCTTTAGGTTTGTCAGTAAAAGTGACAACAGCGCCATTGTAGGGAGGCTTGGCAAGGTTGGTAATCACCAGGGAGAGTCCAATAGCTGCGAACATGGGTTGATTTTCAGGCTTGTCACCGCCGCACATCATGCTGCCAGAGACATCACAGATAGCCAAGCATTCACCAAGGTCTACCTTCTTCTTCTTGGCCTTGCCATCACCTTCCTCCTTTTCAACAGCCAACAAGGAGGTATCGCGAATAGACTTGATCAACGTGTCCCATTGACCATTCACCAGCTGTTCTTGAGCGGCTATGAACTTCTCGTTGAGACCAGGCTGCTCCTTGAGTACCTTCATAAGATTTTTGGGCAGGTCGGCATTGCAAACACGATATACCAGTTCATTGGGACCTAGAGTAGCACCACTGACCTTCTTGACTCCTCGCGCGACTTCATTCATGTAATTGACGACTGCATCAGGAGCATGCTTGAAAAAGTTACCAATGTTTTGTTGCAGACAGACAGATGGAATGTGGCGGAAATCGACCTTTTCCCATTGACCAGGGCTCATGTAGTGTTCAGTAATGTCCATAGCAGATCTCAAAGGGACCAGGTACTCCTTACGATACAGTTCTCGTACCTTGTTCAAGTAGTGCACGCGAGATTCATCCTTTTCTTGGTACTTTTGAGGGGGAAACAACAATTCAGCAATTGTAGTAGCTAGAAGCGTGTGTTTGTCATAAGACTTGCACAGAGAGGGAGCCCATTTAGCTGCCATACTAAGATTGAAGCCCAAAGCATGACGACCCTTCAAGCTGGCTTGCTTGTTCTTCTCCAACTGCTTCATGTCCTTGACAAGCTGATCAGCAAACAGGCGAGCAACAGTGAAATGCAGTGCCCTGTAAATCTTGTCCTTCTCCAATAGATCAGATACCACTTGCTTACGCTTCTGACGCTCTTGCAAACGCTTCTCCTTGGCATCAGCCTCTTGCTTTTTGTTGTGTTCCATGTGCATCTTCTTGGAGTTTTCGAGATCCTTGGCAGCTTCTTTGGGAGTCATCTTACGTCTTTGATTGTAACGTTTGTTGCGCTCTGTGATTGCCTTGGAACGCAAAGCATGGTTGCGGGGCGTAGGTGGCCAGACAAGAGCACGATACTCTTCATTATATGAGATGCCACCTATCTGACCTTGGCAATAGATGGTAGCCAGCACCAAGAGATCCTTCCAGCAGCCATGCGTCTTGAAATCACGACGGGACAACAATTCATGCTTTTCCTCCACAGTTTCCCAGCCATCACTTTCAGCTTGAGCCTTTTGCTTTGCCTGTCTTCTAGCATGTTCAAGTTCAGCATCGGTACGAACAGTTCCGTCAATCAGGACGTGTAAATTGGCCAGAGCAGAACGAGGATGATGCAGCAACAACCAAGAGTAAGCGTTAAAGAAAGCCTTGCTTAGGGATTTGCCTCGATGAATGGAGCGAGTGTAAAAGATGATGTGAAGCGTCATCTCTGGGTCCTGCTCCCAAGCAGCCTTGAGCATTGCATGTCGGCCTTCAGGCTGAACGGAGTCAATTCCATACGAGAGATCAAGAATGTCATCGCGGGTAGAAGCATTGGTCAAAGCACCATTCGTAGTCCATGCCTGGTTAGCTACCTCGTCGAAAGCCTCCATAAACTTGCTGTTGTTGTTGATATCCAAACCATCTACTTCCATAACATCCGTATCCTGCTTGCTCGCCTTGTTTTCTTTACCATCATCAACAGGAACAAGTTCAGCAATCAAATCTTTCAACAAAGCTTCCTTGTGGAGTTCCTCGAAAAAGGGAAGAGCAGCAGGATAAGTGGTGAAGGACATGTTGATTCTTGATGGTTCTTGTAAATGAAGAAAGAAGAGAAGAAAAGCAGGTTTGTTTAATCAAAACCGGGTTTAGCATTTATTAGGCTTTTATATCCATCAAAGATTTAGAACAGCAATCGCTGCGGCGACGTAAAATCAAAACTGCGGCAGTGAGAGAGAGAAGCAGAGTTTAGCCCATGTGTTACCAAGGTATGAAGTCAATGTGCATGTTTTCAAAAGGAAAGCAGTTTTTCGCAAATCAACAGCTTAGCTTGTTATTGAGGCTACTCGAATGAATCATTGCTGTAGTGGCGGCTTAAGGCAGGTCTCTTTAATAGATAGACTCAGTTTCCTGGTCTAATATCTGGTTAGGAAATGTGATGAGATGTAGTGTGTTGTGTTGTGTTGCGCTTGAATGCCATTAGATTTGCTTGAGGTAGCTCCATACTGTGCCACACTGTCAGTTTGAAAAGCTGGTGAGGGACATCAGTTGTAGTCAATGGAGATCACAAGGGCCCGTACAGAATAAAGGATTTGTGCTAGAAAATCGCATCAGGTGAATATCGTATTGTTTGGGCTCGCGGGAGACTTACGGCTAAAGAGCATTTGCTTATTGACTTGTAAAGGTATCAGATCATAGTAAAAAGCAGATGGTGTGATTAGATTCAAGGAGAAAAGCTTAGGCTCACTTTTCTTATATCGAGAACCCGTCTATTCAGTCTCAAAACAGAACCCTAGTGATAAATCAGCAGCTTCAGTGTATCAAATACATAAGAGATGTGATTCTCTATCATTGATGCTATCCGAATCATCCCTAATAATATCTTCAGTTGCATAAATGCTTGAATTCGAGTGATACAGTAACAATCCTTGTCAATGGGAGAAATATCTGGCGTTGAATAGTAGGTTGCTTGAAGAGAAGCATTTACAAGTTTTTTACTCCTTCTTTTTCCTCCCTCTTTTCTATACTTCTGCTTGAAAATGAGCCAACCTCCATTGCAAGAATACTCTGATAGTGAGATAGATTACGATCACGAGATAAATCACGAAGAAGACGAGGAAGATTGGCAAGATGCTGAGGAGGACCATCCTACACACGCATCTACTGCAACTACGTCTATAACGACAGCAACAGCAGCAGCAGCCACTACTACTGCTACCAATGCTAGTGGGTCGACAAAAGAGGCAGAAAAGAGGCACATTATCAACGAAGCTGAATTGAGAAAGAAAATTAAGGAAATTCAACTTGATCAGACCCTTACACCGAGGGACAAAGCCAAGCAAATACAGGTAATTCATATTTACATACCTTGTCAGCGGCTACCACTCTAACTTGACTCACAAAACGACAGTACTTGATGTCGCATGGCACCACGCATCCACCTGCTCACAATCAATCTGACACCAGCCTCAATTCAACTGAAAATGACTATAGCAAATCGTATAACGTAAGAACACATCTCACACCAAACATCAGTCGTGATCTAATTAGAATTATTCAGAACGAAGAGAAAGAGATTCTAGGATGTAAGCACTACCAAAGGAAATGTAAATTGCAAGCCAATTGCTGCCAAAAGATTGTAACCTGTCGATTTTGTCATGACGATGTGGAGGATCACAACATTGTGAGGTTTGTTTTGTGGTGGAAAAACATGTCTGGCCGTGGACTCACTGTGTATTTCACGACAGAAACGAGACCAAGAATATGCTGTGTATGTTATGTATGACATTGCAACCGGCCGCTCAAGATTGCAGCAACTGTGGAGAAAGAGTGGCCCGCTATTATTGCGACAAATGTAAGCTCTGGGACGATGATCCAAAAAAGGCCATCTATCACTGCGACGACTGTGGCATTTGTAGACAAGGCAATGGATTAGGAAAGGACTTTTTCCACTGTAAAAAGTGTAATATCTGCTTGAACATCACCATGAAAGATCACAAGTGCATTGAGAGAAATCTGGAGAGCGATTGTCCCATCTGTGGTGAATACATGTTTACCAGCACATCGACTGTCATTTTCATGGTACGTTGTATTAGCGCAAGTGGAGGTTTTCTATGTGTCAACTGACGAGACATAGCCTTGTGGACATTGCATTCACAAACACTGTTATACAGCCTATATCCAAACATCATATCAATGTCCCACTTGTCTCAAGTCGTTAGGCGACATGTCTGAATACTTTAATCGCCTCGACAAAGATTTGGAACGTCAACCTATGCCTGCAGAGTATGAAAAGTTTATATCACACATTTTTTGTAACGATTGCGAGGAAAAGACGCCTGCCAAGTACCATTTCTTTTACCATAAATGTGGTAATTGTGGAAGTTTCAATACAACGGTTCTCAAGACGGAAAACACAGAAGAGACAGCACAAAAGGCTGCTGCTGCTGCTACTATTGGTAATTCATCTTCATCATCCTCATCTGCGTTGGATGCACCCAGTTCATCTACGAGTAACGTACCTGCTGCCACTGCCACTGCTGCTGTGGAAAATGTATCCAACGAGACAGCAGGTTTATCCTCAAATTCAGATCAAGATCAGGGCATGCAATCACAGCTGGGCAACGCAGCAAGTAATGCCACCACACCTGCTTCCTTCTTGGGCATTGGCGGCTACATTAGAAACCCTCCTCCATCATCCGCATCCAGCTCATCATCAAGAGGTAGAAATGGCAATGAATCAAATGAAGGATAATAAAACAATAGTGTTTATTTTTGAGTTATTGGTTGTTTCTCTCAAATGCCTCTGCTAAAGCTCTCTGTACTTCTAAATCTTCTTCTCCAACTGCCTCCATGAGTTGTCTCATCTCCTCTTCATCCATGTCAGCGCCATTGTTGTTTGACCTAATTGCACAGTTATTAATGCCAATGCACATATACGAATAGTATCGAGGCTTACACTCCCTGTGGGGCGGGTCCCCAGTCATCCTCTTCGTCCTCGCCCTGTTCGTTCTCCTCAGCAGCACCTCGCAGTTCTTGCACGAGATCGGGATACTGATCAACATCTGCCGGAAATGCGCCAGGAACGTGGTTGACATTGTCTGCTCGATGTCTCTCCAATTCCTCCAACAGTGCTTGAGCCTCTGCCTGACTAGCAGGAGCCAATCGATTACTAGCCAGCAATTCTCTTACCGCATTGATGACAGTGTGAGCATCCATTTGTTCGCCATTGCCAATACGGACACCACGTCCAGCACCAAAGGACGCACGCTCACTTGTGTTGTATGAGGGTTCTGAGTCTGGTGGTGGCAAAGGATCGTACATGTGGTAACTGGTTGAAGTAACACCCCATGGTAAGTAAGACAACAACTTTTGAATGTCAATCAAGACAATGTAACGAGAGACACTCAAGGGGACCGCATCCTTTTCTTGACATAGCAGCTTTTGTTGGATCTCTTGAGGCTGGTTGACGACAACTGGTAAAGTAGATGATCCTACGCCCTTGAGCCACTCCAAGACCTCAGGTTCCTTCCACATTTCAAAAGTACGTTCTATATAAGATAGCTGCATGATCTCCATGTATTCATTGGGAATGCTTTGAGCAGTTTAAGTTAGAATCATCCATACGGCATATCGCATACTGCAGACTTACTATTGAGTCAATTTCACAGTTTCTTCAGGTTCAGGTTGGCCCAGTTTCTCTAAAAGTCGACAGTAAACCAAAGGATATTTCTGAATAGCCTCCTTCATCATCTGAGTGGCCTGAACAACATCGCTCGAGTTCTTGCTCTTTTCGCTCATCTTAAACTTGGCATAAGCTGACGAATATGCAAAGTTGGGCATATCAGCTAGATCCACGGGATAGAGGCGGCCATCTGTCTTCCATTCAGACCGCATTTTGAGGACATACTCATAGTCTTTGGCAGAAAGGGCATGGTAATCCAAGGAGAGTAAAGCGCCCAATGGATCAGACACAGGATCAAGGCTAAACAGCAGCTTGTTGAATTCAAACGCTGTCTTCCAACATCCACGACGAATCAAGAATTGTATTTGACGGAAAACGGCCAAGAAGAAGGATCTGTTCTCTGGTTTTTTGTAGGATAAGCGAGCTGTGCCAGTGGCAAGTGAAAATTGAGGATGAAAAGCTCTTTCACAAGCATACAAGGCTCGTTCTGTAGAAACGATGAGTTTATAGGAAAATACGCTTGTAAACATCTTACGCTTACCTATAAAATCACCAGCAGCGTGCCAGTCTCCACTCTGCTTTGAGATTTCAGACAGCTGAAGCAAGCTATCGACATGGTAAGGTTGTGTTCTCGTCAAGAACAACAGGGCATGTGGATTATGAGTAGCAACGGCTTGCAAGAACTCTACCTGAGCATTCTGATACTGCTCCGAGTGTCTGAATGCATAGTAGGTGATGCCGTCCTTTGTCTCCACAACCTCCATGGACAAGCCGTGTCTTTTGTAAGGCGGCCAATCGCTCTTTGGTGTGGTAAATTTCGACACTTTCAACACTCTGCCTTGAGAAGCTCGATTTTCAGTGTTTACCACATGAGAGCCAAACAAGCGTTTCATCTCTGCTTGAGCATTCAAATGACGGTAATTGACAGCTAGTAATTGACGACGCTCCTCCGTGTTGAAGTTTTGATTGCTCTTGGTTGCCTTTGAAGATCTATTGATTACATCTTTCAGTCATCAGTTCTCACCCTGTTGCAATGTATAATTACTTTTTTCCAAGCTGCTTCAATACTCTGTTCAACTCCTCCATGCTCATGTCATCTGTATTATTGCTTTGGTTGTCACTCTTGTTGTTTTTCTTTTTATTCTTCTTCTTGTTCTTCTTGGTAATGTTAAATGACTTGAGAGAGAGGACGGTGCATTTAAGTCAATTGCTGGCTGATACACGGCATCTAGTGGCAAGCTTACCTTTACATTGACAGGCTCAGGCTTTTTGATTTCTTCTGCTTGCTTCTCCTCTGCTTCGTCTTCCTCCTCTTCCTCTGCAACATCGTCATCGTCTCCATTCAGCTACGGGGCCTGTTAATGTGTGATCAGAGGGTGTGCTTTGCAACTACTTACCAAGTCGAATGGGTTGATTTGCTTGATGGGCTTGCTCTCGACATGATCTTCCTCCTCTGAATCTACGACTTCTTCATCAGATTTCTCGGGTGCAATGGCAGGTAGCTGCTCTTTTTGGAGTCTCTTTAAGGCTCTAGACGACATGTTGTTAAGAGAATAAAGAAAAGAGATGGTTTATTCGGACTTGCAGTTTTCCATCAACATTTGACGCAGCAAGGCAACAGACACACTTTGCATCTGAATCTGAATCAAATCTCTCGCGTTTTGGTTCATTTGTACTGTAATTCCTGAACAATGAAGGCAGCACTGCTCCTAGCCACTATCTTTTGCATTCAGCATGCCTGGGCCAACACTGAAAAACTGGTTCTGCAAGTGGATTCTCGAAAAATGACATCTTGCGACCCTCATTTTGAAGTATCAAGCAAAGCACGAGAAGCTACCTCATTGAAACCACCATTCTCAGAAATACAGAGCAGCATTATACCACAACGAGATGTCCAATGGTATAGTTTAGACAATATTAAGGATAATGCTAATTACGAAATTAGAATATCGTATCCTGCTATTGCAAGTATCTCTGATCACGCTTTCTTGTCCTGTCACTAATGCAAACTTTATAACAGACACCAGCTGATTTCTACCTCAAGATCTTCAATCAGTGCAAACGGCCAGATGGAAGCTTCTTATTCACATTGCAAGTAGCTGCTAAATACACAGGTGTATCACAAATCAAAGACATGGAGATCCAACCGGTGATATATAACCTAGTGTTAGAGAATTTATACCTTGGATTTCTCTTTTATCAAGTGTACAAGATTGTGGTGGCCATCATTGTCGTTTTGGGTATTGGCATTTTTCTCTGGATGCCCTATGTGAAGAGCCTCATTATGAAGAAGGCGAAATATGAATAAACCCATTGATCAAATTACTATCATGCTACGATATTCAAGCTCTTTTTCAAATTTGCAGTGGAGGGGGGAGACACAAACATGCGTGGTGCTTTGTAAATTCTTTTATTTTTTCTCTCTTTTTATCTAATTCTCGTCAAGCAGATAAAATGGGAGGAGCACAGAGTTCTGAGCAAGGACAATATGGATTTCATGTGTTGAAAGTAAGACATCTAGCATGCATTTGGCATGATGGTATGCTAATTTCGCGTGTTTTCTTAGGTAAAGGAGAATTCTCCCGCTTTTCACGCAGGAATTGAGCAATTCTTTGATTATATTGTCAATATCAACGGCATCCCACTCGTAAGAAAATCAACTAGAAGCATTACTCGTAATACTCATATTCAGTAGAACAATGGCGATAGTCAAACATTGTTGAAAACATTGCAGGAATACGAAGGAAAGCCTCTGCCTATGGGTGTCTATTCTAGCAAAGAGCAATCATTTCGAGGTAATAAAGACGAAAGATGCATATCACTCTCAAAGTCATCTCATCCGTAAATTAGAAATTACTTTAACACCAAGCAGAGATTGGCATCCTGACGATCCAAATGAAAAGAGCTTAATTGGTAAGGATATCAATGGCATAAGAAAAGGCATACATTGACGGATGAGTATCTACATTGTAGGCTGCTCAATTAGATTCTGTTCGTTTGAACGTGCTGGAGAGAACGTATGGCACGTGCTGGACGTATCTCCCAATTCCCCTGCTGAAATGGCTGGTATTATTCCCTACTCTGACTACATTATAGGTAGTCCACACATGACCTTGAGGAATGAGGATGATTTCTACGATTTGGTGGAGCAATACCTGGGTAAACCTCTTCGACTATACCTATACAACTCAGAGTGGGACAGCTGCAGAGAATGTATTATTGTGCCTAATCATGAATGGGGAGGAAATGGTTCGTTGGGTTGCGATGTCGGATACGGCTTATTGCATAGAATACCTCGAAAAAAGAGCGACAGAGAGTTGCAGGCAGATGAAGAACATCAAAAGCGCTCGGATTCAGTGACCTACAGTGATACCATCTTTAATGCACCAGTATTGCCTGCTTCAGACGAGGAAGAGGTATTGGAGGAAGCAAAACAAGTATCACTTCCACCTTCTCCTACTAACCAATCGACCCAATCACCACAAACACCCTCAACAACAGAAGCAGCAACAGCAGCAGAAGCAGAAGCACAATCATCATCTACAGCAACACCATGAATACATATATAACTCACTGACACTAATAAAACCTTGAATCATCAGCGTGGATTGTTAAAATGTGTGCTTAAAGATAACAGTATGACAGGAATTATTAATTCCAAGATTTGGTTGTTGAGATGTCATTCGTGAAGTGATCATTACGGGTATCTTCATTTATGGATAATCGTTTTCGATGGCCTAGACTTTAACCATGATCATTCTGAATGAAAACGTAGACTCGTATTCATTTTTGAATAAGCGTTTCCAGCTTTGTAGTTGAATGGGGACTGAGCAAGCGCCTTATCTGGCCATTCTACTAAGCACACAAATGCTTGTGCCTTGGCAGCGAAGCTTAGTTGATCGCGGATGATTGTCGAGGTTCACAAAACGCCTCAATATAATGTCTATGCAACTATTGCTAATCCTTCAAGACCCGCCACATGTAAACGATGATGATTGTCCAAATGCTAAGCATCGTAAGCGTGCACCATATATTTGTTTCAATGGCAAAGCAGCATCAAACAGTACTATCTTCATGCTTGGCAACATTTCTGCTTTGTTTAGAACCATCGTAACCGTTTTCGAACTGCTCCGGGGCATGAAAAGACATCATACAACATGGTAGCTGGATGAAATGGCATTATCATGAGCCAAACGATTAATCTCACACGCCGGCTAAACTGAATCAGGGATATTGTATAGCTTTATGACTTGTCACATGTGGGAGTTCTCCTTATATTCATTGCACCATCATTTGTCCAAAATCATGTCTGAACTTCAAGTGGAAAACTAAACACTGCAAATTAACCTAGGAGGCTATTTTGGAAAGGTAGAAAAAGGTAAAATTAATAGCAACCGGCCGGGTCCTTTTTTTCCTTTTTCTTTTATACATTTAAACTATTTTACCGATACACAAAAAACCCCAATGATAATGAATTCGAATGGCATTGAATATGAAGATGATGACAGCCAGCAAGCATACACTAGAGAGTTTTGGATTGGTATTGGTGTATCAGTCATTACCAATTTAGTGCAGTCGTTTGCCATGGCATTTCAACGCAAATCGCATATATTAAATGACACCGTCTATCCAGTGGAAGCTCGAAAACATGCACTCAAGAGACCTATGTGGGTAATCAGCTTTGCAAGCTTCTTGACTGCCAATATCATTGGGTCTATATTCTCTATTGGATACCTTCCCATTGTTATCTTGGCTCCCATCGGAGCTATGGGCCTCGTATTTAATGCAATTGCTGCGAAGATTGTCTTGGGCGATCCATTCAAGAGAAATACAGTCATTGGTAATTGAACATTGTCTAGTGTGAATCCTGTGAAACTGACTAGGAAGAATAGGTACATTACTCATTGTTATCGGTGCATTGCTTGTTGGTTTGTTTGGCGTCATCCCTGAGCCAGACCATGATATCGATGACTTGATAAGATTGTACAGAAAGCCAGCATTCATTGCTTATTTCAGCATATTAGAATTTGTGATCATCACAGGTTTACTAACAACACATTATTTTGAACGAATGTACTATCTCATGGAATCAGCTGCTATGCCTCCTACCAACATGGGAAAATTGATCGGTAAATGGGTCACTATGGAGGATTTGAAAAAGTATTGCGGTATCAGTTATGGTGTTCTATCTGGCAACATCAGCAGCCAAAGTATCTTATTCGCCAAGAGTGGACTGGAATTGATCATCTTGTCTGTTGTATTTGATAAAAATCAGTTGCAATACGCTCTAACATGGATACTTTTGGTGATGATGGTACTGACAGCCATTTTGCAGGTAATGTAGAAGCTACATGATAATGGAACGAATCATAGTAACACATGACATATTTTGCCTTGTAGTTGTATTACTTGAATAAGGGATTGCAATTGTGCGACACTGTCATCATGATTCCTCTTTCATCTTGCACATTCAACGTATCTTGTCTCTTCAATGGTCTAGTCTATTATGATCAATGGAGCCGAATTATTTGGTGGCATTTGCTGCTCGTCATGTTTGGTGTAGCTGTAACTATCTGTGGTGTCTTGCTAATTTCATGGAAACCAAGTACCAAATTATTGGAAGAGGAAATCGACGTTGTGAACAGCGCCATGGATGATTCGGATGATACTTTGTCTGAACATACAACCTTGCTCGGTCCTCATGTTAAAAAACAAGTTTCGTATCATACTTAGATTTTTTTTGTGAATATTTCCTCTTGCTTTTCATCTTTTATTGTAGACTTTCTGTATTACCCTCCCCCCCCCCTTCCCCTTGCCATTTGTACATTTAACTCCATTACCTATTCATCATCATCGCTCTACTACTAATATCTACCTATATTTTCTAATAGTATTTACATAAACAAATGCAATTGTCATTATTGTGGATTAAACAAACAAATAATTTTGACTATTATTAGATGTGTGCACAAATTCACCATTATTATTTTAAGCTGTTAACTTTTACATCTATTTATGCGCCCACACATGTCGTCATGGTGATGCCCAATGTGGCCGTTTGCTATTAGAGCTTTTCAAATCGAAAATGCTCTTTCTGTGTAATGCACTTTTCCAAATGATGAAGGAATATTCATAAGCTTATTAATGAATCCAGATGGTAAACTATGCATGTTTGATAACGTAGCTGATCGGATTATTGATCCTTTTAAGGGGAACCTTTGGGGGAAAAAAAGGGTTTGTTCTACGGATGTAGTATGGAAAATCTTAGTTGATACAGTGACATAAACATATGTCTACGCGCACTACAATCCTGGCGATGAACAAAATATTCCCTGACGGGGAATTGAACCCCGGCCGCGTCGGTGAGAGCGACGAATCCTAGCCACTAGACCATCAAGGATGTTTGATATAATCATAAGCGAGTTGTTTGTTATGGTTTGTTAGTTTTACTTGTGCTTTCTGGTCACGTGCGTAGCTCGGTTCACTATAAGAGTATATATAGGCATCATTCTGAGAATGTTGAGTTACAGTAATTCGAGATGAGGGAGGATGATCAATACAAGGCAAGTAGCCGGTGCAGGCAAATCAATGAAGGTTTATTCAAGTATGGATGTGGAATCATCAAGAACATACGACATGATTGCATCAGTATTTGGTGGATGTATTTGAGATTATCAACCTATCTTCAATTAGAGGAATTCATGTGAAATGTGTGGGGATAGTTTAGGTCCACGCATGGAGAATACCAGTATACACATTTTATGACACCAACAGCATCACATAAGGAAAACAATGTAAAACCACCAAACTTATAATAAGCAACACATTTAAAAGGCTCTCATCTTCTCAACAATTTGACCTTATTGTGGAATACATCCACTATGATCTGCATTCCGACAGTTCATCCAGTTACCAGATTTAGATATAAACTGTATGTACACTGGATTAGATGTACGATATCGATTTATACTATAAGAAGATATGGACTTCAGATACGCTAGTACTATAAGATTCATACTATATAAGATATAGGCTATAGATGGCACCACGGACATGGATGGCACTATAGACTTATACTTGTATTCCGACATTGACTACGGATGTTTACCATATCTGGATAGGCACCAAGATTAATGCAATATGAGCTTGTTGCTTCAGATGTGCACTTCATGATCCACGCTATAAGACACATGCTTATATCCGTGATACTAGCTACAGATACTTTATGTACTACAGACTTGTACTATATATGAGACATGCTATAGACATGCATACGATATGCTATAGACATGCCATATATCCAGATACATGCTAAAGATGTATGCTTAGCGATATACACTCAGATATGTACTATTAATATAGACTAAGAAGACTGTACCTATCGGATACATGCTACTAGATCGATATTAATTATCCTTATGGAAAGGATAAATCAGGGTACTTCGGATGGGAGTCTAATTATTCATCCAGACAGAGCTAAATCATGATTAGCTTGCTGGAGTTGTCTTTTAGCATGATTAGACATTAGTTGATCTGAGTTGACTTATTTGTCAATCTAATTAATAGAACTTTTATCCATTGTTATAGTATATAAGAAGGATCATCTACCTGGCCAGTAGAGAGACTTCAGTTTACTTTACACCTGTCAGTTTGATAATAAAACATACCTTTATCAAGTCGACATTACTGTTTTTTTTTATTCTTTTTCTTTCGTGAATTTTAGTCTATAAAGCCTCAAATTCCATAAGGTATCCATTGATAACTTAAAATCAACAAGTTAATATGGCCCTTTTCGTACGCTCCGATTTTTAAAATGCTTGGTCAAATGCATGCTGGTGTGGTGTACACATGCGAAAGCTCAACGGAGATTTAATTTCTATTGTTCTGAATGATGATCCATGGGATTCTGAAATCTATTGACCTTAAAATTACGCGTTTCTTGATAGTAACCACCCCTTCAAACTTATATGAAACTTGTAAAGAATTGCAAGAAGAATACAATGGGTATTTATTTCAAGTCTCTAGTGTACATTGTTCACTTGATATTTAATGAGATACATTTTGCCATTTTTTTACTGTTTTCTAAGGATTAATCAGTATCTGTCATCAAAACATTTTGTTAAGCATTACTAAACATTGTAGACCAAAAAATTTCCTATCGAATGAGCTATTGCTTGAAGCTTTGGCATGACTCTATCATGAGATATTGAAAATCTTGTCCTGATCAAAAAATCATTACCAGATTTTTTGCTTGCTATCACAGGCAGATTTTAAAGAAAAATCCATGATTTTGCATGATACTCTTTTTTGACCATATCTCGACAAATACTCACTGGATTCGCACAAAACAAAGACCGTTCGATAGCTCTACGTTAGTCCTATTATAATATAAGGGTTTCAAGTACCAGATGTACGCTCCCTTCATAAACTTGCTCAAAATCATATATTTTATGAGCTACAAGCAGGGAATATTCAACTTTTTATTTATTTATCTACAATAACCATACCATTGTATAGAAGATTGAAGAAGAAACAGAAGTTATTAAGCTTGAAGCTCTCGTTCACTTGGTAAAATCTAGCGGTATGGCTCTTTGAAAATCGGTCATTTTGAACATTTTCCGTCATTACTCACTGACATCGCCTTCAGTAACCCCACATCAAACATGCCCTACTCAATCAAAGTATCCTCTACAACTTTTACTACACATACATTCCGCATTCATATAGTAATTAAAAAGTTTTACTAGCAGCATCTATTCAAAATTAACTATTTTCTAAAATCACCCTTTTCTCAACAACCATGCTACCTACGCAAATTTCAATTGCACCATCGTTTAGAGGGCCAAAAACTGGTATAGGAACATGCTAGTCTCAAGACTCTAGCATCAATGTTTGGAAAATCGATTTTCGATCGTCCAAAAGTTGAAAACCTCAAAAATCAAAAAACATTTTGTACATCCAGGTCCTCATAGGTAAAAAAATTAGAATCTCATCAAAGTTAAATATGTTGTAAAATAATGATATTGGACCAACTTGTAAGTGGGAACATTATATTGGAAATGCATACTTCATGAGATAATCAACATTGGAGATGCTATTTTTAAGCGGGGGAATATACATACTTTAAATTGGAAACGTTATTATTCTTAAATAAAGCAAGCTACAGTTGTCTAGTCTTGACAACAAAATTTTTCAACATGTCAGGTATCCATTGATAACTTAAAATCAACAAGTTAATATGGCCCTTTTCGTACGCTCCGATTTTTAAAATGCTTGGTCAAATGCATGCTGGTGTGGTGTACACATGCGAAAGCTCAACGGAGATTTAATTTCTATTGTTCTGAATGATGATCCATGGGATTCTGAAATCTATTGACCTTAAAATTACGCGTTTCTTGATAGTAACCACCCCTTCAAACTTATATGAAACTTGTAAAGAATTGCAAGAAGAATACAATGGGTATTTATTTCAAGTCTCTAGTGTACATTGTTCACTTGATATTTAATGAGATACATTTTGCCATTTTTTTACTGTTTTCTAAGGATTAATCAGTATCTGTCATCAAAACATTTTGTTAAGCATTACTAAACATTGTAGACCAAAAAATTTCCTATCGAATGAGCTATTGCTTGAAGCTTTGGCATGACTCTATCATGAGATATTGAAAATCTTGTCCTGATCAAAAAATCATTACCAGATTTTTTGCTTGCTATCACAGGCAGATTTTAAAGAAAAATCCATGATTTTGCATGATACTCTTTTTTGACCATATCTCGACAAATACTCACTGGATTCGCACAAAACAAAGACCGTTCGATAGCTCTACGTTAGTCCTATTATAATATAAGGGTTTCAAGTACCAGATGTACGCTCCCTTCATAAACTTGCTCAAAATCATATATTTTATGAGCTACAAGCAGGGAATATTCAACTTTTTATTTATTTATCTACAATAACCATACCATTGTATAGAAGATTGAAGAAGAAACAGAAGTTATTAAGCTTGAAGCTCTCGTTCACTTGGTAAAATCTAGCGGTATGGCTCTTTGAAAATCGGTCATTTTGAACATTTTCCGTCATTACTCACTGACATCGCCTTCAGTAACCCCACATCAAACATGCCCTACTCAATCAAAGTATCCTCTACAACTTTTACTACACATACATTCCGCATTCATATAGTAATTAAAAAGTTTTACTAGCAGCATCTATTCAAAATTAACTATTTTCTAAAATCACCCTTTTCTCAACAACCATGCTACCTACGCAAATTTCAATTGCACCATCGTTTAGAGGGCCAAAAACTGGTATAGGAACATGCTAGTCTCAAGACTCTAGCATCAATGTTTGGAAAATCGATTTTCGATCGTCCAAAAGTTGAAAACCTCAAAAATCAAAAAACATTTTGTACATCCAGGTCCTCATAGGTAAAAAAATTAGAATCTCATCAAAGTTAAATATGTTGTAAAATAATGATATTGGACCAACTTGTAAGTGGGAACATTATATTGGAAATGCATACTTCATGAGATAATCAACATTGGAGATGCTATTTTTAAGCGGGGGAATATACATACTTTAAATTGGAAACGTTATTATTCTTAAATAAAGCAAGCTACAGTTGTCTAGTCTTGACAACAAAATTTTTCAACATGTCAGGTATCCATTGATAACTTAAAATCAACAAGTTAATATGGCCCTTTTCGTACGCTCCGATTTTTAAAATGCTTGG